AATAAGTCTATACTTTTAAGCTTTTTCACAATCCAATCAAAATTAATAATGTTAACCATAAAATTAAAACTAACCTATAATGGAATTATTTAAAATATCATCATAATAACCTTAATAAATAACGAACAAACCTTAAGAAAATCAGAACACTTAAAATTCGATGCAAAGCGTTCACAATTTCGAAAATGCAAATGCAAAAATACTTCAATATTCTACTAACAAATAGATGGAAATCATCGAATAGGCTTCTCCTTAAATTAATTAGGTTATGTAAAATAAGTAAAAAGATTTTGAATCTGTATAACTAAGTTATTAGTAATAGCCGATTTAATAAAATAATCTATTTTAATAGTAATAATAATAGTAATAATAGCATTATTCATAATAATTGATTTAATAGTAAAGCTTTTAAATTTAAAATCTTTTTACTTAATAGCAGCAGACTTAGAATTAAATTTCAAGTTTAAATTTTTTCTAATCTAATCCTTTTTAATAATAGTAATAAAATGATTTAAGCAACAAATCTGTGTTTTCAAAGAATGATGTTTTATCACTTTTTTAAGAGACGAAAAAAACTGATAGAGGTTATAATTACATTAATACTTTAGATTTATTTTAAGCTCCTTCAATTCAGCAAGCAAGTTCAAGTTTGAATAATAGTTTTAACAAAGCTAAAAAGAAGTAGAGAATTAATAATTTTTGATGGTTTCCAATATTAATTTATTATATGTATACAATATAAATCACTTAATTCTTTCATTATTATTATATAATTTGATCAGTGACTCGTCAATTATACTTTGAAATAGTTTTAGGTTGTGTTATTTTAATTGATTTTTATAATAAACAGATTGAAGTTTACTAATGATATTTAATGTATATTGCAATCATAAAAGGTCTAATATTGTTTACTAATAGTATTAATTATCTGAATCGAATAATGAGTAATTCAAAAATGATTTTAATTGGCTAATATATGTACTTTAGATATTTTGATTTAACAAATTTTATTAATTAAAATGGCAGAACTTTTTATAAATCAAATTAACAAGCAAGCAGAGGAATAGGGATAATTGGAAGAATTAGATATATCTGAAATTAGAATAGAGTAACTTACGCCAGAGATTACAGAAAATTTGAAAAAGCATCCAAAATTATAAAGCCTTGCAATTACAGGTTGTGGACTCAAAACATTAGAAGGCTTACCAAAGATGGATTCATTGGAGGTATTAATTTTGGAGGGCAACAGTCTAGACTTCAAAGCATTAAATTATATTAGTGAGAATTTTAAAAAATTAGTCTGCTTATCTTTAGCGGATAACCAAATCAAATCATTTGAAGTATGAATTTAGATTTAATATAGGAATTGCGTGTACTTTCAAACCTACCTTAATTATAACAATTGGATTTATCTGACAATAAAGTAGAATAGCAAACAGGATATCATTAAAAAATCTTTTAAATGTTACCTAATTTATAAGTATTGGACAATAAAAATCAAGAGGGAGAAGAAATTGAATACTCTGATGTAAAATGCTTTATTAATAGTAGGAAGAGGGAGGAGATCAAGATGGTATAGGAAGTGATTCTGAGTTTAATGAAAATGAGGAAGATGATGATGAGGAAAGTGAGGATGAATCTCCAAAACCATAAAAGAAAACAAAAAAATGATTTTAATCTATAGATATCCAATAATTAATTTGAATTATCTAATATGGTATTCAAGAGTTGTTTTAGTAAATGTTCAATCTCTCTCTTCCTAATTTATAATTGCACAAACTATTATTATAGAGTAAGCACACTTTTATAAACATCAGAAACGATAGATATACTCTATTATAAAATATAGAGTGTTTTTAAAATAAAGAATAAACAAAATGATTGTTTGAATCTTTATATATAGATTTTAGAGGGAATTATAAATAATATGAATTAGATAACAATTATTTGGAATAGTTTGATTTTTTATTTAGCTTTTTTATATATTAATTATCCGTTAAACATGCTCAAAGTCTCGAATAAGTCAAGGAAAAATGAATAATTGGAAACGATATAAGTGATTGAGAAATGTACAAGTATGAATAATTGCTTATTAGTCTAGAAATTATGAAGGAGGATCGTTTATAATTAAGGTAGATGGTAAAGGATGAAAATGTGAGACTCATTGAACTAGTAGCTAAACATAGAAGGAGAAATGATCTCAATGATTTACAATAAGAATTAAGAAAGTTCCTTAAAGATAAAAAAGGATCTCCAGAAAAAGTACAAGGTGCTCCTCTTATTTTGAGGAAAGTCAAATCAAAGGAGAGATGTGAATGGAATACATCCATGAGTTCAAACCCTTCAATCAAATCGCCCAGTCGATCTAATCTAGATTTTAGGAAGAAATAAAAGGAAGATTAATCACACAAAAAAATGGAATCCTTCAGGAAGCAAGAAAAATTGGATAGTCAAATAGAACAAAAGGAAAATGAAGAATTTAAGATTCTTGATGAAATATAGGAAGTTAAGCCATAAGAATAGCAAATTGTATTTAATACAGCGAATTCAGTTGTCGATCCATTTTTTGATGATTTGACTCCTGTCAAAATGGAATTCTAAACCATTGTTTCTTAAGCCCCTCTAAATTAAAGTGATTAGAGAAGTGAATGCATCTTACAATATAATGCAGCAGAAATATAGCAATACATTCAATAGGATAAACATTATGTTTCAAAGGAGACTTACATAATTCCTTAATTAATTAGTCTAAATTATAAATAAATGGTAAATGAAGAATATTAAAATTTATTTACAGACTGGAGAAATATACTCACTCCTTAATAACCAACTTATCATGTAAAATAAGATAATGTGTATGAATCACAACTATAAATTGAGCAAGAGTAATCAAAATAAAATTTAACGACTCTCAAGACTGAACCTTCTCAACTTGTTAAGAGTTTAGAAATCAGAGGTGTGACTGCTGAAGAATTATTCACCTATTTAGTTCATCACAGATTTACTAAAAGGTTGAATCTATATTAGCTAATGGAAAATGCAAAGATAGCCATTCCAAATGCACAACTAGATCTAGATTCTTTGTTTAAATTGGCAGACTCTGATGAAGATGGGTGGATTAGTTTAGAGGATTTAGGAGAGACCTTAAAAGAAACATGTTTATTGAAGGAACCACACCCTAATCCAATTAAGGAGTTGTTTAATCAACTTAATGGAAATGTGAATATGGACAATTTTATCAATGAAATGAATGATAGAATATAGGGAGAAATGTAAATAATTATCATTTTAATTTAGCCTCTATCATGAAATTGATCTATTTGGAAAAGGATTCATTACTTATTGGGAAATGTACAATCATTATGAAGAAATTGAAAAATTAATGACTAAATGATTTGCATTATTTAAAACTAGTACTATAAATCAATAAAATCTTTATTAAATTAGTTTATCATTATAATTCTTAATGTAGGATTTGATTAATTCAATGACTAATTATTGATTTTTAATTTAATTTTATGGTAGTAATTAATTAATTAATTAATTAAAATGCTATTGAAAAACTATGTGAATCCATAGTATTATGAAAATTTGAGAAGGTTTAAATACAGTGGCCAGAATCTTTCAATTTTATATAATTGGTTTTTGGGGGATATGGCTTAATGGGTGGTAATGATACTATTAATACATTTCAGGTTGACTAATTACCAACAACAGTTGCTCCAAATCTTATCACAATAACAGGATTCTGCAATTTATTAACATCTTTTGCTTTGATATTCATATTGAATCCCATGTTCGATTAAGATTTACCATAATGGGCAAGTTTGTATATAGCCTGGACAATTTTTGTATATTAAACATTAGACAATGCTGATGGGAAACAAGCCAGAAGAACAAAATAATCTACTGCATTGGGAATGTTAATGGATCACGGCAGCGATTGTACTGCTACTTGGATTGCTGGCTTATTGTATATTAATGCTTTCAAAATTGCATTTACTCCATTCAATATGTTAACCGCAATTGGAGTAAGTTTCTTAGGATTTTACTTTGGGGTTTATTGTCAATAACACACAGGAGTATTTTAGTTAGGCGTAATTAATGGAGTTGATGAAGGATTGCCAACATTATAATTCTTTTTTGTATTAACTGCATTCGTGTCGTCATAATTTTGGCTAAATGAAATTTAACTTACAAGCACAATTTCAATTCAATATAATACATTCTTGCTTGCAATTACAATTTTTGGATGTATTGCTACCATCATTTAATTTTGTTATCCTGTATTCAAGAAGATGAATTGGAATATTTTGAAAATTGTAAGTAGTCTCTCATTACCTATTACTTTAATGATAACATTCATTAGTTTAATCTATCTATCGCCAACTGCTGTGTTATCAAGATGGTTCCATATTTATGTTTTGACTATTGGATTGTAATGGTCAAAAATGATTAACCTATGGCAATTGGCAATCATCACTAAAGAAGTAATTATGGTATATTAATTATATAGACTTTCAGTTAATTTTCATTATCTTGGGCTATAACTTTGGGGTCAATTATGTTGAATTTGATAAGCTAATTTTTTACTCAGGATGGTCTTTGCTATATTGATGAGGTCAAATTGATCTTTGCCTTATTAGTATTCTCAGGATTATCATATTTACATTGCGTAACAAGTATCGTTTACTAATTATGTAACATTCTTGACATAAATGCATTCAGCATCAAATCCCCATGATGGGCTATAAAATTATATATTAATTATTATAATAAATAAAATGACATTAATTGATAATCTAAAAACTATATGGAATAGTATTTCCTTTGGGACTAAGTTTGTGTTATTTATAAGCATAATTTGCTACTTGATAGACTACTACTATGAGGAATACTATTATACATTATTTGTGAATATACCAAAGAAAACTATTTTGTAATATTAATTTTGGAGGATTCTCATTCCTTAATTTTTTCATGGTAATTTATGAATATAATGGAATTAGGCAATATTTAGAACCTAGCTATCAGCTTATTGGGATTTTTATATTTTGCTATATAAACAGAAAAAAAGTTTGGCTCAGTCTAATTTTTTGTAGATATATTTATCAAAAATCTAATCATCCAAGTAATTAAGAAATTTGATTTATAGATCATTTTTGTAGCATTTTGCTTTGGATTTTCTTATCTAGATGAGGAGATGCTTATTGCAAATTCATTTGGCTTTTGGAATCTGTCATTTATTTATTAGATGAGAAGGTAACATAGAGTAAAATTAAATTAGAGCACTAAATGACGATGATGAAACATAGAAATTCTTATGTTTTTCTTTGAACTTCCAATAGAAGTATCTACCTGCTCTTTTCTTTTTGATTATGAATTTTATTGTTTTTCCAAGATTGGATTTAGTAGGAGCTACAATTTTTTCGTTTGTAGAAAATTAATTTTTCGATGGATTCTCTTTTAGATTATCAAGCGTAATTAGATGGATTATTTAAGGCATTCTAAAAAAAATGTGAAAACTCATTTCCATTTAAATTTGTTTCAAGCAGACTTGATTTTTTTAACATAGAACAAGTTGACGAGTCGTTTGATTCCAAAAAAGGCACTTCTTCAGTAGAATTTGGAATAATATCAACGGTTGAAACAAAGCCAAAATAAGAAAAATCAAATTGAATAATATCTAAGTGTTTGCTTTATAATAGAGTTTAAATTTATTCTAGAATAGGATTTCTATAGACTTTTTAAATAAGTGTTAATATCATATGTCAACACTTCGAGTTATAGAGATTAGGTTAGCATTATATAAATTGTGCAACATATAAATTATTGTTGTTGGGAGCCATTAAAATATAAATTTTATATATAATATTTTGACTCACAATCCTTTGGGCTACAAATCTTATTGTGACTATTGGTATTTTAATGTATTTTGAGACTTCTTTCCGAAAATAACTTTGGAGTCGTAATTGCTCTTAAACTAAAGTTGAGTAACTGGTTTTTCCTTTTAAAATTATATACTGCTTTTGTAAGCACTCGAATTAAATTAGGCCCATTGATTTTGTGTTTTATCTTATGAAACTCTCTGAGAATCGAGATTGAGAAATCCTGTAGGGTGTTCCGCCTTTAGTCTTTCATTGTCCTCGTTGAGTTGCATGATTTGAATTTTAAATTAATCGATTTGTTTATCCTTTCTATCAATTTCAAATTTGTGTTGCTTTTATAAATTGTTATACTTCTATTGGACAATCTCCAATTGTTGTTTCACTTACATATTCTATTCATACAACTCCCCCAATTCAATAACAGCCTTCTACTCTCTGTTGTTGGCTTCTTGAATCTACAGTCTCAGATTCTAAAGTGTTGCTGTTCATTTATTAATAAAGGATACATTCTGCTGTCTTTGATTCTGTTCCAAAAAAATCTCATGTTCTCTTTTCATACAATCCAATTCGCTGCACTTTTGTTTAAGTTCCCTCATTAATCTATTGATATCTTCTTTATATTTCTCTTCCATATCTTTGCGTCTGTCATATTCTTACTATAAACCCTGGTACTCTTCCCTAGTTACTTTAAGCCTTAAGCCAAATAATTCTTACTCATCATCATGCTCTCGCTCTAATTTGTTGGTCTGTTCTCTTCGCATTCAACACTTTCAGACTTCAAAGTCTTAACTAACTTAAAATCCCATACTTCATTTTTTTTGAAATCGTTCTAAAATGAATTAATTCTATCATCTCTCATCTCAAAAGTCGAGTCCCTTTGGAATAAAGCGTTGATTTGCTCAGCAGACATATAAACAGGCTAATTATTCATATATTATAATTATATATTAATTATTCACTACTCTAATCAAAATTCATACCAAATATTTCATACTATTAAAAAACAACATCAATTTGATATATATTACGTTAAAATTTATATTTGATATATATAAATATATTTTTATAATAAAAGCCCTTGATTAAATGTGTTGAGTACCATTCTTAAGAATTGTTACACCCAATAAACAACAAAATTCAATTTGTATAAATATAGTTGAATTATTGATCTAAACTTTCAATATTAAAATATTTGTATTTTGTTCCATTAGTATTTTTGATAAGCAACAATATGTAAAGAAAATATTATCAATAAGTACCTAACAATTCCACTTTATTATTTAATGACTATTATAGTTTCAATTGATCAAAAATTTAAATAAATAACTTTAAGATTACAATACATTTTACTAAATACTAAAATATAAGTTATTATTAATTTATGATTTAAAAACACTGCAGATGTTATTATAATTACTTCGCGTGAACTTAATGTAATTTGCCGCTAGTATTCGGAAATCTAATAAGATATTATATCATTCACTAAAATGATAGCTAATAGTAATATAATTACAATTTTATAAAGAAAGATTATATTATAAAAAAATAGATATAAGTGAATATTTTATTAATTTTTAACCAATAAATCAACATTCTACATTGAAATCATTAAATGGTAATATTTTGCTAAATTAAAACTCCAAATTGTAGGTTAATGGATTTAAAAGTAAATAAGGAGCTGTCTATTCAATAAAATAGTTCCTCAAATAAAGTGGATAAAAAGGATACTAGTCCATAATTGTTAACTTAATTTGCATGTATGTTTCCAAATTCAAAATATTTATTTCTTCTAAATAGTTTTGTTAATATTCTAAATCTTATAAAATACAAAAAACTTATATTAAGAATATTTTAATTAAATGTCCATAAGTTCTTATCTTTATTGTATAATCTCCATTAAAATTTAATCTTACTTTCTTAGATGTCAAATAGATAGACATTAAATGCCTTATCAATTTCCTTATGTTAATAGTTTTTATTTAAAATTATCTTAACATTAAAAGTGATAGAGTTCCAAACTTGAACTATTAATTTTATGGAGTCATTCTGATGGCATTAAATTATTTGAATAGAGATTACTAGAAACTTTTTGAAACCTTTTTATATTGAATGGGATCTTTTTAAACACTTTCTTAAATTAGTATTATACTATTATCTATATTATATTAACATAAACGTATCTTAATTTTCTTTCTTTGTAATTTAACTTCAAAAGTCTCGTAAAATTTAACCTAGCCACTTATTAACGCTTGTTCCAATGTCATATTGTTAACTTCACAACTTCTAATAAAACTTCTGATATTGCATCCAGTACATAAATCACTTGTATATTGTTCAAATTATTCATAGAAAGCAGTTGTTTAAACATCAATTTGAAGTTTCTTCTCGTTGAACCATATCTTTGAGAAAGGTTTATTTATTAATTTATGCAACTAATTATTAATAGTATCTTATTAATAGTTCATTAAAAATTGTATTCTATAAGCTTTGTTACACATATAAAGAACACATGTAATTAAAATAGCTGTAGCCATAGATAATGACAAACTCTAAATATCTATTTTATTCGTTAATAAAATTGTTGATGTCTATCGGAAAATTATGTGCAGTAGGAGAGAGGGGCAACTTAAATGAAAATCAGTTGAAAAGTATATCACAGCCTATATTAGCGAGAAGTTACAACCATATAAATAGTATTCCTAGGCTTGAGTATTAGCAGAAAAATTGTATTATAATGACAAAGAATAAGCATTAGTAATAGTTATAATCTTTGCTGTTAAACCCTCTATTTTGTACATTACGTATAAGCCAACTAGACATATAATGATAAATCCCATATTTATATAGGGGATCGCTAAATTATCCCTCTATGCATTTATGGCCAGTTAAAAAATATTCAAAGACATTGCCATAATAAGCAAAGCATAAAATAAGGGCTTTAGATTTTTTGACTATGACTAAGCCTAATATTTTTCCTCGATTTCTTTGGCTTTAAATTTTAATGTGTACTTGTTCATTTACTCCATTTTATTAACGCAAAATAATGATAATCTATCTTATTAAAAATTATTAATCAATAAAAATTCCTATATAATTAACATAAAAACGACTGAGCTACTATATTATTGATCCTGATTTAATTATATAAGTCAATATAAAAAAGATCTCTTAAATCGTAGAACTTTATGTTTCGAAATTTTAATGTTAAATTTAATCTCTTATAGAATTTTCCTTTCAGATTGATATAGTAACTAATTTTAGATGACAGAATTTTAAATTATTTTGAGTGTTCATACAATTGTAGAACATCTATTATATTTAGCTTAACAATAATAATTAGAAGATTTAATTAAGTGATATACTTAAAATTGTAAAATATAATTTAAGAATTAAAATTAATAAATTAGAGATGTTGTTTATAAAATACATATTTGCTGATAAAAATGTATTATTTAACAAGTAGAACATGAAATATTTGATAAATTAATTTTATTATTCAAATAATAGTGTGAAAATCATTAAAAAATTATAATCTCGTGACTTAATTAAGCGTTGGTTAATTTTATATTACCTGCAAAGTCCTCTAATTAATTAAATACAGTAAATACTGGGCCAAAATTAGCATGATGATATATCGTTTTCCATTATTCCTATATGTTTATAACATGCAGCTATCAATTCTGAGCAAAAATAGTTTTCCTTCTCAACTCCCGTGATTGATCTTTTCTTACAAAGCTTCATTATGTTGGCTGAATATTTCTTGCCATGATTCTTATAAACGAAATCCTATAATTTTAAGAGCAATGTCATGTCCCTCTTAGTGTATAATTATCTAAAACTAATTTGTGTTACGTAATCTTTAAAATTACTCTACATCAGGGCATCCCAAGTGTATATGCAGACACCGTCGTCGCTATTGGCTTCAAATACATGAAGAAGATTTTTATTATTTCTTAAAAGTAGAGCAACATGATCTAAATAATTTTATTGGGGTTACCATATTCACTATTTGTTATCAATCTTTAGAGTTAGCAAGCTATAGATTTATTTTTAAAGAGCAGTAAATCCAAGGACTCAGCTCTCTTTTCAAAAATATCAAAGGGGATTGTATGCTAAAGGAAGAAATTAGGTAAAGGGGTTTGAAAACAGTAAGGTTTGGATGTGTTAATATAGTAGTTGAGTGAGAGAATCCATTGTTTGCTATTGGTGAGAGATTGGAACTAAAACTAATAACTTAAAACCGATAATTAAAAGACATCATTGGAAAGTATGGATAATTCTAAAATCTCATTATATGAAATACAAATAGGGTATTGATTAAAGTCTAGTATGAATTCGTTTTTTTCTTTTCGTTATAAGACAAAAGTGTAATTCCGAAGTATTCCTTTGTAGACTATCTTGTCTTTAAGCAACAATCCTTCCTGATCGTAGGACTAGTAATCTCATTAGTATTAAATGTCAATACAGATTTGAGTAGGACTGGTCTGTTTAAATTTCGATTTTAGTATAGTAATCATGTTAACATCTTCGTTAATATCATTCCATTATTATTTCATTTAAAAATATATGGATTCTAATTATGTATTAAAAGGTGATGAATTTATGATGAAAGGAGACAAAGCCCTAAAAGGTAGATATTTCATATAAATGAAGGCTCAACATTTGGTAATATTTTTGGATCAAAAGGAGAAAGAGCAGAAAAGGCTCTTGAGTTGTATAAGTCAGCAGCAACACAATATAAATTGGGCAAAAAATGGGAAAAAGCATGTGAAGCATATTAGCGTTGTATTACTTGTGATTAAACTCTGAAATCTGGGGAAACCGGTGATTTTTATATTGAAGCAGCCAAAGCAATAAGTAATGTAAATAAAGCTGGTATACTAATATAATTTTGAGTATAGAATCAATCTAATTGTACGAGAAAGCAATAGAACATTATGCTAATGAGAATAGGTTAGACAATGCTTCAAGGTATAAGAAGGAAATTGCTTAAATTTATGAATCCGAGTTTGAATTCCATCTAGCAGTCAAAGCTTATCAAGAAGCTGCAGACCTATTTTAGGCAGATGGGAAACGAACATCCGAATATAACTAAATGAGATTAAAGGTTGCAGAATTGTCAACGTTAAATGCCACTGGTGATCTGATCGCTGCCATTAAGGTTTTTACTTGGTTTTATTAATTAGATTTTCGAAGAAATTGGTGACAAGTACATGGAAAATAAATTAACAGCTCCAAGTGCCAAAGAACTATATTTTAAATCATGTTTACTTTATTTATGCAACAATGTAAATTATATCAAAAATCAATTTAAATAGGATTCAGTTGGATGTGGAATTGCCCTTGAGAGATACTTAGACAAAGATCCCAGTTTTGCCTCGGCAAGATAATATAAATTTGTTGTTAATCTAATCAAGGCTGTTGACAATAATAATGTGTAGATGTTTTCAGATGAATGGTAAATTATCATATAGTAATAACAGCTTTGATTTCAATAAGATCATACCTTTAGACAAATGGAAATTGAATGTTTTGAATAAGATCAAAGAGGGAATGCAACCAATTTAATAAGTTGAGGATGGAGGTTTTAGGTGATAAATAAAATAATAATAATATTAGTCATCGTTTTATTATATTGTATCTTATTAGTGAAGCCCTTATGATCTTCTCTTTTTGGATGATATCATTAGGCATGTAGGATTTATAAATCTTTCTGTAAAACTAAAATGTTTTATTTAATTAATTAACTAAGTACATCTCTGCTACAATTATAAACACTAAAAATTAAAACACTACCATCACTATTAACAACACCAATATTAAAGTATAGTCCTCATCAATCAGAGATCCCAAATCATGAGACCAACTAGTTAAAAGCACTTTGAATGCCGATTTTATATAATCTATAGCTACATTATACTGCCAAATAGATTCTAGATTAATTTAACCAAATCTTGATTCTTTGTTCAAAACATAATCTAAATTTCATATATTATAAATACCTTGAGTTACTGAAGAATATAATTGATTAAAGGCAACTATTCCTTGCTTTAATTTTCCATTCAACATTGTTTCACAATCTTTGTATGCTACATCATCAAGAAATGAATTCTCATAAAGGTATAAACATAGATTATTGAAGTAGATCGATTGGAAACTATCATAATAGCTACCATAATTTGGATTATCTATTGATGGGGCAACATTGATATTTGAAAGTTATGATTCTAAAATGCCCCTAATAGTAGGTAAACATTATGAGTCATACTCTTCAGTATTAAAGAATCTTTCTTTTACAGAAACTAATAATAGCTAACTATCACTAAAATCAAATATAGAATTTTAGCCAATAGAAATTATCTATGTTATTTTTTTTGATGAATCACTTAATGTCAAAAAGAACAATAATGAAGCTGATGAAGAAACCACAACAAATAATATGTAAATAAAAGACATTTTGATTGTAAGTTTTCTAAGTAACTGTTTTTCTAGAATCTTTTTTTCTTTTCTCTTCATTATATTTTAATCTTCAATTTCATTGATCAACAAGAAGTTCTGTTATTATTAGTAATTAGTTTTGTTATTAATAAATTTTTTCTCATACTGAGGATTGACTCCTGATATCTCATCATCCTTTGCCAAAATATACTGAAATTAAGTCTATACAAATGATTGTTATTTGACAATTTTATTAAGATCATTCTTCTTAATCATAATAAACATTTTCAATACAGCCTTAAAAGTTTGACATATCCACACTATTATCAACAACAATCCAAAAAAGCCAATAATAAAAATACATGATTCCATAATCAGGACGGTAATTACAAAATCAGACATAGAGTTAGATTTATCATTCAACATTTCTGAAAGTATTATGATTGCAGTATTTAATTCTTCGTATATAGTAGGTATTGTGACCTTCCTAATGTATTTCACAAGAGAGTTGCTGTCAGTCAATTAAATTAATTATTCTGCTGTCATGATGGATATCTGATGTTCTACCAAAATAACCTTAGTAAAAGCATCCTTATAATCTAGAGTGATAGGAACACCTTAAATATCAAAAATAGTTTCATCAACAACAGAACTACTAAAAAAAGTAGATTCATCTAGAAATGTGTCTTGTTAATCTAGATCATTCATTTGCTATTTGATAAACTCATAACCAGAATCAATTTATTTTGTTTGATAAGAAAAGAATTCCTTCTATGATCCTAAAGCAACTCCATTGACTAATAAGGTTGAAAAATTAGCATCTTTATATAACAAGATGTCCATCACTGTGTCATATGCTTCAATTAAATATGTTTGCATTTAAGAAAGTTGAAATATTCTTGAAGATTGATTCTTAATTGGTCCAAAATCCTAAAATATAAATAATTGAATAATTACAGTATAAGGTTTAAGAAAGTATGTGATTAGATTAAAGGTCAAAATGGTGATGTACATGAATCTGAGAAACCAACTCAAATATGATATTTTCACTAAGAACTTTCTTGGTTTGTTATTGTCCTCCTTTCTAAAAATATTGTCAAGAACATTAAGAGAAAAACTTTGTGTGCCTTATTACATTTTAAATTAATTCTAAAAGGTTTCCCAATTTATCATTTTAGGTTAACCCTTGAAATTGACTAAAGCATCCTTATCATCTGGATCTTCCAAGTTCTCCTCTTTTTATAATTGATACCCAAGTCCATGTGATTTATTGTTATTAATTTTGATATTACTCTTAGAATTTGGTTATGTAGAATACGGTAATGGAGGAGATATTATTTTACTTTCTCCATCACTCGTCATTGTCATATATTTTGGTCCATCGATATTCTAGATACTACGCAAATGAGACATTTCTACAGTTTAATAATTCAACATACCTCTTGAATAACCTTTTTGTAACATTTATGATTGTTTTCTGGCAGTGGGTCTGATTTTATTTTTTAAGATTTCTTAAATGTTGGTAACTTTCATAATACCAATTCTCTCATCTCTAATTTTATAAAAGGATATAGTGCAAATGACTTTATAAGATTTAACTTTAGTTTGGTTTTTCAATATATCCCTATATATTTCCTTGATCAATTCATAATAACTTCTGTCTTCATCATTCTTTCTCCTTTCTGCTGCTTTTTAAAACATCAAACGAGCTTTCTTTTTGAATTCTCTTTGTTAGGTTCCTTATTTGACTAATTACTTGGATTCGTTAACCTTTGCTTTTTTATTTTCTTTTTCTTAATCTTGTTTTTCTTCTTGTTTTACATGCTTAAATAATGATATAATTTTACATCGTCTTGTTACTTTTTAATTTAATATAACTTGTATTTGGAATCAGAATAATGTTTACAAGCTGTCATAAATTGATCAGATATTTTCATATGAAATGTTATGGGTTCTCCATTATTAACTTTGCCTTCTAATATAAATTATCCTTTCATTTTGATAATTTCATCTTTACTAAGATTATCATCACTAGCTTCTCCTTGATTATTATCAAATTTGGTTTGAATTCTTTTATAATTGTTTTGATATTAGGTCTCTTACATTTATTTGATTTTTTCATCTACCTTTTTATTCAATTATTCATTCATATTGTTCTGCATTTCTGAATACTAATCAATTTGGTGCTTGAAATCTTGAGCCTCATTTTTATCACTAACACTACTAGCATATTAAAAGAACTATTTATCTTCAGGCACTTCTAATGATTGCATTTAATGATAATTAGATTGTTAATCATCTGAAGATATGGCATTGCCACTTTTATGAATTCCTTAATTACTTGATCCTGAATGAGCCATATTTACTTAAATTTTGATTTTATCCGAAAGCATATTTGATTTAGTTGATTTAACTGTCTACTCTCGTCTTTTCTTAGTTTTTTACATACCAAATAATTCTAAATCAGTTTGTTCATTTATTAATGAACAGGCTCTACTAAATTATATCAATTTAGGTGCAAATAGAAGTAAATTAACAAGTGTTTATACTTTTTATTTTTGGAATAATTCCTAATCAATTTACAATGATTGAATAACATTTGGAGTCATTCCATTGATTTCCCAATCTGAATTCAAGATTATCACATCATGTTTTTTTTCATTGTTGATATCTGTAGGTCTCAACATTACAACAAATTAAGAACATCCATTTAAATCCACATACAATTTTAAGAACTTCTATGCTGTAAACATATATCCAGTTTTGTGAATACAATACACCTTTCTTTAGGAATAGAGTGAATGTCCTTTTCCGGTCATTCTGTAATCATTTAATAAAGATGGATGCACCTTTGAATAGATATCTGGCATCAATTATGCGATTGGGAATTTCATAGACACTTCCTCTCTTGTATATCCAAAGATTTTAGTGAATTATTTATTCACTTTTATGATGATAGCATCTGGATCATCACTGGTTTATATAATACATGCTTTTTTATCAAACACTATGCGTTTGCTCTTTATATCAATTTTATCCATATCTATTTTTTGTTCTTGATCAGATTTAATGCTAGCTATGTCTTCTTCCAAATTGTTTTCTTGAAGTTCCTCAGAGAATATATCATTCTCATTAACAGACAGTCCCTAAAAGTTATCCAATATTTTATTCTTCAGTTTCTTATTCTCAATATACAGAGTAAACCAAGCATAATAGAATTTCCACTTCTTTTTAAAGTCAAGATAATTTTGTATTTAGACCCACAACTAATTAGTTTACTCTATTTTATCAAATTGATTCTTTAGTAATTCATCCAATTCTTCCAAATCAATTACTTCTTTCTATAAGCATTTCCAAAATACACAATTTTGAATCATTATATTGTTTATGTTCTTCTTTATTGTTTCTATTATATCTTCAATATACAGTGCATTCTGGGTTTCTAATTTTTCTCGATAACTCTATTAATTCCTATGCTTAACATATTTCATAATCTAAGTCTTCAACTGATATGCTTTATATCTATTAATTATGAAGAGAAAACGCTTTTCTAATTCTGATAATATGTGCAATGACACTTGATGGTTTTGAAATTTATAAAACATAAATCTAGCATACAGTATCAATAATTCAACCGAATTAGGATTTTGATTCAACTTGATTTCAAGCCACGATTTCATTAAGAATTTAACAAATATGTTCTTATGAATCAACCAATCATCCAAGGCTACTTCTTTCTTTTTCTTTGAATCAAATACCTTCTTCTTCTTACAAAAACATCTCCCTTCTCCTTGTATTACCGTGTGTCTACAATCAACTTCCATATGTCTTTAGAGAATTCCCTTGAAAAATAAATCGACATTGATATCCTAATTCGATACTTCTATAAGAGTACTCATTATGAACATTTATTTATTTATCTGATTATCTTCTGCATTCTCAAAGTTGATATCCTTAAAATTAGAATTCTTCAAGTTGTAGATAAAACAGCAACAAAGGAATATAAAAGAAACTGTAAAAAATATACTGAAATTCTCAAATTAGTGTTTGGCTGTGTTATACCTATACAATTCATCTACTATCATCGAAAAACTAGTTGAAACCATAATTATTAATAAGATTTAAAATGTGTTCCTAACTGAAGTTGTTGCAAATGCCATGTATCCACTAAAGAATAGACAATTCATCAAAAAATAACTATATCCAAAAAATATTACAATTAGCATCACCCAAACAAATGCATATTCACTTGAACTATGAAAATAATTTATATATGAACTTGAAAGTTAAGAGAAATGCCTGAATCATTCGGAATATTTGAAAGGCTACTAGATAAAGTGAGTTCTCAGTATTAAAACAATCCTTCTTCTAATTGATGTTGTTATGAAAAAAGACACTCAAGAAAGAATTGTTTATTGTCCCAAAAAACACCCTAAGACTTAATTCGTTCAAATTACCCTATCACAGACAGAGATATCATAATATCTCTTACTGACGATTTTGTACAGTCTATTGTAGGTCCACAAACAATGTTCTCAAAAAATACAACCATTGCTGGATAATGTAATAACCACACATACCATTCTGACAATTGTACGAATTTCTACATACAACTTATCAAATTACCTTCCCCAAAAATCTCTTACGAACTCTATAGTCATCTCCTTACAATATATAAAGGATGAAGTAGAGAATTGTATTTCCTATTGTTGCTAATAAAAAAACTGACAGCATCATGTAGTTTATTGTAATATCCTGTCTCAACAAGCCCTGGATGTCGAAATAAGTGCAAAAGTCAATCATTTAATCAAGGATCGTCGATTCAGTTTAATAGTGAATGTTTATTAAGCTCTTATATCTGAATATAGTTATTTAAGTACTATCTAATTTAAGCGAGAAAGTGATGGATAAATGCTATAATTAGCATTAATGCTGTCTTTGTGTATGAGGCATATTTTAATTTTAAGAGATCATTAAATAATTTGAAATGCTAATCCAAGCCTTGTTTTGTACGCTTCTTCTCAAGCTCCTTCTCTTACTATTACAGGGTTGGCAACTCTTGTTCCTTGTCCATCAAATTAATAAAATATAAAAATTATGTTAGAAACTAAATATTCAAATTGGATTAACTAATTAAATAACAAAAACCTACTCACTTCCCGTTATAAAAATAAACTTATACTACCTATTCTTAGAATAACCTACTTTAGTGATCACCAAAATTCTTGAATGAAATCTAAAAATGAATAATTGGTTGCAAGTTTTTATAAACTATAATCTAAAAATTTTGTAATTATAAGCTATATACATAGTATTTTCATAATTCATCGTGATTACTCATTTCAAAAATCTTAACCTGAAACTTAAGCCTAATTTTATAACTTGATTCCTCAATAGAATGATATCTTCTCTATTGCAGTAAAGAAAATATCATTATAAAAAGATCCATTTATATGGAGTTCAGTTTTAGAAATAGTTGAATTATTGAAAAAGCCTATATTAATCATTGATTAAACTTTGTACATTATATTTTCATTTCTATTTTCAGAATTTGTATATTTGGAATAACATACTATTCATTTAATTTATGAATCTAAATGAGATATACTTTAATTTTTACTTGTGTTCTCATGTTGGAGATCAATGAATTGTATTTTTTCTGTAAAGTAATAAATTTAATTGTTATTTTTTATATAATAAATTTAATTAGTAATAAAACTAATCTTTTAGTAAATATACTTAATCGTTAGAATAATTATTAATTTGTGATATTAACATATTAATTAAACTAAGCTATAAAAAATATACATCTATTGACAAATTTAAAAGAAGTATATAATCACTATATTTCAATATATAATCTCCTTTTTAAGAGAGATTAAAATATAAATAATAATGCTATGTGATCAAATTAAAATATATATTAATACTGGTACTAGCAGTTTCAGGATGTAGAGTTCAAATAAGGTTCTTGTCGTCCCTTTTACCATTAGTGGTTTAGATGAATATTATGAATTTGATTCTTGAATGATGAAGATGAAGTAATCACTATCTGGGACGAGATTAGGAAACTTGATAGTGCCATCCTAAGTATATTAAAAATAGAGCATACAGAAGAAGTCGTATAGTGTTCTACTAGTATTCCTTCGTGATTCTCTCCTCTTGAAATTTGTTTCCCTGTTGGATTTATAATAAGTTCTAAAATTAAATAAAATAGTAAACATTAAGCATAATAATCGATTCTGGTAAAGTTTGCTTTACGATCGGCTACTGGTTCACAAATTTGGGTGAGATAGTTGATACTCAACACTTTACATGTGTAATCACTAGCTTCAGGAACATAAGGATCTGATTTTATGACACCTATGTCAGTTGAATTGTTATTATTATCAGTGTCTGTTGTCGTATCATTAGGATTTGTGGAATTTGTTGTATCAGTAGTATTGGTTGTATCAGTTGTATCTGTTGTAGTTGTATCAGTCGTAGTTGTATCTTATAAAAATCTTCTGCTTCTTAACACTGAAGAGTCTGCTGCAAAATGATTTTTATAAATATAGGATGGGTTTTTAAGGGCTATTGCATGAATCTTGCCTGAGAGACCTGACAATGTTAATGAAGTGTTGGTATCTGCAAAGACTGTTGGAGTTGATGTCAGTGATAGTGAATCAGAGTGAGGATCCGTATAGTTGGTAGTATTGAATTATAGAATGGCAGGAGCATCTGCAAGATTTCCAGAGTAGTCTTCAACAAAGGCAACGAATTAATAAGCTGTTGAGACTTGCAATGAATCTACAAGTATTTGATATTCATAGGTTGGTGAATCATAGACATATTCACCAAAGATAAAAGGATAATTAAAGTAATCATAGGGCAATATTTTATTTTTAATTTACTGTAATGTAATCTCTCTAATAAAAGTTGGTACTACTGCAAAATAGATTGTGCATGGTTCATTTGTGACTATACGAACTTAAACCAAGGAATCTGCAGCAATCATAATCTATTTAATGACTATGAAGGGAATATTTAAGTCAGGATTAATCACACTAAAGTTTCTGATTCTGTTGGCTACTTAGAATGTTGGTTTGTCATCTCCAGATATTATTGTCAATAACTATCCATTTGCACCTTCTGTGTCCATTCCACATGAAACCCAGAACTAGCCAGTTCTTTGACCATCACTCAGAGTGATTGTTTTTGGATAGACTGCTGAGTATTTTGGTTGGTTATTCAAGAGATAGAATGAGAATGTAATAGGTTTATATGATCCATAGGACATTTCCACAGTTTACACACTACTTCTACCTCCAGCAGGAACTTAAAATACATCACTCACACTTATTGAAATATCTAAGTTAATATGCAATTATACTTTTGTATCTTTAGATCCATAAATAAATTGGTCGAACTGGGATGTAACCACTAATGTCATGGGTGAACTTTACGACTACTCTCAAAACAGCAATTGATGTGTCTACACCAATTCTAAATTATCCAGTCTTCTAGCCACCATCTATTAGCATTGGGGTTATTTTCAAAATGTCCTTGAAAGCCTCATCAAACAATGGGGATATCTCCATCGTTTGTGATGCAGCCTCTACTGGATACAAAGACAATGTAATATTATTGGTATAGGTACCAGCTTCGATATAATGATTTGGATCATCGTCATCGATGATAATCAATTTACCTGCATGTTTAAAGTCTGGTGTCGAGGGTTACATTAAATTTGAATATGTCTGCATGATGATTTATTTGGTAGTGCCATCATAAAGGGATAGATCTGGGTAGCCTGGACAAATACCCTCATCCAAAGGATTTGGTAGTTTTTGGACTACAATTTAGAACGTTTTGGTGATATCAGCTGTGAAGGTAGTATCAAAACTAAAACTATTGCCTGAAGGTTCAACGTCAAATGGAGTTCCATCTAAACTCAATTTCTTTTCACTCCACAGGGAAGCTATTTAATATCCCTTTTAGAAATCCAACTTAAATTTGGTTGGAGATCCGTTGATTTCAGGCTGTAATTAAAGAGTGTAATCAGCATAATCTCTTGTGTTGGAGGAAGTGATTACTAATTGTTGTAATTGTACAATGGAAGCAGCAGGAGTAAATGAGAGAACCCCCATATTTGAAACAAATTCTTAGGCATGTGTTGCATTAGACATGATGTACACTCTGATTCCTTATTTGAGCTGCATAGTTGATGTGGTGACTATTTAATTAGGGTTTCGAACACCAGTGATTATCACCACAAAACCATCTGCAGTTGGAGCATAGGCCTTTAAATTAGATAGTGTAATTTACCATGCAGAGACACTGCATTAAATAGGATCATTAGTTGCTTTGCTTAACAACGGAATGTCACATCCTACACTTCCACCTAAACCATAGGGGAACATTGCTGGAAATTCCACTACGATGGTTGCAGTGACTTTAATGTCTAATGTAGGTTTGAGAGTCAATTCGTAGGTTGCTTAGACACCTTCAGTTAGAGGATAGTATAGAAGAGAATACTGAGTATTTGTCATAAAGGTTGCTTTCAATCCACTTGTGGCTTTTCTATTTGTTTCAGTGGTACCACTATCATCTAAAACAACGGCATCATAGATAGTTTGGACAACTATAACTCCAGAGTTTTTGTCTTCATTGAAGTTTCGAACATTTAATATTGTAACTATTACTGGTTCCATGCCTGCCTCAATTCTCAATTCAGTATCAAGGGTGATTTTGACAGTCAAATTCTCAATCGAACAATCTTTCATTGTTTTTAGAGATCCACTGACATAACATCTAATGTCTGAGTCAACAGTAATAGTATCCAGAAAAGAGTGGGAGAGTGAATCAAGTGGGTTGGTAGGCAAAGTAGCCCATTGGGAAGAGGCTTAAAAATCCTATGGGAAAGTGATAGTAATGTAACCATTTTTGGGGATATTACGAGTGGGATAGAAACTGATTTCATAAGTGGCTGGAAATATGGAATCTGGAGGTGATCCATTATCTGGATACATTCTAAAATGATTGAATACTATTTCTCCAATGGGTACTTGTTGAATAATTGTCAAGGCTGTAACATCTGTTGTTGAATCAATATAATAATTATCTGAAGTCAATGAGGAAATACCAAAGAGATTTGTTAATCCAGCCTTAGGTGGGTTTTTCACTCCTGTCATTTTTATACTGATAACAGTTCCTTTGGTGTAAGGTTTGAATCCCTCAATAATTTATATGTTTGTATTTTGGCTGCTTTAGAATTTATCAGTGACTGGTTCTAATCCTTATTTAACTTCGAAATCTATAAATCTATCAACACCACCATGATCATAAAAGTTAACTGCATAAATCAAATAGATTTTGCCACCTGCAGGTATATCATTATTGAATGAAAACAACCAATTGTATTCTACATCGATCATATTGGCTTCGTATCTTCTGGATGATACTTAAACAGATTTTGCAGATCCAGGACTAAAATTTGATAAGTCTTGGAAGATCATGCGTTCCCATTATTGATTGTCTTTAATTGTTATAATCTGAATGAACCCAATAGGATCAGCTGCATAATAAGGATTTATGAAGTTTTTCAAATAAAATGTTACATCTAATGCACTTGCTCCTGGAACATCCATCAATGTAGTTGGAATGACAACCACCCACCCAACTTCTCTATATGCATAACAATTTAATTGTGTTAGCAATCCCAAACTGCATTGAACATTCTTGTTTACAATGTAGGCTTACGGATTGGTTGTTGGCAATTACGGGAATATAAATATTATGCCTTAAGAAGTATCCACTGCTGATTTTAAAGGCTTTGTAGATCCAGGTTCATATCTGATTTAAATGCTAGACTATTGGTTGATTGTTGTAGGCACAAACTTCGGAGAGGCTTGTGATGGCAGTCCACCTACTAAGTTGTCGTTGTATTTGTTCTTAACTACTATCTTGGGTAGGACAGCAGGGAAGATCAAATTAACATCAGTTGGATCATTCTGATACATTATATATTGTATTCTGTTCTTTTTTAAGAGAATCTTAATTGTTACTGAGGCAGTTGATCGACATAAATCATCAACAGTTACCAAATAGGATTCACACTCTGGATTCTGAATATTTGGCAGATGCAACTCAAATTGCTCATTCTTCAACACTGCTCTAAAATGATGAACCTTAACTCTTGCAGGATCAGGAGTAGCGATTGGCTTATTTAATGTACATTTTATTTCAGAATTCCCACTTAAAGGTTATAATTTGGAATAACCATAACAAGGAAAGTCTGCTTGATCTGTCAAACCTGTACCCAAGTCAGTTAAAAATTGGTAATTGGCAGGGGCTGGATGAAAGGAATCCACAGTTTAAAACTCAACCCAAATCTCAGAAGTCATTATATTAAAATCCTATTACCATTCTGAACTGGGGATATCATTTAAAGCAGGGAACTTGAAATAAATCAAGGTCTTTATCAATTAATCTTGAGACAATCGAAAAGATTGAATTGAAGTTAATTTGTAGGGATTAACCTAGAAATAAACTGTTCTCCTTGAAACAACAACATTCAGATTTGAGATTAAGTTCACAGCTACGACATATTCTCCTGGAGTTGTTGGATGTTTCACACCTACTATAGTAAGTTAGTTATTAATTGTGGATGAAAATGCGGTATTTCCAAAAGTGAATGTCAGAATGGATCCACTACTAGTGCAAGTTCCAGAGTCAGTCACAGCTGCATCATTTACAGCAGTACACGACAGACCACTAAAGGAGAAACCTGAACTGAATATTAGTTTTAATTAATATGAGGTGGCAGGAACTATTGCATTTTTCCAATTCACTACCCAAGTAGCTGTTTATGCTGCTCTTTGATGATCAGGTGTTGGAAAAGTGATATCAAATGTACCGAATTATGGGAAGGATTGCAATGTCAATCCAGTTACACTTGCATATGTATCTACTAATTGTAATTGTGCTAAATCTTAATAGGTCTTTATTTCTAAATTGGACAAAGGAGCACTGGCTGGATTGGTGGCTTTGAATTATACTACTATTTAGGTTTTGGGCTAGACTCTTTTAAAATTCTAGATCAAAAACTAATTGGAATTTTGAGTACACTTCACTTACACACTCTCACTTTAATCATACAATCCATTGGTTACATAACATGGTTCAAATAGGACTCCACTTAACCAATTTATTATTATCTAACCTGTTGATTCTACAGCATTTATTAAAGAAAATGTAATTTAATATATTGTGATATCGTTTACTGAAATAATTTCAGTTTATCCAGTCAATGTACAATGAGCAGATACTTTCACATCTGTCAATGTTCCTGGAGTAATTGATGGAAAACTGACTGCCTTCTTTTAATTCAAAATAGTATTAGTATTGTCGGTCCATGTTCTTAATGTATATTCTCCTGGAATACCTGAGTATTTTGGATTTATTATTCCTGAAATTGCAATCTCATAAGATGCAGCTGCTTAATTATCTTCAAACCCATTGATTTAAAACATCATTCCTTATCTTGTGATATTCCCTTTTAAAGTCGTTGTACTGGAATATTGATCATCTGAGATGGACAAAATTGATTTAGATAAATCTAAAGTCAGTCTGCCATCTTTTGGTATCAAGATATTTGTTTAAAATGTGAATGTCACTTTGTTGATCAAGTTTACACCAGAAGCAGAATATGTAGTACTTACTCCACTTAAATCTGCTGCTGCCTTGGCTATTCCCACTTTTCCAAATGCATAATTAAAATCAATTAAATTCACGTCTTTTGTGTAGGCATCATTTCTACGTGTTTCCATCTTAAAGTTCCCTGTCCCTCCATATAAGGGATTGGGTATTGAAGGTATTGTTAGTTTGTAATTACCTGCTTTAACATCAGGTAGGGTTATTTTAAAAAGTGAAGGAGTTTTATTGTTAGTAGGGATATAAAAACAGCTGCCTCCTGTCATAGTTTACCATATTAGCAGATCTGGGTTCCACTTCTAAAGTGTAATTTAATAGGCTGTTCTTGTTAATGGCAAATTTATGTATTAAGTGGGAAATTTTATTAGTAATTGATCACCTTTGAACATATCGGTTGCTGTGGTATATGTGAAGACGTAGTCTGATATTTCCAGTTCATTATTGACCGAAGGTTCTATTGGTTTTCTAAGATATGGTGAGATTTCTCCACTTCTAACTAGTGAAAGTAAAAAAAATAAAATCATATTATTATAAACAATAATTTATAGGTTTAGACTTTTAATAGGGGAAATTCTCATTTTAGCAATTACTCTAATAATTATTATTTAGAAGAATTTGTGATATCATCCTCGTACTTGAAGAAATCTAACTCTTGGAAATTTATAATGTCATGTATTCTGCAACAATCCTTTAAACGGACAGCAAATTCCAAAAAGCCTCTATCATTCTACTCTTGGTGCAATTAATCCAAGACAATTTTAAGATAATACTATAACCCAGTTTAGAAAATGTAATCAAATTTCTTTTTCTCTACCTACTCCATATTTGCAATAGATTTAATTTATTTCATTTCTTCTATTTAAGTATCACTCAGAGCTGCCTGTGTCTTTTTCACCAATTCAATCAGAAATTCCTTTATCAAGCTATAATCTCTCTATATCATTTTTAATGATTCAGGGTAGTCTTTACTCTAACAAAAAATTGCCCATTCTTTTTCTGTGAACTTTTTGGTTGTACTAAATTATTATCAATAATTCACATACTTATTTAGAACCTTTTTTTGTAATCTGGTATATATCTTGTACAAAATTAAAACTTAGTACTTTGTCAACAAAAAGCAAATGGCTAGATAGATGCTTTGATGCAATTAGAATTTAGCTACAAATAAATATCATCATTATACCTGCAGACCATTACTCAAACAACTATTGAGATACTTTATTCAAAAATTCTGATTTATTCTTTTTGTATGTAATCCAATCTGAGATCTTCTTAATTATAGTATTATTTATAATCTCTTATTGTTATTCTTTTCCCAAAACAAGTTAGTTCTGATTAAAATTTGCAAGTGTTTTGACTGGAGAAACAGACCTTTCTTTTTAGGAGAATATCTTCTCCTTTCTTGACGGACTTACCGAAGACTTATCCTAAGATTATGTATATTATGTTGTTCCAGATTTGTTTGAGTAATCATCTATTTTTGGATAAGCCTTCTCTATCTATTCTTATTGCTATCTACCATGTTGTATATTCTGAACCACACCTCTGTTTAGATTTTTTTCTAGATTCTTTTTTTTCAAAATGTCTTTTTCTTGATTTATCATAATAACACTTTTGCCTATATTCAGTAATGATTCTTGATCTTGCTATATTTACAATTAAAATAGTTCATCCCAACTCATTCTATCCTTTTCATCCACTATCAACATTTTTGATATTATTTATTTCATCTAATCTGAAACTCGAGGAGTCGCTGGAAATTTTATTGGGACCGATTGTATTTTCATCATAAGCTCGTGTATTGAACTCGCCTTCCAAGGTATCTATCCATACAGGACTTCATAAAATATAATTCCTAATGACCATATATCTGTTTTTGTAGAATATTGTCTCGACAACTATTAAGTCAGAATTTAAGGAGACATATATAAAGGTGTCCCTGCAAATGTCATTAGTATCTAGTTATCAAAATCATTTAGAATTTTACTAAATCCAAAATCTGAAATCTTAGCCACTCCTTTGTTAATAAGAATATTGCTTGGCTTTAAATCACGATGAACAATATTTTAATTATACATTTCTTTATATCCATTAACAATTTGACTCAAAATAATTCTGGCCTCTGTCTCTGCCAAATATTTCAATTAACTTTTATTACATTTCCTATCGATGTATTAATTCAAGGTTCCTCCCTCGCAATATTCCATCATGAAATAAATATTATTTTAAGTTCTTTAGAACGAATAAAATTTGACTAAATTTGGATGATTCAAACGCGACATAATTTAACATTCATTCTGACACAATTTTATGGTTTAATCTATTTACTTCTCATTCCCTTTTAGACTAGTAACTTTTATTGCAAGTATCTCTTATGTTTTAGTATCCTTTCCTATATACACTTCTCCAAATGACCCTTTCCCTAAGGATGAGGTCAAATCTATTTGATACTGACCTATACTTTTACAAAATTAACCATTACTCATCTAAATTTTATTATAATTTACAATAAATAATCTAAATATTACAATAACATAAGGGCATTCATTAAGTTCAAATTAGTGATCCGAACCCTTAAATAGAATATATCTAGGTTTTTTAACAAATATAATATTCTAAATTGAAAGTATCTTAAAAATATTAGTTTAACATATAGATTTATTAAAATTAAATAATCTTATTATAGATAACACATTTTAACGACAAATAAAATATTCTGTCTTGTTTTAATCAATACTTGTTCTTCATAATCCAATATTAGATCTTATAATGAAATTTGTAACATTTTTTTTCATTTGAAATAATTCCAACGCATATCTACATCGTAAACATTGCTATAAAAAGTAGTTATCCAATTTGATGCTTTGAAAAATATTATCTAGAAAAAAACGGATTTATATTAGTTATTAATTAAATTACCATGAAGGTGGTCATCTTGATTCTGATTTTAACAATACTCAGTACATAAGCATAAACATCATTAAGAGGCAAGAGTAAAATTGGTATGAGTGGCCTTTATTAAGACTAGAGTAGAACGAGGAATTATCATTTTTGTCTAATGATTATACGTCGGAACTACAAGAATACTCATTGTTTGTACAATTAACAAAGCCATTTATTGAAACCGCACCTATGGATGTTATGATGCTTAATCATGAAATGGAAATAGCTAGAATGATGGGTAATCCAGGAATAACAATGATGAATTATGTGCTAGAAGAGTCACCTCTCCGTCCTGCTTGGTGAGAGAATTAAATGGCATTAAGTGATGATTCCTATTTGATTATGGAATTAACAACTTAAAATTACGACATTAATATTAAGCATACAAAAAAATTTAGTTTAGCAATATTTCTAAAATAAAGGTAGAATGGATTTAAGAAATATGTTATTAATCATTTTCAAGCATAAGCAAAATCTGTTTTTAATTTTTTTCTTTATTATCATATTTTAAAAATCAAATATCTTAACCCCTTAGGAATAAATGAATTCAATGATCTTTTGATATGCATATATGACAATAATTATTTAAATTGCGAACGAAACAGTAACAATATCTGAAGTAAAAAGCTGTTATTAGATATAGCTTTAATGGATACTCAAATGTCAAATTGAAAATTAAATTCTCATTAATATTTACTTATTCAATCTTATAGTTAGTCATAATTTATTGATTACTTTGATAACTACTTAATTGTTCTCAACAATATTAATTAATTGCAAATTTCTCTATGAATATTTCTATTTCTAGTTAATTATAAAAAATGAATTAAAATTATATTGACCAAGGCTATTTGACTAAGGTTTAGTATTCAATTTATTTGAGTAGAAATTCTATAGAGCATTCGGAAACTATTTCGGACCTCATACTTCGACACCAAGTTTGGCATCAGAATATTTATCATCAACAAGGACTTAGACATCCAATTTGAACAAATAAAACAGTTTAGCAAAACCAATTACAACTCCTTAAAATGTGAGTAAACCGATAAATTTGAATTCTGTTCGAGTAAAAACATAGACTCAGCATATTTCTAAATAACAGCCATAAGTCCATCATATAAAAAGCTTATCTTCAGACTTAAAGAATTTACATCAATAGAAAAGATTCAAATAAGAGAAGATGATATTGTACACCGAATCAGAACAACATCCATTTTTGATCATCTAAAAAAAGGCAAGGGAATTAAGAAAAATTGAATCCAGAAAAAGTACTTTGCCTTCAATTTAAACTGAATCTTAACATAGTGCCAGATTGCCAGAGATACCTCCATTGCTCTAAATCCCAATAATATAAATTACAGAACCATTAGAGTAGCATTCATCAAAAGGTTAAGACTATGAATCAGATAAAGAAGATGATTCTCAAGAAGAAGAAGATGTTCCTTAGGGGGAAAAAAGGATGAAGAAGCTCTCTGTTAGACTCAAATTCAAAAATGCTGTCTAATCTCAAGTTTCCACACTTTTTATCAATAAACAAGTAAAAATTATTATAACTATTTAAGCCGAAATCACTCTTTAATGTGATAATATCCCCTGAATTCACACTCAAACATGAAGAAGAACGCTAAAAAATAAGTGTCGCTTTTGAGGCTGGCAACTTTATATTATATAAAGCAAAATAATTTCAACAGAAATAAGTAATATATAGGAAAAAGTTATTTGTCAACTAATTAAATATCAAGCATGCTCATAAGATGAATAATATTGTCAGTTCATAAATAGCTAAATTAAATACTACAAATAAGGCATTTCAAAGAAAAATTAAAATGATTCTCACTACAACTGAAAACAGCAAAGAAATTGAGCAACCCTAAAAATTTTCATTGCTATCAAAATATAAAAAAAGCTAATTTGGTTAATCAGGTAGTAATGAACATCTTGCTTAAGATATCAATTTAAACAAAGATTAATTTACAATTACTATAACTAACGATAAATTAGAAAATGAAATTCAAATTTTCAATAGGCCAAAATTTATTTAAATAGATTAGATTATAGAAGAAGTTCAATAAGCGCAATCTCCTCCTAAATAAGCTAGCTCTCCTGGCAAAAGAATCCTATAGCATTCTGGATCTGTGCACTATTCTTAAAAACACATTAATTTAAGGCACTCAGTCTCTCAATAAATAATTAAAGAAGAATTATCAAGTGTATAGAGTATTCCTAATATAGAAGAAAACAATAATCTAGATTTTAATTAAGAATTCTCAAAAGTAAATAAAATATATTAATTTATTTAAGTCTAATTTATACGTCAGACTTTATTATCAAAGTAGATTGCATAAATTACCCAGAAAAACTACCTTTGTTGGGATGAATCTACAAGAAATTGAAGATTATTTTACTTCCTAACAACAATTAATTAAGTTAACATATATGTAATTTATCTTTATATAATCAGAAACTTTTAAGCAACTGAAGTACCTGGATTAGAATAGATTGGTCCTACACTAGAATAAAATTTAGATATACCTAAATTCATCATTTACTAACCAAAATTAAGCTTAACCTTTAATTTTTATTCAACGGAAACATTTTCTTCAAGTGAATCAGATTTAAGTTAGTCATTGGATTTACGTTTAGAAGAACCAATTTAAAGTTTAATTTTAAATAAATTTAGGCCAGGATTATAATAAGAAGACTACGAAAGTAAAAAGCTTAATATCATTAAGTCACTTAACAATTTAGAAGAAGAAAAGGACGAAACAATATTTATTGAGGATGATTTAAAGAATTTTAAATGTAATCATTCATGTTTAAGTTTATATCAGCAATATCAACTGGGTAGTTGACACTTATTAAGAAAGCCAAAAATCATTTTTTATAACCACTTGATCTTGTTTGCATTTTAAGTACCCTAGATCAAAACACCAAAAACTAATTATTAACATTTCCTTAGCAAGCTAAACCTATCGATTAAGTCTTAGACTCTATTAATTCTGATAATGATTGTTGGGCTTATAAATAACTGGAAAAATATTATGATAAATTAATTTTAAAAAGGAGAGTAATAGATTAATTAGCTATCAGATACGACTAAATATTAATTGGGAGATATCAAGACAAGGAAAAGGTTATCGATATTGAACACTAAGATTTAATAGAGACTTTATAAAATTTACCTGAAATCCCAACATTAACAGAAATAGAGAATTAATAAAAAAGTTAAAAGTCATAACAACAAAACAATTAGTAGCATTAATAACAATAATAATAAGTAACCAATTAATAAAGCACAAAAGGAGAATAGATTAGATAAATTGTAAGCATTAAAAAAAATATACTCAATAAAAAATAACTCAAAAAAAACCAAACACAAACAATAAATATTCAACCAAATTTAAGAACAAAATAAACCTCTAACTCTCCAGATCAAAGTAATTCAAGATTAACAATGCAATACTCTAATTAATTAACTAATTAACATACTAATTAATAAACTCAAAATAACATTATAACACAATCTACTACCTAATTTTTAACAAAACCAACCAACTAATCTTAATAATCAGTCAATGTTACAGGAACAAAAATAATACAAAAAAGTAAATCAAATGCAGATTTAAGTGAAACTTCATCCATAAAATCATCAAATAGCAAATTAGAGATCAGCTCATAAAAGATATTAGAAGTGGAGAACCAAAAGCCATAAACTAAAAATCAACCACAACATCTTGAAGTAGCAGAAATTGAAAAAAAAATCAAGCATAATAAAACAAAATCAGAAAATTTAATCAATAAGATCTTTGAATAAAAAGTAAATTTGATATTTTATAAATCAATTCTTTAGATACAAAGTATGCAATAGCATTCATTGAGAATGAGAAGCCATGCAGAGGAATAAGCGAAAAGGTAGAAATATGATCAAAAGTATCAAGTAAAGTTTGCTATAGAGGATAATAATTATTAAGAAGTATATAAAAATCTTAAGACATTATTAGTTTTTGGAAAACTTTAAATAGCTGCCAGAAATGTATACTGATTACAGATTCTAAAATAATGAAACTTTCTTAACTTTAGCCACTCAAAGTGGAAATAAGGATATTGTCAAAGAACTGATAAAGAGAGGAGCGGATATCAACATATAAAATGTATTTTTTTACTAAAAAAGGATGATGGAAACACCCCCTTGCATTTGGCTATAGCATATTCTCATTTTGATATAGCTGACATGCTCATGTTTTCCGGAGCCTCTTCTCACATTTTAAATAAGTAGGGTAGGAATGCGTGGAATGTAATATGAGAAATTTATGTATCTACTATAAATTTTGAATCTATAAATTGTCACTATATTTGATCTATTTGGTAATTAATTGTAAACCCAGAATTATATTAAAAATAATATTGTTAACTTAATGAATAAAGGCGCTGAGAAGAAGAGAACTTCTTCATTCAATAAATAAACAATTAATTAGATATGTGATAGATATGATACACAACAAAAACAATTTTATTGTCCTCAATAAAGAAAAGATGTCAAAAATCTGATAAACAATCTAAAGTTGAAATCATCTTGTGCAAGTACCTCAGTGGTGATTCCATAAAATGTGTCTTTGAAAAATTTCTTAGCAGGTCTAACTCATAAATCTCCTAAAAAATAAATGAAGGAACATAGCAAAAAGACTCCTAGTACATCTTTGCATACTCCAACTGACTTTACAATTAGAAATACCGAGTAGCAATCTGAGTTGATAAAGTAATAGTAATCTATATTACATTAATAATCTTAATAAACTTCATATCGATCTTTATTATAACGCAATAAGCATAATCAGTGGATAGATTTAATAAATCAGAAGAATTCTAATTACATTCAATAAGATCTAATAGCTTTAACTGAATACAAGTAAAGTATAATACTAACTTAGTGCCTAATTAGAGATTTAATCGACGAATAATTGTGATTGGAAATATCCATATGCTTGCTATAAGGAAGATAGAAATCATCGTGAAAAATAAATCATAGAGAATCTGGAATTCAATTGTTGGTTAGAGTAGATGAAGACTCACTTAGATGTGCGTAGAGCATAATGAAAAATTTTATAGTTAAAATTTTGGAGAATTAAGTTTTTATGAATATAATTTAAAGAATTTATTTTCTGATGAGTTGTGATTATATTTCACAAATCCCAAAATTTAAAATAAAATTTAAATATAAATTAAATGTCTGACGACGAGAATCAATTTGAGTAAGGAAACGCTGGATCATCCCACACCTACACAGAAAGTGCTGGCTCATTAAAGAAGGGAGGCTACGTTATGCTCAAAGGACATCCATGCAAGATTACCGATGTGTCTACATCCAAAGCTGGAAAGCATGGTCATGCTAAAGTAATGATTTAGTCGAATGTTTTAGGCTTCTATTGTTGGAAAGGATATTTTCACAAACAAAACTTACGAAGATTCAGCCCCAACTTCTCACAATATTGATGTTCCATTTGTCACCAAAAAGGAATATACTTTGATGGATATCTAAGGAGATGGATTTGTTATTCTTATGAATGAGGATGGATCAACTAAAGAAGATCTCAAATTACCAGAAACTGAAGATGACTTCAATTTGGTTAAGGAAATCAGAGACTAATTTGATGCTGGCAAGTAATGAATTCATAAATATCAAAGGGATTTGTTGATATCCGTTCTTTCAGCCATGGGAGAGGAAAAAATTGTTGGAAGCAGAGAAGCTTAAGATAAATGATTCACATTAAATATATAGTAAATAATTTATTCTTCATATATAATCATTAATCCGCTACATCTTTAAAAAACGGATGCTTCAAAGCATCACTTGCACTGATTCTTTTCTCTGGGTTGTACTGCAACATTTAACTTAATATTATGAATAATCTTACTTAAGCAAATCCAAGAAGTTGTCCAAGTCTTTCATTTAATTGAATTTCTCTTTCAAATTCTATTTTTTATACTTCTACAACTCTTTGAAAAATATTTTGTGATCGAAAGGCACTTTGTTTGCAAAGTAATCCATTTCACTTTAATTGAAGCTTCCCATCACCTTGAAAATTGCAAACAATTAATCCCCTTCACTTTTTCCTTTGAAGAGAGCCTCTTTTACAACCAATTCCCCCATTATGCAACCCAAAGCCCAAATGTCAATAGACACATCATACTTTGTAACACATAAAATTAATTCAGGAGCACGATAATATCTTGACACTATGTATGGGGTATTTTAACCGTGAGTATTTATCATTTTAGAACTTCCAAAATCGCACAATTTAACTACTTCTTTGTCATTGATAAGAATGTTTTCTCTAATAAAAATTATCAATCATTTTTTACGGTTTTAAATCTCTATGAGCTATTCCCTTTTTATGAATAAACTATAATCCTTTTAAAATTTGATAAATGTATGACTTTATAGTCAATTCAGAGAAGACCTTACCTTATTTTATATATGTTTAAATCCTGTTTTCAAGATTATCCTCCATATATTCAAACACAATATTTTGAATTAATTTACCCGCATCAGTTCTGGAATAAAAAAAATCCTACTCTTACTAAAATAAAATACAAGTATTTTGACAATATGATCACATTCTTTAACTTCAAATAGTATCTCATATTCTCTACTTAACAGATTTCCAACCTTCTCAATTCTTTTAAGAGCAACTTTCTATTTTGTATTGTGATCATATGCTTCAAAGACGTATCCTTTATATATAGCCAAAATGTTTACCAAAAGTACCCGATCCTGCTACTTTAATGATTTCGATCGATGGAAATTTTGATAATGGCATACTCATTAATTAAATTTATATAATTCTATTTTATGCAATGGAAAGATATAAATTTTTCTAATTCAATAGAATAAGCACCCTTCAAATATCAATAATCCGAGAATCCATTTTTATTAAGATAAAATGACTATGTTTCTATGATTTTCTCTATCAATTCAGCTGTCTTTGATTATTAAGAATTGTATTAGAAATTAAAATTCTAGTGAATTTAATATATTTAATAAGTACACATCAGAAGTGTATTCTTATCAAATGAGAATATTTATAATAAATAATTAAAATCAATATTTTTTGATAATAAATCTTAATTTTAGTTTTTATTTAAGTTAGTTATTTATATCATTGTTAAACTTAGTAAATTGCAAATATGTTTTGTAAAAGTTAATCTATATACAAATAAATGAACGAAAATAACTGTTAAAAGGAGTTTTTTTTATATATATAGACTAAGAAAGAACAAAAATGTTAAATAAAACAGATGTAGCATTTGCCTATGTAGTTTTTTTATTTAATTTAAGTTAGAAAATCTTGGGGATTTAAAGTTTAATCAAAAGTGTTTTATTTTAGTAATTTTTTAATAATTTTCAAGATAAATATTGTTCAGATGGGATGTTCTGTGTAGAAACCAAAAGAAAACTAAAGAAATCATTTAGATTAGATAGAAAAATTAATACAATCAGATTGTTTGAGTAATGAATCGAGATTTATGATCAATAATAATCCAATAATTAAAAGAAGAAATTGTAGTAGGGAAAAGAAGAATCTTCAAGGATCATTGCAAATTTGAATTAATGATATTAAAGTAGTTTATCTTTCTTTAACATTATTTTCTTTATGAATATCAATTTAATGATATTTAACATACATATATATAAATATTAGAGGCTTCAGAACTTTTATTATTTTTATAATATTACTCATTCCAAATTTAGCACCCATTCTTTAAAAGAGTTATCCCCTCCACTACTTAAAACTTTATTATCTGAAGTGATAATAGCTGTTAAGACTCCTCTTTTGTGAGCATCTAAAATTAATTGTAAATATACCAATTCTTTCAAGAACTCTCTAACCATCCTACAAATTCCAAACCATTATTTTATTATCATACCCAGTAGATACTGCAAATTTGCCTGAATTTGTAAAACTTAAAGATGAAATAATAGTAGTGTGATGAGTCCATCTATCCCCATGTACTACTTAATTTTCTTTGTAATCAATAAGTTTCATTTTGCCAGTTGTATCACCACATAAGAATCTATCACCTTATAAGGCCATTGCTGTTATTTTAGTTTATTGCAATTGGAAAGTTTGTGTTTCAGCCCCACTTTCAATGCTGACAGCATGAATCTTTCCCTTAAGATCACCAACCAGAAACAATGATTCAGCCAACAAAAAATTGCTCACTTCATAGCCTAATTGGTATTCTCTAGTCAATTCTAAATTAGTAAATTCTAATATGAGTCCATTCTCCATAAGCAAATAGCAAATGTTGGGATTAGATTAGTTTGCCTATAGTTTTAATGTCAATCCTTTGCAATCAGTAGTTTTCTCAATTGTATTGGTTTCTAGATTAGTCAATTTAAGTTATTCTCCACCTAATGAGTATAATACATTTTGTGAAACTGAAAGTGAGATCACCTACTTAGTGTGATGTACTCCTGCTGGCCTTATTGAATTTCCATTCTCCCAAATCACTAGAATATGAATTAAAAAAATACATAATCTTCCATTGTTGTCACCTGTTATAAGCTTATCTCCATAAACAGCAATCTAACCAACTAAAGCATTATGTCCAAACAACCTTTTTGTCGGTCCTTCTTCTACTTTTAGTACATCCAACCAAACATTCAAAGCGCCAGTCAAAGATAGAGAGTATGCTACATTTCCACTTACAGTCACTCCTACTTGCATATCATCAATTTCTTAAGCATTTGGGATTTTGAGTGTTTTTAATAGTCCATCGAAATTCCAAACTTTTAATGTAGTATCATTTGATGAAGTTACAAAGGTTGTATCATTGATCCAACTCACACCTGTGATACTTCTAGTATGAGGACTGTCTGTTGTAATCTCTTTCACAACTTCTCCTGTCTTTCCTTCATACAAGTAGATCTTTTTATCAGCCCCAACTGAAACAAAATGATCACCACTCTAATTATATTTAATTTAGAGGATGCTATTATTATGTTGTTTCATCGACTTCTTAAATTTAAATGGAGGTCCTTCAAACCAACATACTGAACCTTCATCCCCTCCTAAAGCCAATCTGAATGGTCTTTAGGGTCTCATTGCACAAGCATTGAGAGTCAAAGATACTCCACTAATCTCTCCTACACTGCTACCAGTGTCAAGAAGAATGGTTCTGCCAAAATAAGTTTTGCCTTCTCCTACTATTCCTAATCTTTCACCATCTCCTGTCCAACATATATCTTTAATAGCACCTCCCAAAACATCTTCATATTACCTAAATACTGGATGAGGCTAAACTACTTTCATCAAGTTACCTGAATGTTTAATTCCCAAACCATTATGGATCCCTTTGCATCTCCTGAACAGCATAAATTTCCATTTGGTGAAATAGCGACTGCTGTTGTGTCAAACTTATGTTAATCAAATACAGAATATTTATTTAGATCCTCTAAATGTCTTACAATAACACTATTTGAAATGCAATAAACCAAGTATTTTGAACTTGAGTCAATTCTTGAAGGTCTTGCTCTTTCTGTACTAGCTGTAGGTGGGTACTTAACTTGCCAGACGATTTATTCCATTAAAAATAATTATCAAATTCTTAATTGTTTATAGAAATTAAAAAAAATCATCAGAGAATCTTTTTCCTCACTTATAAAAAATTATAAATAAATCCTTAAATGAATCTAAGTTATCTTTTCTATTCCAACTATTAATTGTATTTGTTATATAATTATATTTATTTATGTTACACAAAATTTCGTTTATGCATTCTTATATAGAATTTATAATATTGATTAAATTTATAGAATTATTTCATTATTACAAATAATTTAGGTTCATTAAAGATGCAGTTTGGATTTTAAAATGCTATATTCAAAGAATCTAAATGTATAATTTCAATTCTGAATTGCCAGGTAATAATGATGAAATTTAATATTTTTTTATGAATTTTCTTAATAACGTCATGATTATTAATTTTCTCCAAAGATTCACTTACTTATGTAAATTAAGGAGGTAAAGAAAATTCAATGGAATTCTCCCTCTTTAGAATTTTTTATCATAATAATCATAATTATCATTAATATTATAGTTATCCTTTCTTTATCAAAATTTAATATTAAGTCATTAATTAAAACATGAGTTTAGAGAATGCCATTGTTTAATGGCTTAACAAATATTAGTAGTTGAATATTTAGTCTTTTGAAAGTTTGGCTGATGGTAAGTATGCAATTATATCAAAGGATGCGCATTTAGTTAGTTGTTGAATTTAGTTGATCCTACATTCTTTTCCTTGGCGAGTGCAAAAAACTTAAAGGTTGATACAGATGTTTAGAAGGTTCAAGGTCATTTGATTGATATGCTTTAAAAAGTTTAATAGTATCGAACCAATATTCAATGCAAGCCACCTGATTATATAGAAATTGATGTTTTCGAAATCACTGTGAATTAGAATAGGCAATAGATTTTAGCATTATTTGAATTGATAATGAAAGTCATCCTGTCTTCAAATATGAGAGGAAAATTTATTGAGCCTATTTTAATGTTGGAGGAAAAAGATTAAGAAACCTTAATGCATTTTCTTAAAAATCACTTAGATGAAGTATTATACATAATATAAATCTAAGTCAGAAGAAAATCTAACCAACGAATGGCAAGAGGAAAACTATATACAAAATTTAGTCTAAAAAATGGATGAAATTGAATCTTACAATACAGAACTTAAAAAATAATTAAATGAATCTGAAGAGAAAAAGAAATCATTGAAAAGTGCCTTAGATGATGCATTAGTTTAATTAGAAAATAAAGATATGGAAATCAGGGCATTAACAGAATCTAAATGCCATTTAGAAAAATGTAAGCATTTCAAATTATATTAAGGTTTGGAGGAGAAGATGGACTTTTAACATGAGTACAAGGAAAGTGAGAAAATTCATTAAAAGTGTTTGGAACAAGAACATAAACTGGCATAATACGAATTAATAATTGAAGATTTCAAGAGAAAAGAAACCTAATTTATTTAGCTTAAGGAAGAATATTAGTAATACAAATTTAAATTGTAAGAGAATGAAAAATTAGAATAAAAAATTGAAAGCGTAAGCGATTAGAAAATATTAATTAGCTGCAAGAAAGAAGGGAGTTAGACAAAGATGTATATTAAAAAGGAAAAGAAAGATATGAAAAAGAAATAACTACTTTGAAATAAAATATTAAGGAGTTATTATTATAATAATCAGAGTTGAAAGAAGCCAAATTAAATTTAGAGTTAGAGTTACAATAAAAGTAGGCTAGATTCGAAAGATCATAAGAATAAATTAAAAATTTGGAAACTGAATATGGATAAAAAATTCGAGAACTTTAAGATTTATTTGAGACCTTGCATTAAGCTGAAGAAGAAATGCCTAAAGTGGCTAGTAACACCAATTAACAATTGTCTTAAGAAATGAAACTATCTGCAAATCTGAAAAACGAAAATTTTGAAAGGGAGTATTATATAAAGGAAAACCATAAGTTGGAAGAAAAAATAAAAGAATTGTAAGCTAAACTCAATGAAAAGGAAATGGAAGATGAAAGTAAGAATTAGAAAAGCTTATTTGAATCCCAACTTTAATAATCATAATAAATTTCATTGTTAACAGATAAGATTAAGTAATTTTAAGAGCATAACCAACAATTAAAAAAATAGAATGAAGAGTTGAAAAAGTAAACTTAAAATAAAAAGGTCACTCAAATTGATTATGAAATTAGTGTGCTTTCTTTATTGTCTGAAGCTTTAGCGAAAAAGGTGAAGGAGTATAAAGGTTAAGAAAAAGAATAATGATTGATATATATTAATAATTCATAAATTAAACGATGATTAACTTTTTGAGGAAGAAAATAATTATTGAAAAACTTATTATCAATATTCAATAATAATAATAATAAGATTAGGATGGGATCAGCATGTTAAAATTGCCATCAAAATTCTCAAGGCGAATCAGAAATTTAACTAAAACCTGCTTAAAAGCTCCCATCTAAATAAAATGTAATTAGAAATACTGGTGAGTATTAATGAATTAATTTAAGATTCCCTTCCTTTGAATCCAGATGATGAAGAATTAGTCAAAAATGTATCTGTAATAACAAAGTTCCATAAAATGTAAATGAAGAATATGGGATATTATGAAGGAGAGTGGTTGAATGGAATGAGACATGGATAAGGAATTTATGTACCAGAAAATTTAAACTATAGACTTGGATTGATAATACAGTTTACACAGGTCAGTTCCAAAATGATTAAATGCATGGAAAAGGTTAAATTCTACACCCAAATGGTGATGTTTATGAAGGAGAGTGGGCTAATGATTTAGCGAATGGTTTTGGAATTTTCAAATAGACTAATCAAAGTACTTATACTGGATAATGGAAGGATGATCTGCAACATGGTGATGGGATAGAAGAATGGCCTTAATAAATTAAATATGAAGTTTTTTAATTAAGTATTATTAGATGTATAGGGTTAATATGTAAAAGGAAAAAAACATGGAAGAGGAAAGATTGTTTTTGAAGATGGCAGTCGATATGATGGAGAGTTTATTAATAATTAGGCTTGTGGCAATGGAGAATTTTATTGGTAGGAAGGAAAGTATTATAAAGGATAATGGAAGGATAATCAAATGAATGGTAAATCTTATTCATTAAATAGTTTATAGGAAAAGGAGAAATGTTTTGGCCTGATGGCAAGCATTATGTAGGAGAATATGAAAATGATAAAAAGCATGGATAAGGACAATTCACATGGGAAAATGGAAAAGTGTATATCGGAGGATGGAATCAAGGAAAACAACATGGTAAAGGCTTTCTTGTAGAGGATGGTGTCAAAAGAGAGTGTATATTTGAGAATGGTAGATTAGTGAATAATAATTGATATTATTGCTTATCACTCTTACAAATTTTCTAATTCTTGCATTGTTGAAAATAGGTCTCTGTCATTTTATAAGTATATTTTGAGTATAGTTTTATCATCTAGATTTCGTTTAAAATCTCTTAATTATATTAACATTTTTAAATCTTCATCTTCAATGTTGATAATATTCTTAATAACATGCTATTGTTACAAATGCCTAAATTGATCTTAATTTTGTTATATAAGAACTGATAATTACAAATTTTATTATTAAATAGTCTCTATGGTTCTATTCCACTCATGTTCATTAGACACTCTTTCTCTTAATTCATGAACAATTTATTCTGAAAGCAAAGCCTAGTATTGTTCTTTTTAGGTTGGAATTTTAAATTAAATTTCTTCTTCAATATTTTCGGTGCTTTTATTTGATAATATAATTAAGGCTTCTTAATAATTATTATTAGTTTTTTTCAATGCATCAATGACATCTTTTTCAGTGTATCCAAAATCTAATAATTCTTTATACTATTCTTCATTTTTTTAAATTTAACTTGCCTTAAGATCTTGAGTATTGCTAAGTTTTTAAGTTACAATCTTTTTCATCAATATTATGCTATCTCCATTTCTTATATTACATTCTTGAATAGTTTTTTAATCATCCAAGTCTTTTGCATTAAATTTTAATATAATTGCTTAAATTGGCAATCCTTTCCTTTCAGCAATAATAGCTTTAATATCTATGATTTTTGTCTACACAGGTACTTGTTGTTTCAATTTTTCACCTGATAAAGACGATATAATAATATTTATATTTTCCATGAGAAAACTAATTTAATAAAATTACTTTTAATTAAATTGGAAATTATTATGTCTTAAAGATGGTAAACAAAGAATAATAGATTAATTTTAAAATCTTTTCATCAAAATTATAATAAAATGAAATGATCAGATATTAACCCTGAAGGGTTATCAATGCTAAGACTTCAACATTTATTGATTTGATATATTTTCTAAGCTAGGTTTATAAGAAATCCTCAATTTTAAAAAGATACTAATTTATTATATATATATTTGTTATTCAATAATTCATTTTCCTAATGTAAGCAAAACATTAATTATTAAAATACCAATTAGCGCATAGGATAATTGAATCAATTTATCTAATTTTGAATTCAACTCTATTTAGCCAGATAATATTTGCTATTTATCAATAACATCATCCTTAATTTTTTTATCAATCAATAATTCTTAATTTTATTACTTAGTTTAATTATTTGTTAACATTTAAGATTCTTACTACAATTCTTCTAAATTTATCTATTATGTCTCATATTTTTCCCTTTGTTAAATTACTTTTTCAACTTGAGGTTCTGCTGAAAACAAACTTGCAACTTCAGTTTTTGGTTGGGATCTCTCACTCTATATTCTTTTAGCTATTATCTTATTTTGCCCTTCTTCGTATATTTATTTCAAACATTTCTCCCAAACTTCAGTGTTTTCTTTTTTACTTCCACTTTCAATTTTACTTTTAAAAACAGTTGATTTCATAAAATGAATATAAAATCCATAATTTACCTGACATCCACCACCCTCTATTTAATGGATATGCCAAAATACTCTGCAACAAAAACTGTCTGCATAAGGTATTTTAGCAAATTTGACTTCCTTTTCTATCAAAATTTCATCTTGATTAAAATAATATAGAATGTCTTCTGCAAAACAATGAACTACATCTGGTGCAAACATTTGTTTTTCTTTAACTGGATGAATAAAATTAATTGTTCTTTTTGAAATCTATCCAAGTTAAGGTTATGGTTAATATTTTTTAAATTCAACCTCCTTATCCTAACATAACACTTGTTAATAGTAATGAGGAAATGAAAGACAATTTTCATAAGGAGTATCTAATAAAAAGAAATCAATAAATTCTGTAACTGTCACCTTCAATTGAATTTTGAATTTAACGATGTTAGCTTAATTCATGAATCTATTCTATTTATTTTAAATCATTATTTCATTATATAGACTATTATTCTTATCAACCTCAAATTGAGAAACCTTGGGTAAAGCAGGATTAGATTATTCTTAACTTTCAGATTATTGTTATTTTTTTTCAGTTGTTACTTATGAATTTGTAGTTTAATTTAATTTCTATTAGGAAGAAGATTCAGGAGAAGACTTCATTTCCTATATTTGTTAGGTTGGTTCATTAATTATTATTTAAGGAATTTGCTATAATTAAATTATAGGTTATTATTATTATTATTATTACTATTATTATTATTATTATTATTAGGCAATTTAACCTTTAGGGCTCCTATCAATTTATTATAATTTATCATTTGATTAATCTAAACTCTTTAAATTTATAGCTTCTGTGAAACTGGTTTAAGGTTTTGGTGAAGGACTTCTCATTCCTGATTATTTATCTTAAGGTTTAGCTAATAGTTATGATTCTAAAATAGGTGACTGTGTATTTCTTTCTGGGTCATTTTCTGTTTTTTCTTCAATAATTCCTTGTTCTAATCCTTTTACCTGTTTCAAGCTTGCCAATGTTCTGTCTCTATTCGATAAACTTGCAAAGACTAAGGTTCCTTTTGATGTTTTAAATTCAAGTGCTGCGTCTACCATATATGCCTTAGTTCTTCTAATACTTTATATATCAATTGAAGGAATGCCTAAAGCAGTAGTCCCAAATAGAGTCTTATTAAATTAAATTATATACTTTTCCATTAAAATATGAGTGAAAACAAACTTTAGATGAAAAAATATACATCCTTCCTTACAATAGAATTTTATTATCGAATGCACATGCATAACTGGCAATACATTTGTCTCCATCTAAGATTCTAAACTTTTCAATCAGTTTTTAAGAAATTTTGACAGAACCTTCCTCTAAGTTAATGTCATCACTTTCACTTTCTTCCTATTGTTATAGTAAATTAGCTGTTTCTATTTTAGATTTGATTTCATCAGTCATTTCGAAGTTCTTTTAGAATTTCAAATCTATTTTTTCAAGCTTAGTGTTAATAATTGTTCCATAATCAGTTTATCCAATCTTTTCCTAAATTTAAGATAGAGTTTCATCCTATTATTTTATTTATGATATAATTTCTTCCATAAATGTAGAATAGTGACTAATTATTTACTCTATAGTTTATATAAAATGACTAGATCTTTGGAATTCGTTAGCTCTAATCTAATCAATGGAGAATTTAATAGCAGTACAATTCTCTTAAATAGATTTTTTTAATTATTAAAGGTAATTTTCTTTAACTTATGGTTTTGACTCATTTTCTAACATTTATTATTTGAAGGCTTAAAAATCTTTTAGCATCTTTTGGTACATGTTTAAAAAGCTTTTTTCTTAAATCTTTTGTTCCTTTATCAACTAATCTAGACCTTAAGCTTTCAATTAAATAAATTATGATTAAGATGAATACTTTTTAGAATATTAATCATTTTATTTAACTAATAATTCTTAAACTTATAGAATTGGTTTGATGAAGTTTGATTTATCTTTGTCTGATTTATCCTAAAAGAATGAATAAATTAATTACTTAAATAAATTATAATGCTGATTTGATTGACTTTTATAAATTTTTTGATACTGCATCCATTTGATTGGATATTTCTACTAGATAACTTGGTAGAGCCTTTTGATTTTTGAGTCTTTCATTGATAAAATTCAATTGAGCATCAATATGTTTGTGAAGTATATCTGGAAACATTGTATATTCAGCATCTGTTATTGGTTTTTTTTCAATTATTTTATTCATGGTATTAATGTATCTAAATTAGTTATCCTATTCATATTTAGATGTAATTATTCGATCTTCAATTTCGTATTCATATTTTGGCATAGTTAAGATCTTTTCCTACTTTTCATGAATCTAAGCTTTAATCTAATAATTGGCTGATAACTTATGTTGATCAAGTTTAATTGCAATTTCTACAAATCTTTAATAGGTCGATTAATGAGCTTGAATTAATTACTATCTAGAATCATCAATAGCTTAATTGAATTCCTTCGTTTTGATTGTCAAAATTTCAAAAGCATCCTTATATTGCTATTCTGCAGGATCTACTTGTTTAACTAATTCCTTCAATTTCTAATCGTTTTTTTGGGATATGTTGAGATCATATCCAGTCAAGGCATCTCCTGAATTCTTTTTACTTGAACTCAATGTCACTTCTATCTCCTTACATAGCTTATCATATTTATCTTTGGCTTTTTTCCAATTTTATCTATGTTGAGCAAGTTATTAAGACTATTAGAAATTACCATCTGTTATTATTTTGGTGAAAATACTCATCTTCTCATTATATTGCTCGATACTTTGAGAAAAGAATTACGAAAATTCTGAACATTATGAAAGAGTAGTTTTTGATATTAATTCAAAGAGCTAGATGAATTCCATCAAATTTTATCCTTGATTTAAATATAGTAAAATACCTAAGCTAATTGGATCATTAACTGTTAATGAAATCTACTAAGAGTATTATTTATTGAATGGTCCATATTTCTTAAAATGTTACTCAAATTCGTTTTATGAATCGGATGTATACTTTTAATATTGCTTCATTATTTTCTTTAGATCCTCCAATTTATCATTTAAAGTTGATGTGGCAGCCTATTCTGAAGAGTTGAGCATTAATAAAAATTTATTTAATGAAAAATATACAATTTCAATTGAGTTATATAATATTCAACCACTCTACGAGTTCCTATAAATTTGGTTTTCTGGATAAATAATCTTGAATCGCCTCTGTAAATTCATCACTCACTAAACCTTCAGCTCTTTCACCAAAAGAGATTTCTGAAACACTTTTTTTCCTCTTAGAATCCTTTTAAATGAAGGGAGATATGATTTCATCAAAATATTTGTAAAATTAGTATTGAATTTCGAAAGTTCTTAAATTTATTTCAAATCTTATAATTTTCTTTTTTGAGTTAGATTATAAATTTTTGTCATCTATTCTGCATCTATGACTAAACAAAATCTATATAGATCCTCTCTCTGAATCCAATTTCCACAAAGTACCCCAAATTTTGTTATTAGAAAGCAATTACTATTCCAATTCATCCACCTTAGATAACAATATTGGCATCTAATGGATGGCTGAAAAGATGATCTCATTAGCCATCTTATTGGAATTTTAAAATTAATGTTTCAACGACAATTATAGTAATTCTCCTTTGTTTATTTCCGTTTTTTACTTGTAATCAACCTTCAAACCAGATAACACCAATCTATTCTCTTGTAACTCTCTATAGAATTCATTAAATATCTCCTAAACTTCTAGATTGGCATCAATCTGCTTCTGATTCTAAAATGTGTATTAGACATTAGCCTATTTATATGTAAATGTGATTTGATATTATTTTTTATCATAATAGATATGACTTACTTTATATCCAAGACATTATATCAAGATAGCTCTTATTTGTTAAGAAGATCCTTTTTACTCCTATTTTTTTGGTTCATCCAATTAATTTTCAATAATATTTTCTCTTTCTTGTAGTTGATTGAGTTTATTATTATTACTCATCCTTGAATCTAGTTGTTTTTATTCAATCTCATTTAATTGGATCAACTTTTATTGAAGTTTGCTTATCTTTTAAGTCAATAAATCTTAAATAATTAAAATTTCTTATTCCTCTCTTGTGATCACTCTTTTCAAAGTTGCCTCATTCATTTCAGCCAATGAACTCAATTGTTGGAGTTCTTTGACAATGTCTATTTCAATTGGTTTCACATTTTTTCTATAGGATTACTTTCCACTATTTTCTTCAATTTGAATTGCCTTAGGTGTTCGAAATGGTTGTTATTGTGGTGTTTGAATAATTTAGGTTTGAATTGTTGGTTATTTTTAGACAGACATTTGTATTTAAGTTTATTAAACTACAGGAACCTTGTTTTATTGAGGTTCCTATTTTTTTGAACTTGGTTATTCTTCAAAAATTGTACTTAATTTTGGCGGAGTAGATTCAGCAACTCTATTGCCTATAAATGGGATGAATGAGATTTTTCGAGTTCTGTTACTTTCTATATCAAACTGGGTTGTTGGTATGGTTTGTGGAGCCTAAGCAACAGCCTAAATTGGTTGAGCGATTTATGCTGAAGGGATTTTTTAATCTTATTTTTATTCTTCAACTGTGTTGTTATGTAGGGAAGATGGATTTTATTCTTCTTTGGGTTCAGGTTGACTCTCAAAAAACCAGGAAACTCTCTTTTCTTATTTACATAATAATTTTACTTCTGCTCATGTTTATTGAACTTCAAATTTAAATTAATATACTAATAATATATATATTAATTGATATAAAATAATAGTTGTATACATAATTATTATTATTAAAAATGTTGTTGCATATTAATGAAAATAATATAAGAATCAATCAGAGGGGAACAATTTATTTTTGATCCATTGGAAGTTTTCTTTGATGTCTATGATTAATTGCCTTAAAATCAATCCTAATTGGGTTAAAACTGACAAACCAATAAAGCTTAACATGGCCCATCCAATATTGGTCCTAGTTTTCGAAGAATACTTTTATTCTTTGTCGTCGAATGCTAAAACGACACAAAGAACTAATACAAAAAATATAGTAGCATCTGGAACTGCATTTTGAATATAGTCAACCTTACTCTCAAAAGGATTCTTGTAAAGAAGCAACATCACATTTAAAAAGCTTGCAGCACAACAAAATGATGTTTAAAAGAGTGGATAATGGTACAACCCAACTAAAAATACAATAAACAACATCTTCCTTGCAAAACTTATACTAAAATACATCTTTGATATATCAGATTTGACATCTATTCCTTCATACAAAGTACTATAATCAAATTGATATGATTTTGTATTCAAAAGCAAACTGGATTACTTAGACACCTTTATAGCAATGAGAAAAATAGATATACAAATAAACAATCCCATAAATGATAGGAAAATTTAGGAGAAAATTAGTGGCTAATCACTTTTGTCCATAAATTGCAATTGCAAAACACTTGCCATACATATGTCCAAGTAAACCAAATTTAATTATTTAATGATGATGGCTCTGAAACTGATCTAGTACTCATATGCATTATTATAAATATATTGAACTATTGATGGAAACAGTTTAGGTTCTTCTAATTTTACTTCAGTTTCTGGTTATTGGGATTCTAAGTTTTAATCTAAATGAAACACTGGCATTTATTTAATCTTAACAGTCCTAACCTTTTGTTTCGGACTCCTTTGATAAATCCTTTCAATTATGAAAATAGTGCATTTGCAGATGGGAAATAGACCAGCGCATAGTAGCCAAGTCACGAAGCACATCATCATGTTATTAAGGAAATATGGGTCAACTCCCTTTTGTTCAAATCTGAAAGGACTTTCAATATAATCCTTATCAGTATCCACTCTGACGATTGGAGTAAAATCAAATGGGTTCATTAATTCCCATGCAGGATTTAAAAATATGATATTAACATTAGCTGGATACATCACGTTGAAATAATAGAAATTATTTAACCAAGCCAAGATATCCAAAATACTAAAGAAAAAGTTAAAACCACCCAATAGAATAGTGCCTGGACCCAAAAAGTAAAGTGCTGAAACAAAATTACTTTGTAATTGTTAAACTTATTGTGCTTATTGCTCTTCCTCGTCACTATAGAATGTTTCACTTCTTGCTTAGATTATCATTTCTTCAAAATCCACTGATAATAGCCTTTATTTATTTTTATAAAATATCACATGGATTACATCATAATCTCTGACATTTCTATAAAATTTAAATGAAATTTAACAGTATTTCATTGAACCTTCTTCTTTTAGATTTAAGAAAACCTTGAAGTCTTTTGGATCAAAATTCTCTAGATAGACTTTGACATACTTCTCATCACATTTAGCTGGATACTCACCAAAATCTAATTTGAGAGTATTAGTAGTAGTTTTATTAGAATATTTTAATTCTAAATTGTTTTATAATTAAACAACTGAGCATATTCCATTTGAACATGAAAATCCAGTTTCAATAGTACATTTGGAAGAGCAACCATCCCCATCAATTAAGTTTCCATCATCACATTGCTCTTCTGCGGTCAATCGATAATCTCCACATTTGGATTAACACTTTCCATTAACTTCATAGTAACCCCTTTCAGTCTCGCAATATGAACATTTACCATTTAATGGAATGATAGTAGGTACAGTACATTTAGTACATTAATCTATGTAATTGCATTCTAGACATTCAGATTTACATTGGAAACATCCATTCTAATAAAAGAAATAGCCAGGCTAACATTATAAGCATTATAATTTATTTTAATTTTGTTTACAATCCATACAATTCAGAGGACATTTAATGCAAATTGATTATTTGCCTATTTGATTTACACATGACCAACCTTCATCCATAATACAATTAGAGCAACCATCTCTAATATTATAATTGCCATCATTGCATTCTTATCCATTCTAATACCCTTTTGAAATATCACAAGCTATTTCTTTGGATTATAAATCAAAGCAATCTTCTTACAATGGTCCTAAACATCCTGAACACTTCTCAAAACACTTTTAGCAAGTATTCGATTCATCCAAATAATAACCTTTGCTACAATAACATGACTATCCAGATTATGTATAGGCGGATGAACATAAGGTACAATAGTTTTACTGACTGCATGATTAACATTGTGAGTCACAAGAAATGCATGAATCATTATAGAAGTAGGTAGACAATTAACAAAGATTTGATTACTTATCATAATTTGGATCATATGACCATTGTAAACATTCATTGATTCCTGGTCCTGTGCATGCTGTACAAGTTGGATAACAATAATCAATGGTTATTCTCATATTTGAAATTCCTGATCTAAAATAATTATTGAAACTAGATGAAATGATTGCTAATTTCAAATATTTTGAAGAGTGAGCAAATGTGAAATTAACAGTTGTTGTTTAAAACATCCTAGCAGGATCTGTATTAACAATTTGTGTATAATTTCCTAGATTTATACTCACATATCCTTAAGATTGATTAGTATTTAATAAATCCACTTTGAATGCAGCTCTAATTTAATAATGGGGTTTTAAATATTAAAATTTTTGGTTGTATCTTGTAGTTGAAACTGATAGACCTCCCAAATGACGATATCCATTAAAGTAACTAGTGACACCCGGTATGGTCCCATGAAGTTTAGTTGAAACTAATTCTTTCAATAAGTATTCAGAATCTAAAATTAAATTATTATAATACATTCTGTTTCATCATCCATTTCTACACATTTGTTATCCTTCTAAAAACTGTAAGATAGGGGACAAGTAACTACACATTATTGCTTGAGTAATAAAAACCCAGTTTCACATTTAACACAAACCTAATCATTCAAACATTTCGCACAATTTTCAGTGCATTTCAAAGCATCTATAAAAAAATCAGATATTGCCCATCTCGAAGTACTCTATTTGTATGTATCACTATATATTTATATTTTTAGATTATCACTTGTGTGATTCAGATAGTAATCTACAAGGAAAACTTAGCATTCATTAATCTCCTAATTTGTACATGAATCATTGTTTGCATAATTGATGAATCCATCCTTACTATATAATAATGGTTTTTGTCTGACATCATCAATAATTGTTATTATATATTCATTAACAGCCCATGTGTAGAATAAATATAAATTAAATCTTACTCTTATCCTATGATGTCCAATCAAGCTATACTAGCTAACTGTGAGGGTCTATCTCTCCTCAAATTTACCAATTAAATAACTGTCCTTATGTCTAAATAGTAATTGATCCTTTGTGGTGCGTGTCATGGAAATTGACCACAAGGATTATTTATTATTTTGTCCATGATCAAAAGAGTTTAATAAGGAACTCTCCAAGTTTTTTATCAAGGAACTTCCAAAACACACTTTGAATTCATTTAGAAATGTATTCTTGGGACAATATGCAATACAATTATCAGCATATATGTAAGGGGTTGAATTAGGACACTTGCATGTATTGGATACTTTGCCTTTTTTAGCAAGTTAAGGACATGTTCTACAATCATTTTCAGTTGGGCCACTGCAACTTGAGCATTATGGGTGACATTCCAATGCATTAACTTAAATGTTTCGGATTCCAAGTTTAGGTAAATAATCGGCACCAGGCGAAGAAATAGTTGAATCCTTATATAATACCTAGAATTATAATTCCAGATACTAATCTATATGATAAAACTCAATTTCCCTGGTCATATATTTTGAATTGGTGGAACTAAAATGAATAACTAATATATATACTCCCTACAAATACGTCCTTAATCAGATTTATCAGTCTATATGTATGTATATTCATCAATTTTATTGTTATTAAGTAGTACTTATATTGTATCACCTTACCATTATTCCAAAAACATATAGTCAACATAAAGACGTATAAAATAATGCGCTTTTTCAATTGGTGTCTTAAGGGATAGTGAAGGATTTTGTTGATCTAAAATCACCATGTCGTAATTTTGAACTGAACAAACCTGAGTTTTTGGCGTCGGTGTAAATTCGCTCAAGTCAGATAGATCACGAAGTATTTGTTTCACATATTCAGCTTAGATCACTACTAAAAAAAATGCAAAAGTTATCATTTATTTTAATATTTCTTAATCACACAAAATAATTGAAATATTTCAAATGAAAAATAAATCTTTTCCATATCATGTTATGATTTAAAATAGAATAAATAATAGATAAGATCAAAGTTATCAAAAAAAATACTAAAATCTCTATTTTCAAATATTAATCATCCCCATTTTACTTATTTCTTAAATACTTGTAAGATTACGTATAAGTATTTAACGATGTCCACTTTACCTCAAATTAAAGTAATATTTTGAGATATTTATAAATTTAACATTTATTAATGTTATTAAAACTAACTCAATTTATGTGTTCAAAGAAGTTCCAATTACTCTCTTCCTTGTTTATTTAAGGTTCTTTTCTTGTATATCTTTGCATATATATAAACAATTTTATATATAACTTAACATTCATCAACTTGTTTGTTATATATTATACTCAAACGCTGGGACCTAAAACTATTATAAATTAAAAATTAGTTATGATGTCAACTCATACGAAACACATGAGTATCAAAATTATATCTTTACACCGAACTGAGGATTTTACTTGATCCTCAATACTTTCCATCTCTAACAATGTCTTGAATTCAAAAACTTATGTTTCTCATGGTAATTCTCTCAAACTATTTGAAAGTTTGGATTTCTAAAAATATTATGCAACTTTGATAATACTTTTTTAATGATTCCTCAGTCTCTTCTATTGAATCTACAGTTACTATTATGTATCAATATTACTTTTATCAAAAAAGTTCTCATCTAATCCACTTATATCAATATAAAAATTAAATATCTTATGTGGATTATTATTGAATTGGAACATCAATAAATTACTTTTTTCCTTAAACAAGGTGTTTAATTTCCCTCTTCTTTTCTCTTTTTTAGAAACTTAAGTTTTTTATCAATTTAATAATGGTCCCTGTGATTATTTCAAATAACAATTCAAATATACACAATCTTCCACAAAAATATTTTTCCTCGTTTATCCTTATTACAAAAAATGGCACTTTCACTATCTACCAATCAAACAGGAAACATAGGTTGACCCTACTTAAATTCCAATTGAAACGTAATTAATGAACTAAAATAGAAATTCAATTATATATAAATTCTTCATTATTATTTTTATGGTTATAATTCAATTTAGGTAATTAAAGCATTATATTAAATGAGATCTCTACACGCCACAATTTGCCTTTATGACAAATCACTTGTTTTTAAGTGAAAAAATAAATATTGGAATGTGTAGAATATCTTAAATATAATTCTATCTTTTGTTTTAAATATAGATTATATTTAAATAGAATAATTAAAAATGATTACAAAACAAAAAGAAAAGTTGAATTTTGTTCATCTCTATTTAAATAGTTAAATTTATTGCTTTATTAGTAGGGAAAAATGGATATTATTAAATATAATATTATTTCATTAAGTAAATTATTTATTTCTGATATTCATTACCTTAGAAGCTCTTAACATAAAAATTTAGTTCTTAAATATCATTCATTTATTATTTTTTTGATCCCATTTCAAATAAGGAAATCTAATTACATTAGTCTCCCAATAAAATCATTAAGATTACATTTACAACAAATTAATTTTGAAACTTTAAAATTGGATTTGCTATATTTATTTTGAAAAAGATCCAATTGAGTTTATATTCAAAAATTGAGATTTGTAAAGAGAGTTTAGAGATTTTACACTTTTTTGAGAACTGATTAAATGTTTTTGATCATTAGGATAAATATATTTATCATAATTTTGATAATTTCTGCAATAATAAAATTGATTTAAATATGAGATGGAATTTTTTAGGGGAATTCATAAGTTTAATCATTTAAACCAACTTGTCACCATCTTTAAATAATTCTTATTTCACAACATTTTAGATAACAGTTTACTATTTGTAGTTAACTTATTTCTTAATAAGCGAAAATCACGAATACATATATCGTTTAATTAATGCTTTATCAAGAATTAGTTTGATAACCCCAATATTTATAGAGACATATGAAATCAACATACTGATTGGAGTGATTATCATCATATTAAATATCATCCCATACCTTATAGTAATCTATAGGAGAATTAAGAATGTGAACAAGAAAGTAGGTAATATATCTAAAAGCATATTACAAGTAATAATATATATAATATATTCAGATGGCTACCATGATAATTAACTTTTATTTTCTATATTTCACATGGTTTTTGTATTTGCCCTAATTGTACTACATAGGATGGAATTATCTCCAATCCGATAGCTCTCTTAATATCATAGCCACTATTGTTCTATTTTTTACAGTATTGACTCTGACAATTTCGAATGTATATTTTGTGAATTTTGAATTCAACGAGCAACATCTAAGAAAGCATTTTTCCTATAATAATCTAATTGCGTAGACATTTGTAATACCCATGGCTATCCTCTATTTGAAGAATGATGAAATCACACAGATAGTGAGTAGGACCTTGCATGGATTAATATTGGCGATGCAAATTTATGAAGCATATTTTTAATTGCCTTTTGGGTAAGTTATTTATAGATATTTTAGATTTTCTCAATAAGGATATATATTTAATAGAGCTTTAATGACTCATTCTGTTGTATTCCTATTCTCTTCAATCAAGGCTTTGAGTACAGCCAGTCCTTACAGCTTGGCAACTATCATGTTAATTATGCAGCCAGTTGTATAATATTTGTTTTAAATTCTTTTTGATAGCAAAAGAGCAAATGCTTACCTCTCAATAAACAAGACAAATAATCAATATTATGAGTTGCTATACATTGAAGATTTCTTTGAGTTGAGTTAATTAGCACAAAAAAATAAAACTAAGGAAATCGAATTAATATAAAAATTCAGTCTTCACATGAATAGATGCAATTCAACTAAATGTTAATGCAGGAAAATAGGATCATAGAAAATTCTATTATTTGACGAAACTGTGCTTTTGATTTCCTGTTTGTTCAAGGGAAGCTTTGAGAAACACAAATTAAATTATCAGGATTTAAGAGTGTTTGAAATATTCAGTCTAAAGTTCTTAACATTTATTAATAAATACAAACATAATGCCCCAAAAACTTATTAAGAACTTAAAATCTTTTTTTAGAAAAAGCGAGATTACTCGTTTTATTTCATTTAAATGTGTTTATTATTACAATTCATACTCTAAGCTTAAATGCAAAAAGATGAGGATTATAATATAAATAAAGAGACCAGAGTTTCGAATGTGAAATTATAGGTGAGCAAAAGTGAAAGAAGTATAGTTCAAAATCTTTATTAAATGGAACAAGTTAAACAAAATATGATACCTCTATTAACAGAGGTTAGTCAATTTAAATCTTAATTCTGGAAATCATTTAAAGAGGGCAAATTCTCAGATTATCTTTAAATTGAGGACCAAATAAAAAAACTATAGAAATTAAGAGATGATGTTATGTATCAATTTAACATTTATTATCAAATATTTTATCAAAATGGGAGAACCTATAATGTACAATTTTTGAAGGTAAACGCTTTAATTGATCTATTATTGTTTAATAATGTAAGAAAATATTTTGAAATGGAGAAAGGTAAAGATTAATACTATCATTAGAAAGGAGAGAAATTCTGTCATTTGAGAAGAGTATGAATTCGTTTGAAATTACGAACATTAACTTTTTTAAGGGAGAAGCAATATCAGTAAAAGTTTGCATAGCATTTGGTCCAAATATCGGAAAAGTATTAAATAAGGTAATTTCTCCTTTGATCCCCAAATTTTTTGGATTTGGAAAATTTCCTAATCCAACGAATGCCTTTGTAGATTTCACTAAAGGTAACATCAATACTTTGATGCCTGTATGGCTAGAACCGATTCATGATGAAATAATGTAGAATTATATACGAAGAGGAGTTACGGCAAGAATTGGTAAGTATTTTTAAACATTTGCAAAATTGTATGATAAAACATTGATAAGATGTTAAGTTTATTTGGCACATAATTTTAGTTAAGAATTAGAAGATGATTTTACAATGATTGGATGTTTAAAGTCATTGGAAGAGGAATAACCAAAGTTTGTAGGTGATGAGGGCAAGAAATTAAAGAATATTGCATTTAAAGGAGCTCAACACATTCTATTTGATGTGAATGGGAATATCATGGGTATAACTAAAGGGTTATATAAAATGATTGAAAGGTTGTAGAGATTGGTAACTAAAAACAAAGTAGGAACGTATCATGAAAATGATGAGATTTTACAATAAAGTGGACAGAAATCAAAATCAGAGAACTCATCAGTCGAATCTGAAAGGTATTTAGATTAAATATAATCAGTTATGATGTGTTCGATTAGAAATGGTCGAATGCAATTTTGTAAATTGATGACTTTTATAATAAAGTGTTGATTTGGATGATTTTGCCATTCATTTCAAGGGAAATAGAATCAACTGGAATAGAATTCTTAATGAATGGATAAGCACCTCCAAAAAATAGATATGCAAATCTAATTGATTTAGAAAATGGAAATTAAGTAGTTTAAAATAAAGAAACTTATTTATTTGTTCCAGAAGATTTAAATTTATTTGTTTAATAGTACGACAAGGTAATTACAAAGATTGTTGATGATCTAAGAGTCTAATCAAATAACTTTTCATCTGGGAGTGCATATAGAGGAGGATAAAGAAGTGAATATCAAGAGAGTGATCAATAAAGTTTGGTTTAAGTGGTCACTATTTTTGATGAGAAGTTATGTGTATTCTTCTATGAGGAACACTTGAAAAGACATCAAGCATTATTATTTGGATAGACAAGACAATCAGAAATGCAGAAGAGTTAAGGGAGACCCTCATCCAAATCATCTATACCTGAAAAACAAACCATTAGCAGTGAAGAAGATAGTGAGTAATTAAAAACAAGGGCTGAAAAAATATACTAAGATAGATATTCAAAATACATTGAGAAATTTACACCCCAAGATTTCAATCCTATTCCTGTTGTTTATTCAGTCTTTTATGAGGAATATCGTTATAAGAAAAATGATACTGATCATAAACAATAGATGTTTGTAATCGAATTAATTGTGAATGATTAACAATTATTGAATACTGAAAAGGGATACAAAAGATAATTAAGAGAGACAATCAAATAGACATACTAAAATTATTAATAAAAGAAGTTGCTATTAGAATAAAGATCAGAGGTAGAAGATTCCATGAGCATATAAGGGAATATAAGTGAATAAAGAAGTGTACATGAAGGAGAAATCATCAATTACAATTTCCCATCTCATCCTTCACATTATTATGAAGACATTTATTTTGTAGAAAATAATCAGATTTTACAAACTGATTAAATATACAGTCCAAGATAAGATGGTAAGTCTGAAGGAATGCTTTTAAGCGGTAGATCAAGATAGAGTAAGCCTTTATTAGAAAAAGATACCAAAACTTAGGGAGGTCAAAAAAAGAAGAGTTAAGTTACTGTGAATTCAGATCATAGTAGAGAAGAAATATAATTTAAGGGATCTTATTCAAATTTGAAGTTTCCTGAAAAAGAGATTGCTTTCAAAGCTTTGGCCAGGATTAATCAAAAAAAGAAACAGCAAGACTTTTTTAATGATAATGAATCTAAAATACCTGTAGAGAGTAAAGGGTCTTAATAGCAGATCTTTGAAGAGTTTTAAGTCAAATATTCTGACGGTTTAAAACTATTTGATTCTCAATATAAGGTTGTTTAATAGAAAACTTCAGATATGAAAAATCCAAACTCATACAAAATTCAAAAATATCTGTTGATTACAACATTTATTTTAATAGTAAGTTACATCATTCTGATTTCTGTTGCCGTATAAAAATAATATAATCTAAGTGAATGCTACGATTTGCTTGAATTAATGATAGCAACCTAAAAATCATACTCTCAAATTACTCATAGTTTATATCGTTTGGAATTGTCAGATTTACTGCAAATAGATAATATTGATATTTTAAAGTAATTTTATGAAAAACAAATCTTTTCTGAATTGTAGTAGCTGATAGATATCTCAAGTAGTTAAATTATTGAAATCAATCAAGTGTAAGTTAGCTTAGACTTGTTTTATGATATAGAAGATAAGGTGTAAATAAAACCAACACTGTAATAAATAATTCAGTTTACTCTTGGTTAATTCTATCGGCTAAAATAAAATGAAACAAGAGTTAATTTCAAATATAATTCCTCTTTAACATTAGCATCTGTTGCAAATCTTGAGGGGATTGGATAATTACCACAAAAGGCTTATGATTACTGTTTTGATGATAAGGTGTCTAATGAAAATACATATTAAACTCTCTTAATCGTTTATATGGTAGTCATCTTCTTTTTGGTTATGATTTTATAGTTTTCACACATTCCATTAATTGGAAAATTAAGAAAGAGTCATCGTACATTTTACAAGGAAATTATTAAATTGTAATCAAATGAAGTAAATGATGAAATTGAAATATATGAAACTGTTGTGAATATCTTCAAAAAATCTATTTATGAATGGATGTTGATTGATTTTGTTTAAGAATCTCAAATGTTCGAGATTACTAGAGAGCATAGAACAAATGCAATTACTCCAGGGAGAGAAATGCATACAGACATAAGTTAAGGAGCAGTCTCATCATCGAATAAGAAGAATAAGTATAATTTGATGGAGAAATTGAAGAAATCATAAATGAGATAGGTAAAATACTTTGTGATATTAATGGTTGGATTATTTGTTATTTTAGCTTACTTTTTAATAATCTTCTTAGTTATTTTTATTCTATCAAAGGATCTGTTATCCAATGTAGAAATCCTATTTAAATTCAAATTAGTTTAATCGTCAGTGATTAATTTAATCAATAATATGGATTTAGTAGCATTTTCAAGTGTGAATGATTTACTATTCGATAATGTCATGTCGGTATAAACTTATTAAACCTATGCGTAAGTGCTAAGTGGTGATACAACAGATTATTTTTAACAATATTCAAATGAATTCTTTTCAGCACTTATCGATAATAATTTGAAATTTAATCTCGATACTATAAATTAGAACAATATTTGTGAGATTGGAATTGGCATTGATTGTGAATCAACGGATGCTATAACCTTAAATCCTTGGCTACTGCCATACTATTAATAAGGGTTGAAATCTTTATTGACTTAAGTTGACAAAATCATATCTTAATATCCTTACTTTTTTGATGACCAAAATGCGAAAAATTCATAGGAGACTCTTTTCGAATTTTATTAGAGCTAAGAACACTTAATTTATATAGATTATGGAAGTGAATTAATAATCAAGGCTCAGAAGTAAATAATTGATACTGCCTATTAACAGTTTGATCAGTCTTTGAATTTCTACAAACAAACACTGTTAATTTTCACTTTGAGTGTGGGTGTAGCTGGTTTTTGTATTATAGGTTTCTTGGGGAATCTAATCTTAAAGATGCAAAAAGATTCAATCGAAACATGCTAGGCTGCCTTACTATTATTATCACCTAAACGATACCTAAATAAATCGATGGGTTTATTAACATAAAAAAAATTGTGATTTTTTTGTGTATAATTAATATGAATTAAGTTAAACAGGATAATCCATTATAATCTAATTACGAGCAGTCTCGAATTGGAGTTGCTTTTGGTGACGATTTTGAAAAAGGTCCAGTTTCCTTTAGGTAATGAATTGCATTTCTAATTGAGAGCTGAAGTCCACTTTAATGAGTAAAAGGCAATAGATTAATATGATACACTCAAGAATATAGTTGGAGATCATATAGATATTGACTGGGCTCTTGTTTGTTTCCTCCGATATTAACCAGGCAAAAAGGAAGCCTTGATTGAATCAATATAAAAAATAAAGGATAGACGTATAATATGTTAATATTGAATCATTAGCTCGATTTGAGGCCTTTGAATGTAAGATTCACTCAGATGAAACCTATGTTTATTTCAGCATTAAACTTAGAGAGGATGAAGAAAGTAAACTGAAAGGAAGTCTTGAAGTGATTTTAGAAAATGGTAATTGATTTTAGTAACTTAAGGATTAAGAGAGATGGTAAAGAAGTAAGATAATTATTTAAACTTTGAATTTGACGCAAACTATGATTTTGAAGAATTGGTATAAGCTGTATCTAAAGGAGAGAGAGTGGGAGCAGCATTCTTGAAACAAATTAGGTAAACAATATTTATAAATAATAAAAAGAGCTGAATTGAATTTATATTTGACGAAGAACTTTTATCAAGGAATAGAAAAATTCGTTGAAGGAATCGATAAAGAAGCCTTGGAGTCTCCTCCTTTGGCATTCTTAAAACATTTTAAGAATTTAGATATGGATTTGAGATTCAGATCAACTGATGAATTACCATAAGTCATCAAGAATTAGATGATATTTGGAGAGGAATTTCAGACCTTGGCCTAGGAAGAATTATAATTACCTATCAATCGTACAAAATAAGTAAATGCTATTATGGAAGTAATCAATCATCAGTTATTTAGGCAGCCGCAGATAATGGATTCATTTATTTGACTATTTCAGATTTATTTGCCCTTAAGGTTGAATCGCATACACCGAAATTGTCTACTTTTTTAACAAAATACGGAAAGTACTTGGCAAAATTAGTAGGATTAGGAGAATTTGTTCCAGAAGCATGATATTAAAGATAATTATTAATAATAATTGCGTTATCCTGCTCAATAATAACAATGTGTGATGTCATAAATTTAATCATCTGGTCTATCAATTTCTGATTTAATGCCTGAGTTTCGTCTAGTTCTTCCAGATTCATATTTAAATATAGGTCCAGAGATATCTTCGTCACATTACAAACATTTGTTTAGCTTTCCATTTTTTACGAAATCTTCATTTGTCAGAAAAGATGTACTTTTAGAATTAGGATGAATTTATTACATACAAGGCCAAAAACATGATTTTTTTGTATTTAAAGTGTTGTACAACCAAACTTAAGCACATGTATCTGTGAATCCTAATCCCTTGATACATTTTAATAGATAATGTTATGACAATCCATACATTAAACCACACTTTCTTACTGGTCTAGTCAAATCAGTTGTAAGATAAACAGCTAAATCTTACAAAGTAGAGCATGCACCACATTTTCCTTAATGAGTCACAATGAATTAATTCTCTTCTGCTTCTTCCTTTGAATTAAATTGTTTTAAATGATATCTAAAATTAAGGTCTGATTACATTTGCTTTTCGTAGTCATCATATTTAATAGCACACACACTAGTGGTATCTTTTAAGTTATCCGACACCTTTTATAGATAATTAGGATCAACAATTTCATAAGGATTCTTTGTGTATGGAAATATGGGATCTCTAATTTGTTTAGATTTGAAGGCTTTTGCAGCTTCATCTATATCACAACTGAACACTGCAACTATTAGAAACAAATGGAATTTTTACATTAATAATATATTAATAATATTATCAATTGGAATTACTAATTTCTTATATCATTCTTGCTTATCTCCTTACTTAATTAAATTATCTAAGAAATCATCACAATCTTCGTCACTATCTCCTGTTTTTGTTTAGATCTTTTGTTCAAATTTAGCAACTAATTATTCATCATCATCTTCACTCTCGTCAGACAAATTATCTTTTTATTTAACTTACTATTAATTGAGGGTTTCCTTTTATTCCTTTTATTCCTATTATACTTATTACTATTATTATTTAGGTGATACTGACTATTCTTATTACTATTAAGGCGGATTTTTAACTTATTCTGTAAATAATTATTATGGCTGAATGTTGTCTTGTGGACTTCTATTATTTTATTATTGTTTTAATTATGGCAACTTTTCATCTGAATCTTCATTATCTTTTTTCTCTGTTTCATTTCCTAAACTGAATACTTCTTCTTTTGTTTTTTGTTATTATTCTTGTACTTCCAATCCATCAATAACATGTTTTTCTTTTACTACTAATCCTTTGCATTCCTATACAATTTATAATAATAATTAATTAGATGACTTGGTATCATTACTAAAAGTTTAAGGTCTATCTGCAGTTTAGAATGATTTCTAATTTCCTCTTTCAAAAATAAAATCAACAAAAAAATCTTTTTCTGTTTTCATTTATGGACTCTTATCTAATTCTCTATCCCACACTCTAAGAACATTGTCAAATAAAAATGAACAATTAAACATCACTCTGAATAAAGCCACTCTAGTTTTGTTATTCTCAAAGTGTTTGCATCTAATTAAAATATCATCTGAAAGCTATTATAAGAAATTGATAATATTTTTACTTCGATTCCTTTAAGATCAAAAATGCAACTCAAATCCCCTTATTAATAATTTTTTAATTCACCATCAGTCAAAGAATTAAATATTGGTTTATCATTCTTGAATAATTAAATATATGGTCTGAACATAGTACAATTTTACACTTTAGGAATACCAGATATAACAATAGATATTAATCTCAAACAAGAACTATTTAATTTAAGACCATTTAAAACATTCCCAACATACGTAATATATTAATGTTAAGATGGAAACAAGGCCTAAAAGTCTTTGGTGTTTGTTTTTTCACATACTCTTAATAAACATTCGCCTGGCTATCATTTTATAATATTGTAAATTACATAGCCAGCACCCATAATAGCCAACAATGATGATATTACCATGATACTTCTACCCCTTGTTTCTTGGCAACACACAATTGCAATATTGTTCCTATCACTACTTAGAAAATAGATTATGTTTTTGCAAATCATCAAGAGCTCGATCAATGGTGGACATGGATATCCTGGATGTGAATGATTGGCAACCTACTTACTTTTTCACTCTACTTAATTGCAAAACCATTCTGTCGTAAACTCTCTTTCTCCAACATTCCAAATATAGTAATGATTCTGATGGTTAGTGTTTAAATAACTCGATAATTTTTCTATTTTATCATTGGATGGATACTCCATCCAAAATAATCTATTGCTTATTGCCACGATGTCTCCTTAAATTGCTTGTTTGCTTAATTTATCTATTGTATTTGAAGCAATTTGTTTGGTCTGAGAGGCCAAGCTTTTGTAGGAGTTTGCTATCCCTTTGAATTTTGGAGCCAAAGAATTATACAATTTATCCATATTAATATATATAAATCACTTTTTCTTTGGAAAATCAAGAATCATATATTCATATATTTTTATTTGTGTGTACTCATTGGTGATATAAATGATATGCAATTGAAAATAGGTCAATAGATATATATATATTAAATAACTGCACGTATGCATATATATAAACAATAATCACAGAAATTATACTCTTATACCAGATCTTAAACTTGAACATTAAACATTGGTAAACTTAGATGAGTGAAATACAAGATTTTTAATCTCAAATCATAGATAGAGTATAGATATGCACTGATGTAAAATCCACCAACTTATTAATTTTATATTCACACAATAACAAACTAATCTAAACCTTTTATACAGAATGTGTCTAATGCATCCAGTATCAGCTACCTATCTATTTTCCTTTGAAAATTCATTTTTATTCTATGAATTGCTAGATATATTATATTTTCTTTAATTATAAATTATAAAAACTTTATATATTATAGTTTCATTTCTTCTATAATCTAGGCAGTTTTAGGTAAGAAGATTTACCTTCAAACTTTTATTCTATTTTTGAAATGTTTGAGATACACCTTTTGGTAGATTCAGTTTTTAATTGATATTTTAATAATTTCTGATCTATTGAAGATATTCTATAAATCATAATCATATATTCATACTTCTTCACATCCTCATTTTTTTATCTTGATAAGCCATAACTTCGTAAATAATACTTGTCATCCTCATCTTCATCTTCCTCTATTAAATCTTCAGGTTTGAATTCCTCATGTAATAGAAGTTTAGGATCTAACTTATCCAATTTCTCCCAATTTACAACCTAGTTAGAATTTGCATCTAGACCGATCATTCGTAATTTTCTTTCCCTATAATTATTAGTTTTAATGTAAGATGGTTCAAAAAATATAGATTTAGATCTTGAATTATCTGCTTATGATATTATTTTATCCCTTAATTCTTATTTTTTTACATTTTTCCATTCTTCCACCAAAATTCTTTTCGATTTAAGTTCATCAGTAGAATAATTTATAAACCTTTATAATTATAATCCCTCAGGTTTTCTAAAACCTTTTGCATCTTTTGATTCAAATGGAATATTCAAGGATTTCATTTTTTTTTTAAACTAAGTTGAATCTACTTCCATGTATTAAAATAATTTAATCTCAGCTCTTGTTTAATCCTTATACATGAGTTTAGAGAGTTCTTTCAATAAAAGGACAAAATTTATAAAGGTAATTTCATTTTAATTTTGATTAATTCTCCTAAATAGTAGATTCTAATATATAAAGTATATTAATATACAAGTTCTTTAAAAGATAGTATTCGCATTTATTCTTAAAGATGACTCATTTATGAAGCAGGAACCAATTTATTAGGCTTGGTTGCGAATACATCATTTAAAATTCTATTTGATTTGGAATGGCTTGATTAAGTCTTAATGTGATGGATTTTTTCATCTATCAATCCAAATTGTCGACAAAATATCATAAATTTACCCTCTGTTAATGTTTGGGATTCATGATTGATTCTTGTGAAATCATCTGATGGACCTCTGACATAGAATATTTTAGAATAAAACTTATAAATTTCCTTTAGATGAACTTATATCTTAGATTAAGAAAAGAAAGACTCTTCTGTTTATTCAAGTTCTTTAATTAAACTAATCCCACCGAAGTTGCTGATATCATTCGTTATTTGATCTAAATTATTAAGTTTCAATTTTTCCAACTGACCTTCAAGTGTGGACATTATACGTTTAATAACCTTCTTATCCTTTTATTATACACATTAAGCTTCGATTTTTTTATATCTTTCTAACTATTTCTCTAAATATTCTTAGATATTTAAGTTGTCTTATCCAATTAACACTGGGTTTTATTTTTATTATTATAATTCGTTCTCTTCTTGATTTTCAACCTCTATTAACTAATTATTGATCTATTGATCAATTTTTGATTAATTATCAACTTTCTCTTTCTCACTTTTCTCTTCCAACTCTTCAGGTTTAGTATTAACTTCATTGTCTTCATTATTTAATTAAGACTCTTAGTTTTATAGATTTTGAGAAATTTCCACTTACCCTTTAGTCTCTACTGGATTTTCGTTTTAATTTTCCATGAATAGATTCTAAGTAAATTTTTTTTATTTTTATTTAATGCAATTAATAATTTATTGCTTCTAATTGCTTTTTTGTAAAGTACTCTAGAAAGGTTAATTGTTAGAATTTTAACTGGAAATTGAATTTATCTCCATTATTATCTACATAAGCATATAAATTTTAATAAACTCCATCTGACATTTCTGAATTAGAGATCTTAGAATTAAAACTCACTTTAAAGTTATTCTATATTTCTTTGTAATTATAATATCTAAAAATATAATTTACCTATTCCGTAATCCTTATTCAACTTCATCAACAAAATAAAGAACATCAATACTGTTTTATTTTTCACATAGAAATTAAGAAATTAATACTAAATTTAAAAAATAAATTTTCCAAATTGGCTAACAACCACCTTTTTACTATATTAAATAAAGCCAATTTAATTATGTCTATAAAAAATAATTATTCATTGATAAATACGTTTTTGTATTTATCAACTGTTTCCAACAATTGAAACAGATGAAATTATGAATTGATGTTTGACATTCACCCAGAAGAAATAGAAAATACATAAGTATTAGAAAAATTATATAATCGCAATGATTTTGAACCTCTCAAAAAAGAAAACAACAATTTGAAAATGGCCTTTAAGATGGAAATTTGAATTACAACCTTAGCATACAATATTAGCACTAAAGCGAGCACTAGTATTAGTTAAACCTGAAGAATTTATCATTTGCTAATAGATATCCAAATAGTTAATTGAAATATTGCTGATGCAAACGAAAAATTAAGGTTCCAAATAATACTTAAAAATTATTGAATTATATATAAAATTAATAAGAGAAAGCATCGTAAAACAAAATTGGCTTTATTATTATGAATATAAATAGGAAAACAATTATTCACAATTTTGTTTTTTTGAATAATGTTTAGTTGGGAAAGTTCCAGGCCCAAAATACTATTAATTGTTTTGAGAATAAAGTTTAAATATAAGTGTATAATTATGCGGTTACTTTTTAAATTTAATATAAGTAGTAGTTGTGAATTAATACGAATTAAATAATTCATTTCAATCTTACTTCAACAATCAAATATACTAAGGCATATACGTAATTGTGTTTGGTCTTATATATAAATATAATTGATTAATAATTTTAATTAAAAGTATTGGATCAACGAATCTTGTTTATAAATGAATAACGAATAAAAAATTCTTAAAGATATTATTCCTAATAAGTTTAAAATTACAAAAAAAAATCTTTCTTTAACATTCCATTTTAACTGAAGATTAAGAATCAAAAAACTAAATGCAAAAATTAAATTAAAATTGATGAAACTAAATATATTCCTTTAATCTTATTATGCCTAACTGCACTAAAGACATTAGAATTAATCAAAATATGTAATTATATAAATATACAAAAATATTGTGGATATTAAGTAACAAAAATTATGGAAGCTTATTTTCTACGTACAACGATTTTAGATTATTTGGAGGAGCTGACACATTTGGAGCAAATACAATAATATCTAGATATGTTTCTTTGCCTCCTCATCATTAAATCAAAGTAACTTTTGAATTTTTGAAGAATTTCTAAAATAAAAGTAGATTGGATATTGGGATAATGAATTTGTATATGTAATCGTAGATAATAAATTAAGGTCAAAAAGTTATAATTGGACAGAGAGCAACGGATTAAAGTGGATGTGGAAGCAAAAATGATTTGATTGACCTAAATACATTTAATATAAATCAAATATCAAAACCATTAATTTTTATAATAACTCCAAATGTTAATCAAGCTCCTAATGATGCAAAATATCACAAGTATTAAATGAAATTTTGGGAATCAGAGATTTTACATTATTAATTGTAGATTGTCCTTCTAATTGTAAACATTGAACAGACTATTTAAGTATAATATAATTTTCAATATAACAAAAATTTAGAGCACGTTATTCAAAGGTTTTTTTTCCAAATTTAATATTACTAAATCTTGCTAAACTTTCCTATTTCAGAAAAATAATAATCTGTTACTTTGCCATTAATTTCTTCGATTTTGGATTAGTTCTTAGGTTTATTAACATCTTATTTTAGAATGTAAAAGCTGTTTTACATTCTAAACTATTGTTCATTCTTTATTTTTGTTATTTTTCTTATCTAAATTTAATTTATAGAGTTTTAAATGAAATTTAATCTCGAAATGGTTCAATATCGAACCAACCAGCAATCAGTTCTAGAATCAAGATGAGTCTTGCTTGTTCATTTAAATGCTATAAATTCAGATAGTATTACTTGTTAATGCAAATAGTTATTGAGTAAGAAGGTTGCTTTTATAGTTTATGATCTTATCTTTAAATTTATCTTTAATTCATATTATCGCTCCTTCTGAGGGAAAATTTTCAAATTAAACCAGCTTTAAAATGTATTCATTTATAAAATTTATAAACTATTTGCAAATTAAGAATATCCATAGTCTAGTTTTTAATGGTTGAGACATTAAAATAAGAATAGTTAAATATAAGGGAACTAAAGATTTTTAATTTTACCTAACATAAACTAATATATACGTTTGTGTGTATTTTATCATTTTTAACCATCACATGCCTAAAGGGGTATATATAAATTCTTACTCACTTTTTAATTTCTTTGTTCTATCCTAGGCGTTAGGTTCTTTTTTGATATACTATAATCTTATCTTCCTATTCTGAATTTTATCTACTAATTAAAATCATATTATCAATCTTGAAGTTAAAGAGGAATCGTTTGTACCTTAGAATTTATCTACAATAAAACAGTAGGTATAAAGGATGTTATAACGCCTCTAACATTATTAATTTATATTGATTATATAGTTTTTAATATTTCAATTATATTAAAATAAATGACACTAAATATATTTATTTTCTTCTTATTCTCTTTAGCTAGCACATAAGAACAATGGGATATTATATACAAAAGCTTTCAAGATTCTAACACAATGGATGCATCGGGTTATTTACAAATTAAATTATTTAGGCTGGATTGTACTTAATAATTTTAATGGAATATTATTTTCTACATGTAATGGCACTAGATTGTTTGGAGGATATAACTCATTTGGACCTAATACAACAGTATCTAAACACTTTTCTTTACCTCCTCATTATTAAATCAACGTTACTTTTGAATTTTGGAAGTATTTCTCGTATAAAATTTAGAATTGATAGTTGGAATGCTGAATATGTTTATTTTTTTGCGGATGATGTATCTCGGCAAAAATAATTTTTATACGATGATGGGACCTAACTTTGTGGATCGAATTAAATTAATAGGAATGAGATAGGTGTGCCTGTTACAATTATAATGAATCATATCTCTGAATCATTATTCTTAATTATGACTACTAATCTGGATGAGACAGCCCATTCAGTAAAATGTAATAATATTAAAGGAAAGTTGGGCATTTAGAGATTTTACATTATCTATAGTAAGATGTCCTTTGGGTTGTTTATTTTGTTCAGACAATGATTATAATAATTGTTATTAATGGACTGGTATTTTATCGCTGTGGCATGAATCAATCTTGCTTGATGGATGGTTGAAAAATGATAATATCTAACCTTCAACATATAAATGTGTAAGTTTTGATCTTGTTGGAGGATACCTTAACTTAGCACCAAGTGATAAGTTAGAAAAAATTATACAAAACTTGATTTTTCATTATTAAATTTAAATAAGTGTATAACTTTGGAAAATTGATACATGGAATAATGAAAACTTTGAGTTACTGGTAGACGATTAAATTTAAAAGTAAATTGTTTTAGGAACTACAGGTTCTTACTCTATTTGTGGATCCACTGGATTAGAAAGTATATTTAACATTGCAGTTACTTTACCTCATTCATCATCATCATGTAAAATAACAATGTAGACCAATCATAATGTAGCAACTACAGATGCTTATTGGGGAATAAGGGCATTTAATATATATATTGCATAAAACTGTTATTATGGTTGTAAACAATGTCTAGGTCCTTTAAAAACTGATTGTTCTGTATGTATAAGGGAATGGGTCTTTTACAATAGCTTATGCATTTATCGTACTCATTATACGTATTAAAAGCTTCTCCTATGTTGGGTATAACCATCCGAATTACTTAAATTAAAGATCCAAAGTCACATGAAAGGATTCCTATGGAAATCAATCTATTAGAAACTAATTAATAAGTAGTTACTTAAGGAACATTCACATATACAATTGATAAAAATCTATAAATATTGAATATCAGAGTCTATGCAAAATGCTATCCTAATAAAAAAATGTTAAGCTATTTTATAAAGTGTATCGAATGTTAATCTTAAAACTAGTATTAATTTTAGCATTATTGTTATGGGGCTATAAATTCAATAATTTATAATGCCAGATTTCAATAAAAAACAGTTTCAGAATAATAATTGATAATAAATTCTTCTGATACTGAATGTTCAATTTATTAAGTAGTAAATGTTGGAAACGAATAGCTTCAAATCAAATTATTACAAATTTTATAACAGAATGTTTGATTATTCAAATTACATATATATATTTTATCATAATATTAATTTTTAATATAATCAAAATTTAGTGCATGTTATCCAAAGCTTTTTCACAAAATTTAATTTTACTAAATCTTACTAAACTTTCCTATTTAGTAAATTTTTCTTGAAAATCTAACAAATGGTTTGTCTTTTTTTTGATGTGTTTGTTACTCAGTCTTAAGTATTTGTGTGAATTTCAACCCTGATATAACTCTTGCAATATTACACTTAAGATGCACACTTGATAAATTTTAGCTTTAGCCTTAGTTTAATTTAAAGTAACAAAATTTAAAAATATCAATTTGGAAATAACTGATGACTCATTAAAAAATTAGTCTAGATTAATTATATTTGAATTAATGAAAAACTCTTTTTTTAGAGAAATTAACTAACCTCTCCAAAGCATATTAAAGTTTCCAATTTTCTATTCTTCCATAAATCTTAAAATAGAAATTGATTCATAATTTATTTCATTAATGTATCCGATTTTTGATCTTTTCTAATTGCTTTATCTCTTGAAATCATCTTTTATGATTCTAAAACCCATATCATCCAAGAGGAGGCAAGGAAGACAAATAAAAAAGCCCACACAGCAAGTAATTAGAAATTAAATTAAAAGTCTTTTACTATAAGAAATATCAATATCTCTTCATTCTAAATCTCCATTCATATCCTTGAAAAATCTTAAATTAGCTCCAACCCTTTTATCTGGCTATAATCTGTCAATTTGATTTAATTGACATATAGGCTATATTCTTATTTATGTCTAATATCAGCTATTTTTCTAGATTTTGCTCAAGATTTTCACTAACACTTTTATATTTGATAAACTCGTCTGTTGCTTTAACATTACTTTCTTTATTCTCAGATTTGATTCTTAAGTAAATCAACCAACATGTAAAAACTGTAAATTTATTAGCTTCTTATTCTTAGTATATAAGAGTAGTCAATAACGTTCTCTATTTCGATTAATTCTAAACACTAATTAATATATTAAGTCTCCTATTTTACCATCCATTTTATGTATAAATTGAATAAGTAAATGTTCTGATCTTTATCAATTCTATCTGAGAGTTGAAATCAAATTCTTATTTTTGAATACTTCCATAAGCTAGGATAATTTCATTTGGTAGCTAGAATATTGACTAGTTTTGGAGCTAATTTTCCATCAAAATTATTATTGCTTAAATTTAACACATAGCTAATCTCAATATGTAGTTTACTATTTATTTTCTTGATTATTGAGAAAAACATATTACCTCATTTCTCATTAATAACAATAATTTGAAATCTAAATGTAAATTTTCGCATTATTTTTTGAGCTGTCTTTCAAATATAAATGGATCTCCTTTCAGATGTCTTCTTATCCATAAGTAAATTTTTTTTTTAATAAAATGGAGATTTTGAATGAAATATCTATTAATGAGTTTACGTTTATTAATAATAGAAATTAAATAAAATTTATAAAAAATTCGATTTTAATTAATAGAAAAAAAATGCTAAATGTGCAAGCAATAAAATAACTATTTTAAATATCTGATGAATAATCGTTACAAGTGAAATATTTAATTACAACAAAATTAAAAAGAAAAATATTTTAATTATGTATCATATAATTTCCTTTGAGTACTGCATCTTAGGATTACATTTACTTTTTTAAGTTTGTTTTTTATCCAACTTATTATTGTATTAAGTCCAGCAAACTAGGTCATAGTCTGTTATTATCATAATTATGTTTTTCTCTTTCTTTTAGATCAGTTTAATTTCTCATTTCCAAAATAGATTAGAATTCTTCATGAAGGGATGCTCAATATTAGAGAAAGTATATTCTAGAATTGTAAGAGCTTTATCTCTTAAAATCCTTATTTGTAGTTAATATATAGTTCAAGGAAAAGAAAATTCTCACTTATTAATGGAGTCTTCTAAGATAGCATCATTTACTTATATAAATTTTATTTATATCAAAGACAGAGGGATAAATCTTGTGGATCTGTTTTATATATTTTATTTTATGCTAATGAACTAGCCATTATCTCAAAAGAAAAGAATTTAAGATGAGTTAATCAGGATCTTACAGCATTTGCTATCTTCATTGGTTCTAATAATCGACTATAATTCACGTGTGTAATTGATGCTTCATCATTTCTTAGTGTAATGGAAGTTGATAAGTGTCATTTTCATAGAAATTTCTATCTTCATTAAAATTGTATTAATTTAGTGTTAAGGCAATTATTATTTATTGTTTTCGTTCCGTTTTTCATTTTTGGACAACTGATCATATTTTTATCTTTATAACATAATCCTTCTTTTTTCAACTAATGTTTGTCACTTCAGGATGCCCATCTAAATATTATACTTATCATTCAATTTCTCTGTTATTTTATTTTTCAACAATCTTATCACATTTTTTATACTTTAACTGAAAAGGATGCTCTATAAAAATGAAATATGTATTATATCATTTACTAATACCTAAATACTTTCTAAGTTGACTTTGTAGATTCTGAGTTAAGTTTTAGTAATTTGATAGGCATAATGAAGATGTATATAGGTTTGATCGTTTCAACTAATCTTTTTAATATAAAAGAATCATGAAAATCCTTATGTGTCTCTCTTTGTTAGGTATATATTTCAATATTTGAATCCTTAGTTTGATATTTACTATATGAATATGACACTGAAAAAGGAGAATGCTGATATTATTTTAGGAAAAAGGATTCTACTCTAATTATGAGGCATTTATTATTTTATCTTTTTAAGTTCCTCGCTACAATATTCCTTTTTCATCTATATTTTTTCCATCTTAACTATTTTTGAGCGGTTGCTTAGTAATAATTTCTTTTTATTTAGAAGAAATCATCCACATTCAAGTCCTAGTTCATTAAAGAATTATTTTGATCTATAAATAATTATTAGTTTTTTTTATTATTAAATATCCATATAAAAGTCTGACAATATTTGCATGAGGTGATTATTAGCAAATGAACTTTATTTCAAAATTATATATTAAAACAAAGGGAACAATCTATTACATGGACCATTATAAGTTGTTTCAACTTTATAGAGACATCATTAATTGCAGAAGAGAATGATAGCTTGTTATTCAGGATAGGTTTAACGATATACCTTATATGATATTACATAAACTATAGATTTAAGAATTTTAAATTGAAACAAGTAACTAACCTAATTTGATTAATTGACCATTTTATATTTATGTATAACTAGCTAAACTAAAAGAAATTTCTAAAACATCAGCTAAATACATTTATTAGTACCATCAATTTCAATAAGGAAATTTTAAATCGATATACATATTATATATTAAAGAGTTAATAAGATATAATCAGACTTGAAGCTATAGAGGAATGAATTATACCTTATAATATCTTTGTATACAACAATAAGTATGAATGAGTAAATAAATTTTTAAATAGTAAGAGAAGAAGCACTAAATCAAGGATAAATTAATAATGATGGTTAGGAGGAATTAAAAGAAAAATGAGAAGAAAAATTAAATTAAGCCTTTTAGAGCAGCGAATCAATTTCATTAAATATGAATAATTATTGAAATTATAAAGAATGTAACTCCTTTTTATGTTGTGAGCTCTATATTATTTAAGTAAAAGGCTTTATCAATAATTAAATCCATTGAATGAATTAAGACCCTATCAAATTGAGTTAAAGCAATTGAATACAAAAGATATTATTACAATTTTTGTGAAAAATCAAACAGAAGTGTGAATTATTATAATTTTTGGATTATTACATTATATTTTATTTATTGAAGTGAATTATGATATATAAATGAGTTAAATGAATAAATATATTAGTGTTTATTCATAAATAGTAATAATAAAAAGGGTATTATTATTGTATTTTAAATACTATTGTACATAAATAATTTAATGCTATTATATTATGATTATTTAATTATTATTGAAAAAATATAAAAAAGAAGAGCTATGTGGATCGAACACATGACCGAAAGATATGGAGTCTCTCGCTCTACCATCTGAGCTAAGCTCTCTATTTTAATACTTTATATCTCTTAAAAACAAATAGAATAAATTGTTGTTTAATGCTACATTTTATAAATCTGTGTCAGCCATATAGAATGTAGTAATAAGAGAAAAAAAAGTACATAACTATTAGTAAAATAATAGAAGAGTATTGAGATATTATATTAACGTTAATTGATTTATAATTTCAACAACAACATTTAATAACAACTCTTTTTTTATAAATCAATAACAATATGAAATGTTTTTGAAATTTTTTTTCTATCTTTAAAATTGTGATTACAGAGCCTTCCTTAATTTTGGGAAGCAACACATTAATATATGATAATTATATTAAAATAGATGAAACATAATATATTTATTTTAATTTTGTTGTGTTTAGCTAACACATTAGAACAATGGGATATTATATACCAAAGCTTTCAAGATACTAACACAATGGATACATCTGGTTATTTACAAATTAAATTATTTAGGCTGGATTTTAAGTAATAATTATAATGGATTGACATTTTCAACTTGTGCTGGTTCTAGATTGTATGGGGGATATAATTTATTTGGAGCAAATACAATATTATCCAAGCTGTTTTCCTTACCTCCTCATTATAAAATAAATCTTACTTTTGAATTTTGGAAGTATTTCTCATCTAAAAAGTAGAATTGATAGTTGGGATGCTGAATATGTCTATATGTTTGTAGATGATAAATCATTTACAAAAGTTTATCAATTTTGGGAAGGGGACTCATTATGTGGAATGTCAACTGAGAAGGATTTAGTTGAAATTATAACCTTTAATATGAATCATACCCTAGAATCATTAATTATTTTAATAACTTCAAATCTTAATCAACCTCCAACAGATGTAAAATAAAATATATATTGAAGGAAAGTTGGGGAATCAGAGATTTTACTTTGTCAATTGTAAAATGTCCTTCTGGTTGTTTATATTGCTCAGACGATATTTTTGATAATTGCTACTATTGGATTTGGTTTTTATCACTGTGGCAATCATCAATAGCGCTTAATGGATGGATCAAAAATGTTAATAGCTCGCCTATACCATCTAAATGTGTAAGCTTTGATATTGCTGGAGGACAGTTTTATTTGGCACCAGGTGATAAATTAGAAAAAACTATACCAAACTTGAGTCCTCATTATACAATTTAAATAAATTTATAACTTTTTAAAATTGATACATGGAATAATGAAAACTTTGAGTTACTGGTAGATGATTAAATTTATAATTAAACGGTTTTAAAAAGTACAGGTGTCTATTCTATTTGTGGATACACTGGATTAGAAAGAATAGTTAACATTGGAATTACTTTACCTCATTCATCATCATCATGCAAAATAACTATGAGAACTAATTAGTATTCGGCATCTGTAAGTGCATATTGGGGAATAAGAGCATTTACTCTATATCTTGCAAAATGTTGTAATGGTTGCGATCAATGTCTCGGTCCTTTAAAAACAGATTGTACTCATTGTTCAAGTGGATGGATCACTTACAACAATCTATGCATTAATTGTATTGATTAATTCTAATAAAGCACCTTTTTATCTTTTATCATAAGTTTTAATTAATTAAGTTCAAGATCCACATTCAGATGAGAGAATTCCTATAGAGATCAATATACTAGAAACTAATTAATAAATAGTTACTTAAGGAACATTCACATATTCAATTAATAATAGTTAAAAAATATTGAATTTTCGAATATATGTAAAATGCTATGCTAATAAAAAATTTTAAAGCTATTTTATAAAATGCTTCCAATGCCAGTCTTAAATTGAGTAATAATTTTCCGATGTTTGCTATGGGGCTAACACTTTTATAATTTATAATGCTAGATTTTAAGTTTCAGAATAAGATTTAATAATTAACACATCTAATACTGAATGCTCAATTTATTAAGTAGCAACTGCTGCTAATGAGTCAGTTCAAATTAAAATATTAGAAATTTTATAACAAAATGTTTGAATACATAAATTGCATAATTATAACAATATATCAATTTGAAGTTATACAAATTTTTTAGCATGTTTTGAAAGATATGCAAATCTTAATGTTTTTAATAGATTCATTTTAGTTTTTATGATATGAAAATAATTCTTCATAACTTTTTTGTTTTATGGATTGTATTTAGTTCTTAATGTTTTAGGTCTAAAGTCTTGAGGAGAATGCATAATAAAACTATTAATTAATTACTATTTTACTTTTTTTCAATTTAATTTTAATAATTTTTGAATCAAGATGTTAATCTCCAAATTTTAATTATATTTCAATCATCATAAACTTTTATAGCAATATAATTAATTGTGTTTAGAGTCATTTATAAAAATTAATTGATTTATAATTTCAATCTAAAACATTTATCAATCTACTTTATTAATCAATAAGTATGATTAACAAACTCTTGTGATATTATTCCTAATAAGATTAAAATTACTAAATAAAAAACATTTCTATATAATTTCCTTTTAACTGGAAAATAAAGTCTCCAAAAATTTAAATTGAGATAATTAAATTAAAATTGATAAAATTAAATATGTATTTTAAAATTCCATTATGCTGAGCTATGACATAAAAAAAGTGGGATATTATAGCTTTCAAAACATTAGCCCAATGACTACATAAAGTTTTTTTCATAAGCACGTCATTGAAATTTTTGTCCGTGTGGTTTGCTTTAATTTTACTAAATTTTGCTAAAAACTTCATAATTCAGAAAAGTAATCTGTAACTTTGCCATTACTTTCTTCTTTTCGGATTATTCTTAGGGAATTCTACTAACATGTAAATTTATTAGCATCCTAGTTTATTCTTTACTTTGGTTATCTTTCTTATTTAAAGTCAAATTAATTAAACAACAATGATTAGATATAGTGTTAAATGAAATTTAATGTCGGATTGGTACCATTTTGAACTAGGCAGCGATCTACTCTAGAATAGAGGCACATCTTACTTGTTATCTTTAAAATAGTTAAATTCAGATAGTATTACATTTATTTCAAATGTATATTTACTGAGAAGGTGGAAGTTTATATATCTGTCTTATCTAATCTTTAAATTTTATCTTATATTCAGTATTATTGAAGCTTCTAAGGGAAAATTGTAGGAATTAGACTAGCTTTGAAATGCATCAATTTATTAAATTTTAAGAATATAATATTTGTAGCAATTTGCAATTCAACAAATCATCAATTTCCCAAATAAGAATGATTAAAAAATAAGGGAATTGATGACTTTAATTTTGCTAAAGTATTTTAACATGTAACTATGTGTAATTTATTTTTGTAATCATCACATGCCTGACTATATAAATAGTCAAAAGTAACAAGTCTTTTGGTTTTATAAAAGAGAGGAATGTGTATTTTAATTATAATTTATTCCAATACTATATATTTATCCTTCCTGACCCTTTCATTTTTTTTAATCTTCAATTTATTTTAAGTATAATTAACAGATCTAATACAGAATGTTCAATTTATTAAGTAGTAAATGTTGGAAGTGAATTGCTTCAAATAAAAGTATTAGAAATTTAATAGTAAGATGTTTGAATATTTAAATTAAATATTTATATTTTGATAATAATTTTTCAAACTTAACCAATCTTTAAAACAGGGTATTGAAATTTATGCACAATTATTTATCCTTTAATTTTACAAGAATTTGCTAAACCTTTTTGAATTAAAAATATTGCTTTTACTCCTCTACTAATACTAGCCAATAATAATAAGCTGTTGTATGTATACAATTTCAAAAATTCATCTTAATTAATTGAGGATGAAAATCTTATGTCCGTCTGATCTATTCTACCTTATTTTAATCACAATATATGGATAAATATTAAAAAATCTTATTGACTTGAAATGTAAAATATCTAATTTTAATGTTTTTATATTTTTTCAAATCCAAATTCAAAAAATTTATTAGAGTAGTACAAAATTTCAAGCTTATCTATTACCTAGAAAAATGTTAAATGTGCAAGCAATAAAATAACTATTTTAACTATCTGAAGAACTAAAGCTATAAGCGAAAAATAGAATAATATGAACATTAAAGAAAAATATTGTAATTAAATTTTTATTTTGATGCATAATATAATCTACTTTGATTATTGCAACTTTAGAATTATATAAACTATATTTTTAAGCTTAATTTATTACCCAGCTCATTTTTTGTATAGCTAACAAACTAAGTCCAGAAACTAGTTCAAATTCTGTTATTATAACAATTATAATGTTTCCTTACTTTTAGATATTTTAAATTCTCATTTCCAATTAGATCAGAATTCTTCATGAAGTCATGTCTAATATTGTTTCAATTGAGGTTTGAGCAACAATTTCATTTTAGTATTGAATGATAATAAACATAGTTTAACAGCTCTTTATTCAGTAATTTTATTACATGAATATCCTATTAATAGTCCATGTTTTTTTGATCCTTTTTTACTCACTTTTAGACAATTTAAGAATTAGAAAGGATTGAAGAGGTCTAGTGAAAAGACTTCTAAGAAAAATTTCCAACTAAAATAAATTCTTGGTATGTAGTCAGCTATTAAGAGAATACAAGAATAATAGAAATTATGAATTTGTATGTACACAAATCAATGAAGACTGCATTTATTATTGATTTTTCAAAATGCTATTATTTATTCAAAGAATTAGATGTGAAAGCTTTATAATTTGATAAAGTCATCTATAGCTTTGCAATTAATTCTTTTGTCGGTTTGATCTTTATATAATTACACATGCAAAATTTGTAAATTAATAACCTTATTAGTTTATAAAAATATAAGCATATTTTTGCTGTGAGCTATTCTATTTCTTTATTGTGTATAATTTATAGTCAAACTAATTAAGCAATAATGTACTGTGAGTTTGTTAAATAATGATTTAAGCGTGAATTGGCCAATTTCGAACTAGGCAGCGATCAGCTCTAAAAATAAAGGTGATCTTACTTGTTTTTCTTTAAAAAATATAAAATTCAAATGATATTCAATTTAAAATAAAGGATTTTTTTGTCAACTTGTGATTGTTTCAGATTTATACTACCAATCTAGAAACTCATACTTATGAGAATTCCGAAGGCTAATCTTCTCTATAACACATCCTGGTCTATTCTCAATCGACTTTCCTCCAATTTCATGTTAGCACAAAAATAAGGAATATTTTATTGTGCGATTTGGAAAGTAGTGGGTTAATGGAATTCACATTCCATTAAGTAATTCTTATTTAATAATATCTATTTACTTGTTATATAATTGTCACCAAAGAATATCTTACTTATTCACTCTTAGGTCCTAATTCTTAAGCAAAGTTTCTCACTCAGCACTAACCATATCTTCTATTTTTATAACAACCATTGGTTTTAGGACTCATCTTGAAGGATATCTGGAGGCATCTTAATTCCTTCGATAATTTTGATCATCTGTTCAAATTCCTTTATGTTTTTAGATATATTTTATTTCAGTCCTCAATTATTCTTACATTTTATGGGAAAATCATACAAATTCCACTTACTTTATCATTTCTATTATTCTTTTTCTCTATATTTTAAATTTTGAAACTTATGATTTATTTTTTAATTTCGCTATGATACTAATATTTCCATTTAATACTTATTGTTAATTTGGTTTTATGAATATAAAATAATATAATGAAATTAGTTCTCCTATTCTTTAAAATGATTTGAATTAAATTCTATTTTATCTGGGAAGGCTGTTGATATTTCTGTATTCTAATCTTTGAATTTTCTTTTATTCCCTATACATTTGTGTTTATTTTCATTTTTGGCTATCAGCTTTTGTTATCTCCTTTTATTTGGTTTTTTTAATCCGTCTAATCTATTACTAAAAACGTTAATTAATTCTTGAGAGTGACAAAACTGCACTAATCTTGATGTTTTTGAATTTTTGTCTGTCGCCCCTCCTATTATGTACTGTGTAAGTATTAATGATTCTTAGTAAAACCTGCCATAGTAATAGGCTAAATTTCTAAATATTGATGATATAATTTTACATTTTCCGTTTCATCTCTGTTGTAGAAAAATTTAATATTCTACTTCTCTTCTTAATCTAAATGAGCTTACTATGTTTATAATTTATTATTAATGATATGTTTAACACCACACCGGAAATTAAAAGTATATTACTAAAACCCTATTCTACTATCTATATTATGAGTGAATTGGAGAAGTAAAGTTCTGATCTGTATCTATTCAAAATGAAAATTGAAACTTGAAACTTGAAACTTGAAATCAAATTCTTTTTTGAATTAATTCCAGAAAATCACACGCTTTGAGCTAGGGTAAATTAACCTTAGTTGTTAGCTAGAAAATTGACTTGTTTTAAAAAACTTAAAGCCATCAACATAATTGATATGTTAATTATATTATTATTACTTAAATTTAACATTATTTCATCAAGAACATAGAAGTTAAATTTTTACCTATCATTTATCCATTAGTTTTCATTATTATAATCTTAAGACTCAAGAAAACCCCAAAGTAACTATATTAGTTACAAAGAGGACAATTTTATCTCTTATTAATACGAGCAACCTATCTACTCTATAAATACATAGAAAAACCTAAAGTTTAGGTAGAAAATAAAAGATGTAATGGATCTATTAATTTAGATACTGTTATACATTTTTCAACTTAAGATTAATTGTTAAGCCTCCTAAACTTTAATTCTATTCAACCATCAAAATATATTACTGCTCTTTGATTAATATAAATATTAATTGATTATAATTTAAATGAAAAATTATTATCAACATTTCTTCTTTATAAATCAAGAAGGTAAATAAGTAACTGTAACCATAATATTTATATACAATAAAAAATAGTGAAAACAGAATTCTAAGATAATTTGATTTAACCAAAGAAGTTAGGGGCGCACCTACATTAATATTTTTATAATTATATTAAATTTGATGAATAATATATTTATTTTCATCACATTATGTTTAGCTAAGACATAAGAACAATGGGATATTGTATACCAAAGCTTTCAAGACCTAAACTCAATGGATGAATCAGGTTATTTACATATTAAATATTTAGGCTGGACTGTAAGTAATAATTATAATGGATTGCTTTTTACAACTTGCAATGGTTCTAGATTGTTTGGAGGATTTAATGCATTTGGATATTCCACAATAGTATCTAAGCATTTTTCCTTACCTCCTCATTATAAAATAAATTTTACTTTTGAATTTTGGAAGTATTTCTCATATAAAAAGTAGAATTGATTTTTGTTAAATAGATCAGGTCTATTTTTTTTTAGATTATGAAGAATACTGGACAAATTACCCTCAACTTTGGTCAGACCCAAAATATTCTCAATGGCTGAATGACAGAAATAATTACTCTCAATGGCTGAATGACAGAAATAATTACTCTCAATGGTAGGAAGAGTATGAATTATGTAAAAGTAAAAGTGGAAGCGGTTGGTATGAGGAAACTGAAATTTTAACAGGTATATTTAAACATGATTCGGAATCGTTAATTTTTATAATTTATTCATACGTTAAGGTAAAATATGATTATTTTAAAGGGAGGATGGGGGTTTAGAGATTTTACATTGTCAATAGTAAGATGTTCTTCTGGTTGTTTATATTGTTCAGACAATGATTATAATAATTGTTATTAATGGGTTGGTATTTTATCACTGCGGCATGAATCAATTGATTTAGATGGATGGATGTAAAATGATAATATCTAACCTGCAACATCTAAATGTTTAAATTTTGATCTTCTTGGAGGATAACCTAATTTAGCATTAAATGATAGATTAGAAAAAATTATACAAAATTTGAGTCCTCATTATAAAATTTAAATAAATTTCTAAAGTTGGTTATTTAATTATCATTGGGATTATAATTTTTACTTTTAGCAATTGGTAGATGATTAAATTTATTATTAAACTAAATTCCTATTAGCAACTTTTGATTTTCTTTGTGGACCCTATAATAATTCAGGTTCTATATCTAATATTGCAGTTACTTAACCTCATTCATCATCATAATGTAATATATCTATGAGATTTACTGTAAGTGATTCAAATGGATATTGGGGAATAAGGGCATTCAATATATATCTTGCAAAATGTTAAAATGGTTGTGATGAATGTGTTGGTCCTTTAAAAACAGAATTTACTGTTTGTTCAAGTGGATTGGTGCTTTACAATAATATATGCACTAATTGTATTAATAAATCGTAATAGTATAGCTCCCCCTATGCTTTTATCGCAAATTTCAACTAGTTAAATAAAAGATTTATAGTCAGATGATAGAATTCCTATTGAGATTAATCTATTAGAGGTTGATTAATAAATAAATACTTAAGGAAATTTTACACTTTCAGTTAAGAATCAATATAAATTCTTGACTATTTAAGTTTATGTAAGATGCCATCCAAAAACAAGGATTAATAGTTTATTTTAAAGCAATAAATATTAAGATTCGTACTAATATTCATTTTTTTTAAATTGTTAGTAGGCTTTCAACACTGTAAATTATAATCTTAAATACGAATAAAGGATAATTAAAGAATAAGAAATGATAATTAATACATCTGATACACAATGTGTAATTTATTAAGTAATTAGAGTTATTGATGAATTACCTTTATTTGTCAAAATTTTAGAAATTATAATAGAAGATTTTTGAATATATATTACATTGTATTTAAAGAATTGAATGGATTACATCTATTTTGATCTTCATAATAATGTTAATTATTTTAGAAATCAAATTTTCTTTTTTAATGAATATCGATTGCATTTTTCTTAAGTTCCCTTTATTTTGCATAAAGTTGATTATTTGCCATTTATATATTATTATAATAGAGATTGGCTATAAAACTGTCACCCTTATCAAGAATATCCAAAAATAAAATAAAAGATATGTAAATATTTTGAATATAATTGATATATGTTTCATAAATAAATTGCAATAAATAATGAATTAAAAATAATTGTTAATATAAATATTAAAAAGTAAAGAATGGAATAATTATAAAGACAACCAGCTAAATAACTTTATTTTACAACTGAATTGTTTAAGAACAAATTCATAACAGAAAAAGAAAAAATTCAATTAAAAGAATTTATTATTGCATAAGATGATTTCTTGACCTCTTATTTTGATTAATATGAAAGAAATGATATTACAGAATAAGAATTAAGAGAAGTATTTTAATCAATATCAATTAGAAATTAATCAAATTAGTTAGAGCAGACTTCTTTAAAGACACCAAGTATAAGCAACATTGAATTTTATATTTTCTAGATTATTGTTATTTTATTAATATTTAAAATAGTAATAATTATATCAATACAAATCAATATAAAGTGATCAAATTTATTCTGCTTTCTAATTTTCTTAACAAAGATCTTATATCTTGAAAATTGAAATTAATAATGATATTTAATTGATTTCCAAAAAGTTAATAGAAAATGTAAGTAATGATTTATTTCTACAATAAGTTAGAATCAACTTAAAAACTAATCAAATATGTTTTTGAGATTTCAATTCTAAATATTTAAATGATGCAAAAACAAAAGATTTGCTCCAATTTTTTTGATGCAATTTATTAAATATAAAACAAAGGAATTATCAACACACTTAGATGACGCATTATTTTCAATTAAGATAAAATTTTTAAATTTAAGAAGATAAGAAATAAGAAACTCATCCATCAGAAATGTTTGAAAAATGACGAAAACATAAAATATACATAAAAAGAAAGACTATAAATATAATAACTCAGATAAGGTGGGTGTCAATTCAATAAGTGGAAAAATGTAAATTATGAGATGAATGAAAGGATTTTCAAAAGTTTCGCTCTGAAAATTATAACAAAAGAATAAATATTCATGAAGTTGTTTTGCAGTTTATATAAAAAAGTGGTTTAATGGAGATCAAGGGAAAGTATATGAAATATATACGAATGTCGAGTATATTATGAGCTATAAGTAATTTTAGATTTATATTGGCTATTATGTGGATCTTTGAAAAGAAGACCAAATATATTTGTTGTTGTGAATTAATAAAAAATATTATATGTATAATCCTGTAGAGTATTATTATTCCAACGATTACTACTTGTCATAAATCACAAATAGTAACTTTAATCGAGTCAATACTTCCTACTCTCCTAAAAAAGTTATGATGAGCATATTCAGAAATGATTGCAAGCCATTTATTAAGCAAAAAACCCTTAACTTAGAGTCAAAAGAAATTCATCCCCACATTGTTAGACATAAGTGTATTAAACAATCTTTCACTAAATTGGCAGAATCTATTCTTAGTGTCAGTAATTGTTTCGATAACATTCCAAACACATATACAAAAACTGAAAAGTTTGTTTAAAAATTAAAGCCTAAAATAACTACTCCTTCTCCTACTCCTCCAAAACCTCATAATCATGAAATATATAGAATTCCAGGTAGACTTCACAAAGGGGCATTGCTAAGAAATTTTGATAATTCAATAAATTAAATTGATAAATCCTATATTTTAGACTCTAAATAAGAGTTAGGAACATTGTCAATGAGTCCAAAACCAAGGGCAATTGATTGTTTTCAAGAATAAGTTAGACAAAAAAACTAGCAAATATCAAATACTGTTAATATGGTAAGTCATTTTAAAGAATTATAGCAATAACTTACTATAAGAAAATCAATCTTAAATAATGAAATAACTACTAATACTCCTAAGCAACCGAGTTCCAACATAATAGATTAAACAATTCAAGCAATGAAAGTAGATTGTTTTTACACTAAATTGAGTCTTAATAATATTAATCACTTAGTTATGATATAATTTGAAAATGTTTTGGGATTTGATGAATCAAGTTACTTTGGATTACAAACTGATTTCTTAACTAGTAAACAATACGATGAATATGTAGTTTTAAGAGATCATTACTTTTAGAAGGTCTCATCATCTCAATCATTTTATATACTGAAGAATTTCAAAGAATTATTTAATTCTATTTCTCGTGTTTATTAAGTGTGTTTATACACAATTCATTATCCTTAATTACTAAAAGAATTTCTTTAGGAAAGAAAATTAAGAGTTAATTGTGGATTTTAAATTTTGAATTATAAAATTGATACATTTGTAGTTGATATTAGTCAGGTTTTTATTGATCTCTAGATAGTGACTCCAGAATTATTAATACTAATCTAACCCTGTCAGATATTAGGTTAATAAGAATAACAGATCAGTAGTAATTCAAAAATTCCATATTATGAATTTCATGGTTAGCGGTTCTTTTTACCATATTCAGGAGAAATTCATCCTAATAATTGCAGACTATTAGCCTTGCCTCTATTATCTATGGAGTCCTTATTAAAATAAGATGAATAAAGTAAAGGATTTGTGCAAATTAGTTATTTTATAGAGTAATTTACTTTGGCTTTGTAAAGTGAAAGTTACTTTGTAAAGTTTCTTAATAAAAGCTAGAATAGAATAAAAACTATTGATTTGTCTAGGTATTTTAGATAATAAAACTAAAAAATATTGCAATAGTTATTTTTCATAGATACTTTAAAGATCCAAGAACAAAAATAGGATGAATTTCAAATGAAAAAGAAGGAAATGATACAAAGAATCATTTAAAAATTTGATCATTCAAAATAAATTGAATAATATACAAATGATTTGATGTTTAGGAATAAAGATATTTTTAAGAAAATGAGAAATTACAAATAAGAAAACGTGAACAAATTGCATAAATTATAATAGGACCTTTCTCAATAAGTGATTAGATATAATTATTGCGAAATGTTTGTTGATACAACATACTACTTAGCGTATTGATATATATGCTTTTTATATTGTAAATACTCATTCTTTCATTTTTTAAACAATCCACTTCTAATGTCTGGCAAGAATTCTTGTAATGAAAGTTCCAATCTGTCATCCAAAGTGTTAGAACAAACAATTCTACTGTTAGCACAGCTCAAAACAACTCCTCCCAAACTAAAATAAGTTTATATCTAAATTTTACATTGGTTTACCCCCCTTCTCTGTTAGATATTAACTCTAGTTAATGCTTAATGTTGTCTTAAAGTCTTTGGTTGTCTCTCTCTTAATGATTATAGTGAATTCTTCTTAACATTCGACCAAAATGGTTCTGATGAGTTGCACATCCTATTCTAAGCAAGTCAATTCAATTCTGGGCTCAAGCAACTTAATCATTCCTTAGATTATCAAGTTCTTTAGTAATTCTTTATAGACACTTTAATCTTGTATCAATTTTGCCATCTTCTATCGAACTTCCTCTTTAAGTCTTTGGATCAACTCAAAACGTGCTTGCATTTTGGACAATCTTGATTGATTGATTTTAGATGATCGTTGACTACACTTACTAAATATCTTTACATTCTCTTTTCGATTGTGTATGACTCAATCTTCTTTTTGTATTCTTCGATAATCTTCTCCTTCTATTAATTGAGTAGCTTGTTCTTTTCGATTCTAAATTATTAAGCAGCCATGTCCTTGATTTATTCAGCTTTCTCATTGGCCTAAACAAATAAGTTGTTATCAAAATTACCTCAGCTTTTATGGCATTGACCATCTTCTTTACTCTTTCTTATGGATTAAAATCTGCCATGTTATTTTATTTATGAATAAAATTCCAATCTATTCACCCAATAAAGATAACTCAATTAAGTAATTATAGTTTATTAAAGAGAGGAGTACTCAACTAAATCGCTTTCCATTATCGATTATTAAGATAGGACTTAATTTAACTATTTGATTCGATATGTAGAATCTTTTAACTCTATATATTCTGAATACTAGAAATTTGAGGAATCTTATAAAAAATTAAATTGATTTTAAGAGATACTCTAATCGTATAAATAGTATCATAATCATTTGATACCCATCATTAAATTTTAGATTATATTACAAATCTACTCAAATTTTATAGATTTCAAAGTAAAAACTATCCAATCTTCTATCTAAGATATTGGAAATCTTGAGAATGAATTAAAATCTATTTCCTACTTCAGTTATCACTTAAATTATTGTCAAATTCCTTTAATTTAAGAATATAGGAATTATGTAATACTATATCCTCCACTTAGAGATATCATCATCATGTACACCTACTAGAACATTTTAAAGAGATTAATATTAGTTATTAATAGAGGAGTAAACAACGAATAAACATTGAAAACCATAGTCTTAAATAAATATAAGGTTTAAGATAATAAATCTAGAACATTTGTATACCTATTTTGAAGAAGTCAGGACTATTAAGTTGTCATTAAATAATGAAGGTAAGCTACTTTAAAACTAGTGATCAGATTAAACGAATAATAGATCCACTGTCAAATCCAAGGGATGTAAATTATGATAAAATGATCTAAATATATTTTAAATAACATATCTCATACCCATAAATTAAAGGATTAGTAGGATTAAATATTATTTTCTATATTATTAAGGTTCGATTATAAAATAATATTATGATGTCATGACAACAGAAAATTTCTAAATTAAAATCATATTTAGAATTCATAATTTGAGAATTATTTCAGATGAACTATGCTTGTAGAGAGAATGCATTTGATCAAAATTTATAAATATTGATTAGCTTTGTGATGATTATTTTAGATATTCGAGTAATATTTTGTTTTTATATTAACAATTTTCTTTATAAATACACGGAATTTAGATAATATAAATATAATTGTTAAATCTAAATAAATCTTCAGAAAATAAATGTTGAGACATCTATTTTCATGTAATTGTAAGTTGATAATCAATTTTCAGAGTAGCAAAGTAGCAGTATGATATAATTATTGGAAAAATATTAAATAAACTCATTTGTTGCAATTGAGGCGAATGAGTATCAATCAGCATAGGTAATTTTCTATGAATGATTCATTTTGATGCTATCTGAGAAAATTTTCACTCTCTTCGAAAGTATCTGATTCACTTTTGATCAAATTAACATAATCTATAGACTGTTATTAGGATATGTTTTCTTTCCATTATAGAATGAATTTATTCTTTTAATAGACTATTATAATATTTCTAAAGCATTACCTGAAGGTCGCTTGTTAATTAAACTTAGAATAATAGATTCTTGATCTGCTGCAGCTATCTACATCTGATTCATAGTATCATAATGCTTTTGAATTCTAAGAGTGTTGCCTCTGGTCTTTTTGACCTTTTTAGATGGTTTCAGTTAAAAGAAGCACTCAGATTCATTGTCTTCAATCATTTATTATTTTAATGATTAATATCTCTAAGCATATCCAAAGGCATTTAAGTCCGTATGATAAGGGAATTTAACAAAAATAATGCATACTATTATTTTGGATGACTTCAGGAATGAGAATGAACAATTGGTTTAATTCTTGAGTGTGGATTTGGCAAGAACAGGGGATATCCCAAGAAAATATGATGAAATATTTATATATTTATGCAAATACTAACATATTCATATGATTGCAATCATTTGAAGAAATATAATTTATCCTAAAATAAATATAAATGATTTGATATACAAATTTAGCAAACAATTCTTTACTCTAACCTGAATGTGTGGTAGAGTTGTAGATAAGATGCAAATAATATCCAATTTCTTCTTTGACTCTCTCTTGCCACAATGGGTACTCTTTCAATTGATCCAAAAGATTGATGTATTTGTTAATGGCTTCCTCTAGATGATGTTCATATGTCAAAGTTGTATGCTCACTTCTGAACCAAGTATTGTGAGTGGCGATTTCTTTGGTTAATTCCAAATAGAGTGATCTGTATTCCCAGGTTGCTCTATGCAAATCCAAGATGAAGGAGTATAGGTTTTCAAATTGGACAAATTTATTTCTTGCCAATTCGTATTATTCCTTCTCACTTTATGCATATTGAATATATAAATAGTTACAATGATTCAAGTCTGGGAGTCCAGTTTCTAGCAATGTGAGAGTAGAATCTGCATTCATAATAGCTCATGGGGTCTCTTTCCAGGAATCCTTCTTCTGGGTCTTAGAACCCGGCCTTACACATTTCAGTCATTATTCTATCCACTTACACTAAAAATCAATAGACACAAGCCTTACATGAGTAGTTGATGACTCTGCTCTTGATGAAATATGAAGCAAATCTTGTTACGATGGACATCCTTTATTATAATTAATAATAAATTAATATATTTAAAAGACAAGAAAACTCTATGTTTCAAAATTAAATCTGATATTGTTTTATTAATTTAAGGATATATTTATAAATGGGTTCAGTCTGCTCTGCTTAAAAGAATCAATCAAAATTGCGCTCTTAAAATGAGGAATTAAAAAACAACAATTAACCATATTTAGAGGCTTCCTCCCTGGTTGGCCAATCATTACCTATGGAAAACAAACAAGACGCTGCTCTTGATTAATATGTCCAGGATTTATTATAGCTCTTTAAGAGGTTCTGTATGTTTCTTGATCTTGTGGGTAATTTAGATCAACTTCCACAACATACCAGAGAAAAAATAAATAATTGCATCATTGTTAAATAAAATATTTCTATTATCATACAAAACAACATCAAGCGAGTCATGAGGGAGTAGTAAATCATAAAACGAATAGATGAATCAGATTATTATCTTATATATAATGATCGTAAATTTGCAAGTGCTTTCAACTAAATGATGTAAAAACTCTCCAATATTATTATAAACGAGCTTAAGCCAGATGAAGATTTTCAATCAGCATTCCCTATCTTGGCAGTGTCTTTTGAGGAGGAGGCCTAAAAAATTAATTCAATTGTGGAGAAAATCAAAAATATCTAAATTATTGCAATGCGAAAAGGAAGTTCTTAGCATTCGCTTTCCATTAATCAAGCATAACCAAAACGAAAATCTTCCTAGCAATGAAATAAAGTTATTTATTTCATCATTCAAACTTTTTATTGATATTATTAATTGCACTCTTTTTGTTTTTATTAAAATGATTGATTATTAAAATTTGTTGACAATCTCAAAATTTGATCCAAGATTCTTCTTGAATTTATAATTAAATTTATATACAATTTATCTACATAAATATGGTAATTAAGTATCTTTCAATTCTTGAAAATATTGAAAATGTTGTTGTATAAATATATATATATATAATTATTAAATTAACTGTTAATGGATTAGATTGACAATTTTAGTATGGCAAGCATTAATGAAAAAGAAATTGAAAATAATTTGAAAGACTTATTGGAAAGAGTTTTGCTTAACATTGAGAAATTTATTGAAACTAAGGAGGAACTGAATTAAGTGGAAGCTGAATTAAAAGACTATGAAAGTTTAACTCATTTGATTGGCATAATCAAGGCAGTCTTTACAAACCTTATGATGAAAGTAGAAAAGAAAATATCGTAAGTAGTTAATTAAAATATTAACAAAGCAAATTAGAAAAATAAATTGATCCGAACCATTCAATAACCAAAAGTTTGAGGTCAGATGAAGAATATGAAAAACTAGAACAAACTCTAATCAAATATGAAAGTGAGATCAGAAATCATATAAGAGTATTATATTAATTATATTTAGATTGAATAATAACTTAAGTTATATGCTGAGTCTATTCAAAGTAAATTGGATGAAAGTGAATCGAGTAGAGCTGAACTTCTAGAAACCACCAAAAAGTTAATTAGTGTATTGATTATTCTAAACCATAGAATTTAAAAAGAGAAAATTAATCATATCATGAAACTTAGCAGAAATTGAACATAGAGATCGCTAGTTTAAAATAGGTTATTAATAATTTAGAAAAGGATAATAGGAAGAAATCCTTGGATTTAGGATAAAGAGATTACTTAAAGAAAAATCAATAACCAATTATCCAATAATTATAATTGTAAAGTAGATTATTTCTATTATTTTTCAGATCAAAGGAATTAAAAATCTTATTCTGAGCATAAATTAAATTCTCAAATTAATCATACTTCTAATACCCTTGAAACAAATGAAATACCAATCAAATCATAGCAATCTTTGAAATAAAACTATTACAATATAATCAATTATGGACATTAAGGGAATAAAGGCGATGTCTTAAAAGTTATATAACAAAAAGATTTGAACAAAATATACGGTTAAAAATTGAAAAGCAAAAATAACTCACTCTCTACTATTCAAGATCTAATCCAAAGTGTTTCTGTTTAGGACAGAAAAAAAGGAATTATTAGCTAACCAGTTTCAAAAAATAGCTCATAAAATAATAGTTAAATCTAGAAATACAAAGGTACGATCTCTTAATTAATATAGAAACATGCGATTAGAGTAGAAGTAAGAGTTCTAGAAGAGCAAATATAGGAACTAAGCATATTTAAATAGAATCTCAGATTAAATTAACTAGCTGAATATTTAGACTATTATAATATTCATTTAAACCTAAACCTTTTATAAAAAACAATACAAAATCATTTCTTCATTTTATTTATTGATTGCCTCCAAAAGTTAGCACTTTCTTGAATTTCTGATATAAGTTTCCATTTAGATAACGTAGTTCTAAGTGGATTTACTACTGTTTGTCTCTAGTTTTCTTAAGAATTAGACTTTCTCTTACTAGCCTTATTATTTTTCCTGTTAGCCATTCTAAGATTTAATGCTATATTTTGGTCATTTAATTATTTCTTAATTGCTTCATCATACTCCTTTGAAATTTGATCGTACTATTATAAAAGAGAGTTAACATCAATCTTTTAATCGTGTTGTCTTTCTTAAACTTCCATACAGATTTCTCTCTCCTTTGCTTAATGTTTTTTAAAAACACTAAATCTCATTTTAGAGTTTGAGTCTAAGTTTTATTAAAGAAAAGGTCTATTAAATCTGGTTTCCTCTTCGAACTTTAACTGATCCAAATTTTGACCACAAGCAATAGAGGTAAATCTATTTTAAATAGCAGTTGATTCTTCATTATCTTCCATCATTAACTTAATGGTTTCTGGTCTGCTCAATAGAAATTAGATTTTTTCTAAGAAATAATCTTTTAAGCTCTATTGGTCTGAGTCAAATTACTCAACAAGGTAACAATAGATTTCTACAGTTTTTGTAATATGTTCCAAACTATAAATTCTTTCATGAAAAATAGCTTCTAATTGTAACAGTAATGCCAATTTTGATCCATCTATTTGCTCCTTTTAAGTCTTATTCTTTTTAATAAATTTCTCTTGTTATTAATAGTGTTTTGGAGATGATAAAGCATTTTACATGGCTTGAACAAATAACATTACAATTTATAAATAAATAATAAATTCATTAGAAATTAATAAAATATCAATTTCTTCAGGGGATGCTTGATGATTTTAGAATATCAACTCTCCGCTTATTAAACATCAGAAAATAAATGCGAAAAAAGAACACCAAAATAATTTATAAAAGTAGATGTATTATATTATAATTTTATTAAAACCTTTAGTTCATGATTATTATTTTTAGGTAATTATTTCCTTATTGATTTTCTATAAATCCTAAGTCTTTATTAAACTAATAACTTACACTTCATGTTAATTATAATTATTAATATTCTAAATTTATTAATTTATCGCCTTTTTTCCAATATTCCTATTGAAGGAGATTTGAGAATTTCTTGTTAATTTATTATTCGTTTTTATTTTTGAGTTTTTTTTAATCATTTAGTTACCCTTTGAAAGTCTGTTGTTTAAATAGGTTTGATTACAATGCATCAAATTTCTGGAGAACTCAAAGATACTATTATGAATATATTAAATTATAATATCTATGATTCAGAAACAAGGAGATGATTAATTAATGTTGAAAATATTTTATTTTTATAATAAACTTAATTAATATATTATAACTTTCAACAAATCAGATAGTCTTCGTTATGAATTATAGAGTTTACAAATTTTATAAAATAGTTCTGTTATTTTATGAAATTTACAATTATTTAGGAGCACTAAATATTTCAGAGGCCATAAGTTAATTAGAGAATGAAAATTTAAATTAAAGCTTAGAGTGTTGAAATGATTTTCTAAAGCTATTTAGTAATTGAAAATTAATTTAATAATGAATAAGAAATTAATTATTTGATTAACTATTAAAGTTCGATTACTTTCAGTGTAATATTGTTTGATTAATTTTATTTGAAAAATTTACATGAACAAGAAACATCTTTAACTAAAATAAATAACTTCAGATCTTGATAGCGAGAACAGAAAATAGGATTATAAGAGATTGTCGTCTGAAATCGAATAGATGCTATCATCTCCTGAAATCAAGAAGTTCGAAGCCTTTCTAATTGAATCCCTAACTTTTAAACAAAGACTTTCAGAGAAATTTTCATAATTTACACCAATAACGTTAAAATAAACATCATTTTAATGTGAAGATGATCTTAGATGGAATCGCTCAGAAGGAATGTGACCATATAAATATTAATTTTTCCTAATCATATTATATTTTTAAGTATTTATATTTTTGTAAATTTACGTAATATTAAATGGCATTATAATAATTATAAAGGTATGAAGCTGATGAAAATTTGTCTAAATTTCTCAATAAAGAATTAGGAAGATCACTAAAGTTCCAAAAAAAGCATGTAACTATTTGATTATATCGAGTAGGAGAAGGAACTCAATAATTTGTTGACTTACCAATAAAAACTGTAGGACGAGAAACTAAAGAATGAAAATAAGTTGCACTAGATGTTCTACAAGGAGAAATTGATCGATCATTAAAAAAAACAGAAGGAAGATTTTGTATAATATTATCCTTTTTATTTTAGTTGAAAGAGCAAAAGGTTAATAAGGATCACTAATTTTTGTATAAGCAAAAAGAAAATGAATACATCGATGCTTTAGATGCAAGCTGGTGCTTTTATTAAGATTATTCTCCTTCGAATGATATGAAACCATTAAAAGTAGATGCTGAAAGAGAAAAGGTTTTAAGATTCTTATTCAAACAACTCCAAACTACTACTGATAATGTTGAAAGGGCACTTATAAAAAAGAAGATCAATAAATTTAGAGATTCGGAAGTACAATTCATGTCATAATTTTTATTAGATATCTAAAAAGAAATTAAATCAGATTGATCATAAATTGGAATATGCAAAGCAAGTAAGAAGTGAGTCACTTGATAAATCTATAGATAAGATCAGAATGCATGATATCCATATAATAGATGTCTAAGAAAAAAGTAATCTCTTAAATCAAGAGAAACAATCTTATTATATTGACAAAATCTATTAAATTGAATAGAAAATATAGATGATAGAAAAACAACAGAAGCATAATAAGCTTAACAGATTAAATATGGAATAATAAAAAGAAGAGTATCGGTAAGCAGTGAAATCCAATTCGTAAAATTTGTTGCTTTAAAAAGAATTAATCAATGAGAATCAATTCAGTCAAAAAATTTATAAATTAAACTATCTTGCAGATCAGAAATAAAGATTATTGAAACAAAGATAAGAAATATTGGATGCATTAAATTAAAAAAGAATTATCGCTCGACAATCTTTGGATGATGTTAAATATCCTTAGTTAAACTCGAATAATTACAAAGCAATATACTTTTGAGTTCTCAAATAAATCAAAATTATATATATATCATATTTTATCATATTATATACATAATTAAAAAAAATAATTTTATTAATCTAAGTTAGAAGTTATATGGATAGTCTATTGAAATGAATGCAATCAAATAGTCGAATAATTATAATTTTATTTTTTACTAAGATGTTAATATTATTTAAATTATTATTAAAAAATAATGAGGAAAAATTATATCAAATTACAATCTGATTCAGAGTTTAAATAAGAAGAAACCAAAACTTTTGATGAAGTTAAATACAATATCTTTAAGACTTATTTTGCCTTATTAGAATCAAAAACATTATCATAAAGTAAGGGTATACTAATGATATTGATTTTGAATTTACAATTAATATTCATGACTGCAAATGATAAGAATACTGATTTGTAAAGTGGATTTATTTCAAGTATTCGTATTCAAATAATTAGGTTTTTTACCAATCAGTAATTATTTTTTACTTTATCCTGTATTATTGTCATCAGATTCGATTTTATTTAATATGCTATTCTTGGTTATTGCTCTTTTAGTCTTAATATTCCTGATCACATCGATTCTATATTTTGCATCTACAAGTAATTACGATAATCCACTGGTCAAATAATTGAGATCAACTTGGGGATTCATTTCAGAATTGACTGATAAAATATTGGTCGTGCCAGTATTTGGTTTGACAGTAGGCAACATAGCTTGCAACTTTGAAAACAATCAAACAGAATGTTATAGTGGTGTGCATATAGGGTTGATAATTATGTCAATATTATGCTCTTTGATGTTGCTGTTATTAGAAATATTGTATTCTTATTTGTTCTTTAATTTTACTTTCAAAATCAAAGACTCTGTGTCTAGAAACCCATGTATGATAAACATTAATAATAATAGCTGGGATGCCAATCTTTTTTTTCATTTACAGACTTGGAATCACCATATTTTAATCGCTATTTGATTTGGAAGTCCAATAAACATACACTATATTAGTGTTATTACATCTGATATTTGGACTCATTTTGCTATATGACTCTCTAAATAATTTTCCATATCATAATAAAAATGTCTCTAAAACCTAAGGTATTTTTGCTTCTGCCTATTTGTGGATCAATGCTACTTTTATAGTTCTTCAACTAACTTCAATTGAGATGCTACATGAAAATGTATTAGTGATTGTTGGTTTGGGAATGGCCTTCTTCTTAAAATTATTTCTGAACATTAGAAATTATTTTGTAAAAGTGCTGATGAATAGTGAATTAGATGAAATTCAGAGTGCTGTGTTATTGGATCTAAAAATTAGAAATTATAACATCTTATCTAAGTCAGATAATGAAGAAAAGAAGAATGAATTGCTTTTAGCTTCTTTATTAAAGATCCATTCTGATAAATGCAAAAATAGTACTTGTCCATGCAAAAAAAGGAGTGCACTTATCGATCCTAAAAAGAAAATCATTCAGAGTGAAATGAAAGCAGCTTCAATCACTGATACAAAGTTATTAAAACAGTAGAAGAATGATCAAAATACTTAATTACATAAGGATTTAGTGTTTGTCAAGCATTTTATTGCTAGAATGGCTAAGGATGGATTAAATAAGTTCAAGGATTCAAAATTATTGTATCTTGATTACATGTACTACAGATTTGAAGCACTCAGAATGTATTCTTCAATTTACTTTGAAATTGGTAAGTTTGAATCCAAATATCATAATGACATGAGTTTGTCAATTGAATTCTGTCTATATAGACTAAGAGCAAGAATGAAGAAGCATTTAATGAATCGAAATCAAAAAAGCGAGATATCTCGTAGATTATAATTAGAAAATGTCAAAGCCTTTGATGAGGGGATTATAAGATAAAAGGAAACTATTATGGAAGCAAATAAACACCTAAACGATCTTTGGGAATCTCTGTGCGAAGAAAAGCCAGATCTGAGCAAATTGTTAGATATTGGGAACAATGCTATTAAAACAATGCAATTAACTAATGATTAGTATGAGTTTTTACTTCAACTCAATAATTAATCTTAGGATCTAAAGAATTTAATGACTATCTATTCCAATTATTTAGCTTATGATGATTTATTGGCTAAGAAAATCGAAAAAGATATTGACTAAGCAAAGGATATGGAAAATGATAATTCATTTTAATAGGATTTCAATATTTTGATAAAGAAATACCAAATATTTGATAAGTAGAGCTGTGTGTTATCAATATCATCTTAGTTGGAATCTTTGGGATAAATTACTTGGTGCAGTAGAAATGTATTTAATGTGTTTGGCTATGATGAAACTGATCTTAAATCTATGAATATCAATTAGATGATGCCTGAACCTTTAGGTAATTGCCATAGTAAAATTCTTAAGAATTATTATGAAAATGCAAGAGAATTGTTGACCACTAAAATGACACACATTTGGGCTATTGATAGAGCAAAGATACTGTTTTCAGCCAATATATTTATTAAGATTTTGCCCTCTTTGTAATCATATGATATTGTGGGATTTGTCCATAAGCTCAATTAGGATGATTACATAATTGCAGATGTGGATGGGATGATTTATGGAGCTGGGAGAAAAGTGTGTTAAGCTCTTGGATTGCCACCTGAAAAGATTTTGGAAACTAAGGTTAATATACAATTGATTGCTCCTGGATTCTACTCAGTCTTTTCGGATTACTTTTTAGATTTCGACATCACAGCAAATAAACAAAATGATGGCAAGGGAAAGTTATCATATGATGAATACAATTCTGCAAATAAACAATTAGAAACTAAAGATATGAAATAGGTTATATTCATTCAAAAGGAATTTGAAAAGAGAATACAAAGTTTTGTTGAGTATAGAACAAGACTATTTAAGAAGTTTAATATAGATATTTTAACTAAGGAATAGTTGTCATAAGAATTTGGATAATCGGGAAATGATTAGAAGAACATTAAACTCATTAAATAATGTGCTGAATTCAAAAAGGAATATGCTGCCTTATTTTATAAGTAGAATAAGAAAATACTTATTGATTCTTTAATTAAAATGATTAAAATCAAAGTGTAAATCAAAAACTTTACATATTGGAATGGCAGTAAACTATAGAGATTAAAAATTATCAAAGTTAATACCTATGAGTTTAAAACCACTGAATATATTAAAGTTAATAGGAAGAAGATTAAGGAATAAGGAGAAAAGGTAACTTAAGTTTATAAGAACTTTTAAGATGCATATAACACTTTCAAATAAAAAAAGATGAAATAAAAGATGTAAGAGGAGTAGGATAATGCTGAAGAAATAGAAGCAGGAAGAGCAGATGGAGGAGAAGACAACCAAGAAGGCCAATAAGCCAAAGGGTTTCTAAATATGTTTAAAAAGGCTAACAAAAATAACAGATCTTCTTTATTATAATTGAATGTCAAGAGATTAGGTGGAAAGGGAAAATAAGTAGAAGATTAAGAACAATTGAAGTAGGGTATTTTAATGACTCTCTTTAAACCTGTTTCAAAGAAAAATAAATTTAAGAGAGTATCAAAACAATAAGGCAGTATGGCCTAAGTTTAATATGAATCAAAACAATTTAACAATGACGAAGACGAAGAGAATGAAAAAAAGAAAATAGAAGCAACTCCAGAATAACTAGAAGCTATGAGAGCTTGTCCAGCTGTTAATCTACTTTAAATTGCTCTTATCAAAGCTAATATCTTAGGTTAAACCGATATGAGTGCATTTTTGGAAAAGAAAAAAAAGTTGTAACCAGTAGATCCTCTAGCTCTTAAATTTAAAAGAATAAGAGAATTTGTAGCTACTGATAAATTTAAGACATTTATTTAAGAAGAAAAGAAAAGAGCTGAGATGAGTAATGATACACATTCCACTAATACTGATCAATATGATTAGGAGGATAGATCATAGTCATTTGATGAAGATCAACAAGAGGAAAGAGGGCTGTTGCAGAATATCCTAAATAATCAAGGAGCTAATGAAGAAGAGAAGGCTGCAATGCAATCTGTTAGTAGTTCAAGTAATTAATATTTTTATGTTAGCCTAATCATTATAAGCTCATAATGCATAAAGAATGTTGAGAGAACAGTTAAAGAATATGCAAGCACCTACAATTTTGATTGTTGCTCATTATACTATGGTAGTATTGAGTTTGTTGTTATTTTCTTTGATAATTTCTTAGTATATATTAGCAAACAATGATTTTAATGGAATTAAAGATGAATTGTATATGTTTGAAAGAATGAGTAACTACTCTGATAATTTAATTGAAATTTTGGATGGTTATTTTACGCTCTAAATGATAAATGAAGGACCTCTAAAAAATACAACTATTTATGGATCTGAATGGGTTGCTTAATTTAGAAAAATGATTTTATAAAACTAAATTGATACTGTCTAATTCTTCTTGGATGATTATAGTAATGCTGGAACTCAATCTAAAAGTGGTAATGATTTAAGGTAGTATTTATTTATTTAAATGAATGCCAATATGCTTGTTAACAATCAACCAACTGAATTCTTATTTAATTATGAAAACTATGTTAGATTAATATTGAATGCTGCTAATGCTACCAAAGATCTAAACATATCATCTTTCACTTTAAATAGCAGATAGGATTACTTCTATTTTATCTATAATAATTTGAATGAATTTGATAATATCACAGATTATAATTATAATCTAATCACTTAAATCTTGATTAAAAGTAAGGATTTGTTAATAGAGAGATTTTATTATTTCTGGTTTAGTTGCTTTGGTATATTGCTATTATTATATATCCTTATTTATCCAATTATTCTGAAAACTAAATTAAAAATCTAAGAAACTTTGAGGATTTTCACTAAAATATCTTTAGCAGATGTTGAATATTATTCAAATCATTACAAAATGATCTTCTATAATATGAGATAAATTACAGATACACCTTAAGTTTTGAAGAAAATTGAAGAGGAAGTAACTAAAGGAACAGAAGAAAAGAAGAAAAAAGATAAAGAAAATAATGCTAAAAACTTAGCCAGATCAAGAAGTCATAAGGGAATTTAAATAAATAAGGTAGTGTTTTTTGCCGTAATGACATTTTGGTTGATAATCTTCTCTGGTTTAATTTTTATTAAGGATTACTTCATAATTTTATTTAGTAGCGATTTAGAAGGTCTATTTGCTTCTTAAGAATAACAACACAGATTAAAATATAATTCTGAAAGAGACTTTGTCTATTTCAAAAATCTCTATTACTAATAATATAGTTCTTAGTTAAATTCAACATTACTACAACAAGTCTTGACTGAAATAGATAATGAAAATATATATTCCATATTCCAAACCATGTATCATTAATTAGAAGGATATTCCACTGAATTTGCTGATTTAGTAGACTTTTATAGTACAAATAATACATGCAGTTCTATTGCACCCTTAATAAATGGATTTGTTAATACAAGTCAAGCTTTATGCGAATAAATTCTAGATGGTATATTAACTGAAGGTTTGTTGAATTTCTATTAAAAATTACAATTGGAAATGTAAAATGGGTTGAATTAATTACTAACCTAAAATAAGAATTCCACCGAACTCAATAGCTACATATCATAATAAATGTTCTAAGATTTTTAATTAGGATTACTTTATGCCAAATTGGCAAATCAACTTATGTCTAATTTTGCAAGAAGTGCTCTGTATACTGGAATTGATAATGTAAATTATATTATTATTATAATAGGAAGTAGTATTCAACTCATATTTTGTTATTGTAATCAACATTTTGATTGTATTGTTCTTGTTTGTTATTTGGGGAAGTGAGTATTCTAATTTAAAAAGAAACTCAAGATGGGTCAATGGATTTATCTTATTGATTCCCTCTTAATTAAGATCAGAGAATAAACATATTAATAGTTTCTTGAAAAATTAATTGAAAATTCAAGGATTAATGTATTTGTGAAATATAAGAATAAATTATTCTATCTAAATATTATATATATTAGAGAATCAAACATAATATAAATAGTAATATAATTTAATTATCAAGACTATACTCAAAGAGCACTTGTGTTATCTAACGCTTTGACTTTTTTTCCATCCTTCCAAATTCCTTCCTTAACCATTCCATCAGGGAATACATATTTACCTTTGCCATGCTATTTACCATCCTACCATTACCCTTCATATTTCTTCCCATCAGCCCATGTATATGTACCATACCCCTCCTTACGATCTTATTTATATTCTCCTTCATATTTTCTACCGTCCCTCCAGGTATAGATTCCTTTTCCATGCATACAATTATTCAACCATTAGCCAGTATATCCCCTTCCATCTGCCCAAAAATACGTGCCAAATCCTGTAATTTTATTATCATGCCAATCCCCATCATAATATGATCCATCTGGCCATTCATACTTTCCTTTCCCTTACTTCTTACCTTCAAAATAAACTCCTTAATACTTTGAACCATCAAACCAAGTTTCTACGCCAGGGCCGTGTTATAAATCATTTTTCCATTCACCTTCATACTTAGACCCATTACCATGTATATAAACCCCATATCCATTTGCCTTATCGTTTTCCCAATACCCATCGAAAGTGTCTCCATCAATATGATAAAATCTCCCTTTACCATTTGCATGGCTTTACTTCCATTCTCCAACATATTTAGCACCGTCAGCCCAAGTTTGAGTTCCAATCCCTTCTCTCTGTGTACCTCTCCATTAGCCTTCATATACTGCACCACTTTTAAATTTGTAAGCAGGCCGTGTTTCTAATTCAACAGAAGAAGAATTTTTAGGGAGAGTAACTGGTTCAACTTGTTCTTTTAGATAATTTTTTTTAGTATCTCTTTTGACAGAATTTTTTAAGGTTATCTTCTTTCTAACCAAATAACCTCTCCAAATTTTTTGAATCTTGATCGCTGCCTTATTTTGTTTTTATACTTTGTTTTAGAGTTCTTCTGTTTCGGTCTCCTTTTTGGCTTCTTTTTATTATGTTTTAGCATAAGTTTGTTTAATGCTTTATTTAGAACTTGACTTTCTACTTTTCAAACTGTTAGGGTCGGATTTTGCAATCTAAAATTAAAAGGAGTCATACAATAATTTCAGTTGCTACTTAGTCCTTTATTTATTATTGGCATTAACACTGAGAAGCACATTAATTTCCCATGGAAAATATAAATTGATAAATTAAATATATATTAATAATGTGATTTAGATTTTTCTTCATCATTATAAGTAAACCTTCTTTATTTTAGTAATCTTTTCATTATCAATTGGGCACTGATCAATTTATTTTGAACAATCTTCACACACACAAATGTGCCTAAAAGGCTTTATAACCATAGCGTATTCTTTTTTTCAATAATATACAGTTTCAGAATAAAAGTTGATAATAAATACATTTGACACCGAATGTTCAATTTATTAAGTAATAAATGTTGGAAGCGAGTTACTTCAAATTAAACTATTAGAAATTTTATAACAAGATATTTGAATATTTAATTTAATATTTCGATAATATTATTTATTAAAGAGTACAAAAACTAACATGAAATAGTTTAATCTCGAACTTTACTTCAATGATTAAAATATATTACTGCATATGATTAGTTGTGTTAAAGTTAATTATAAATATTAATTGATTTACCATTTAGTTAAATAATTATGTCAGCCTATCTTACTCATAAATCAATAAGGAAAATAAAAAAAATTAGTAATAATCTTTATAAGGTATTCAATAAATTTAATTTCGATAATTATATTAAAATTGATGAAATTCAATATAGTTATATAAATCTTTTTATTTCTTGCTAGGACATAAGAACAATGGGACACTATATATCAAAGCTTTCAAGACAGTAACACAATGGATTCATCAGGTTGTATTGATATTAAATAACTTAGGGTGGATTATAAGTGGTAATTATAATGGATTGTAATTGTCTACTTGCGATGGTTCGAGATTATTTGGAGGATTTAATGCATTTGCAGCCAATACAATAATATCTAAGCACTTTTCATTACCTTCTCATTACTAAATCAAAGTTTCCTTTGAACTTTGGAAGTATTTCTAATTTTTAAAGTAGAATTGATAGTTGGGATGATGAAACTATCTTTATTTTTGTGGATGATAATCTAACGACAAGAAAATATCTTCCTAATGCTGGAATCGAATTATGTGGAGTGGGAGAGAACTATGCATGGTATGAGATAGCTGTACCTATTACAATTTAAATGTATCATAGTTCAGAAACATTAATGGTAATAATGACCACAAATCTTGATGAACCTCCTGCTACAGTAAAATATAATTAAATATTAAAGGAAAGTTGGGGACTTAGAGACTTTAAGTTGCAAGTAGTGAAATGTCCTTCGGGATGTTAATATTGTTCAGACAATGATTATAATAATTGTTATTAATGGATTGGTATTATATCATTGTGGCATGAATCAATTTTACTTGATGGATGGATGAAAAATGATAATTTCTAACCTGCAACATCTTAATGTGTAACTTTTAATCTTGTTGGAGGATATCTTAATTTAGCACCAAATGATAAATTAGAAACAATTATAGATTTAAGCCTTCATTCTCATTTTTAAGTTTAAATAACTGTATAACTTTGGAAAATTGATATTTGGAATAATGAAAACTTTTAGTTATTGGTAGATGATTAAATTTAGAATTAAGCTGTTTTATCTACTACAGGTACTTATTCTATTTGTGGATCTACTGGATAAGAAAATATATATAATATTGTAGTTAATTTACCTCATACATCATCATCATGTAAAATAACAATGCAGACCAATCATAATGTAGCAACTACAAATGCATATTGGGGAATAAGGGCATTCAATATTTATCTTGCAAAATGTTAAAATGGTTGTGATGAATGTGTTGGTCCTTTAAAAACAGAATTTACTGTTTGTTCAAGTGGGTGGGAGTTTTACGATAATATATGCACTAATTGTATTAATAAATCGTATTAAAAGCTTCTCCGATGTTGGGTATAACCATCCGAATTACTTAAATTAAAGATCCAAAGTCACATGAAAGGATTCCTATGGAGATCAATCTATTAGAAACTAATTAATAAATAGTCACTTAAGGAACATTTACATATACAATTAATAATAATATATCAATATTGAATATTAGAGTCTATGCAAAATGCTATCCTAATAAAAAAATGAAAAGTTATTTTATAAAATGCTTCGAATGTTAACCTTAAAACTAATATTAGTTTTAGCATTATTGTTATGGAGCTATAAATTCTATAATTTACAATGCCAGATTTCAATAAACTACAGGTTCAGAATAAGAGTTGATAATAAATACATCTGATACCGAATGTTCAATTTATTAAGTAGTAAATGTTGGAAGCGAGTTACTTCAAATTAAACTATTAGAAATTTTATAACTAGATATTTGAATATTCAATTTAATATTTTGATTACATAATTAATACCTTAACTAATCTTTAGTAATTTAAATTAAAAATAAATAATACCTCTAATTTTACTGGAATTTTATTAAAATTTCAATTTCAAAACTTTTGTTTACTCCTGTAATTAAATTAGCTAAAAATAAAATAATCATTATAATAAATGCTACAAAAATTCTGATTGATTTCAAAGTAAGATATATAAAGTTATAGTCTTATGATTTCCAATTCAAATTCAAAAATTTTGTTTTGAGTTGGAAATAGGACAATATTTTAAGCATATCTAGTAAATTGAAAGGAGGTTAAAAAATTTTAAAATGTGCAGTAATAAAACAACTATTTTAACTACTTAAGAATAAATTTTTGAAGTGAGAATTGAATAATAAGAAAATTAAAGAAAAGTATTTTCATTCAATTTTTATTTGATGTATAATATAATTTACTTATAGTATTACACTTTAGGATTACATTTACTTTTCTTAAGCTTTTTTTCTTACCCAACTTATTATTGTACTAGCTAACAAATTAAGTCATACAAAGTAGGTCAAAATCTGTTATGATCATAATTATCTATTTCTTTTCTTTTGGATCATTTTCAAGTCTCATTTACTATGTGGATTAGAATTCTTCACGAAGTCATGGCTAATATCGTTCGATTGAGAATTGAGCAGCAATTTCATTGTAGTATTGAGTGCTAAAAACTTAATTTAAAAGCTCTTTATTCAGCAATTTTCTTACATGAATATCCATCTAATGGTTGATATTTTTCAATTTTTTTATAGTCAAATTATGTTATTAATATTTAGATTTTAATAAAAACCCTCGTTTTTTTCTAGTTATAGATGTTTTTATTTTTTAAAGTTAGAAACTATCATTTTGATCGTTTCCGATTTATAATAGCAATCTAGAAACTCATACTTATGAAAACTTGAATGGCTAATCTTCACTTGGCTCATTTCGCTATGATACTAGTGTTTCTATTTACTACTTATTGTTAATTTGGTTTTATGAATATTGAATATTTATAATGAATATAGTTCTTTTATTCCTTAAAATGATTTGAATTAAATTCTATTTTGACTGGGAAGGCTGTTTATATTTTGTCCTCTAATCTTTGAATTTTTCTTTTAATTCCCTATAGTTGCTACTTCGAAGGGAAAACTGACTGAATTAGTCTAATTTAAAATTATTCTGTATATTAAATAACCAGATGACTAAGTATGAGGGAATTTATGATTCTAAATTTGTCGATTTATACATTTTTATTTATTTCGATTATTGGCTTCAGTCTTCTTTATCTCCATTTTTTGGGTTCTTTTAATCCATCTGATCTATAACTAAAAACATTAATTAAATATCGAGAGTAACAAAGCTGCACTAATTTTGATTTTTTGCATTTCCGTCAACCCTCTTTTTTTTTTTGAATCATCAATTTAGTATAACTAACTCTACTTTTAAGTTTTTACTGATTCTTGGTAAAACTTTGCATAGTAATGGCTAAATTTTCGAGGTATTGATAACATAATTTTACTTTTTTTCTTTTATTCTCCTTTGTAGAAAAATTTAAATGCTCCAATTGATCTTACAATGTTATAATGTATTATAAATGATATGTTTAATACCATACGGCAATTAATAATGTATTACTAAGACTCCTATTCTACTATACATATTAAGAGTAAGTCGGAGAGAGCAAAGGTTCTGATCTGTAGCTAATCATACTCAAAAATGAAATCAAATTCTTTTTTGAATTAATTCCAGAAAAATTACACTCTTTGAGCTAGGGTAAATTACCATTAGTTTGTTAACTTAGAAAATCGATTGTTTAAAAATTAATAGCCATCAACATAATTTATATGTTAATTTTATTATTATTATTGCTTAAAATTTAATATTATCATTTATCCATTATTTCTTTTCATTCAAAGCTATTTATAATTAGAAATTTTTATCTTTTAAGATGAAATATTCGTAATTAAATCAATTTTTTTTTATTGATCCTAAAAAAGGATTGTATCATATGCAAATTAAATAGAAAATTAAAAATAATGAAAAGGCCGGAAAGGAAATACACAATTATTCAAAAAATGGTGTCATTGATAAATGATGAGTTTTAGGACATCATTTTTAAAGGAAAATATATCCTTAATTAGTTTATATTCATAAGTAATAAATATTGATTTGAAATTTTACAGAAATCAAATTTTAATCGAACTCATAATCGATTTAACAGATAAAATATCAAATAATTTTTATTTATTCTATTAACAGAACAATGTACCTTAGGATTTATTACAACGTAACAATATGTTTGAATGAGTAATAAATAATTCAATTATGAATAGAAGAATCGATTAATAACGATGATTAATGATTTCTAAGATGAGAGAGAAAAAAACTCCTTAAGCCAAAGCAAAAAGATAAAGTTAATTGTATTGATGATCATACATTAAGAAGAGTCTATTTAAATAAAAAAGAATAAAACAGTTAATCAATCTGATTAAACATGAATAATGAATAATTATTGAAATTATAAAGCAATCTAACTATATTTTATGTTTTGACCTATAAGTAATAAACTTTATCAATTAATTAAATCCATTGAATGAAATTGATAGCCTATCAAATTAGGTATTGAATTCAACAATTGATTACAGAAAATATTATTATCTAATTTTCTGAACATTCAATTAGAACAAAAAACTATTTAGTAGAAATTATATAATGGGAGGTGTGCTCTAATAACAGTTTGAAAATGACTTTTAAGATTAAAAAAATCGATTATAACCTTATGAAACAAGAAAACAATAAAGTAACAAAATATTAGTTTCAAAAAGAAGAAATTTTATCTCTTGTTGATGCAAACCAATCTATCTACTTTCTAAATACACAGAAAAACCTAAAAATTATGAAGCGTGATTTTGATGGAAGCGCATATTAAAATGATTGTTCATAACTTGGCATGGATTGTGGATGTCGTTAAAGATTAGGTAGAAAAAGAAAGATGCAATTGATCTGTTAGTTTAGATGCTGCTATACATTTTTTCAATTTAAGAATAATTGTTTTAATTAATAAAATTAATAAAACTCTTAACTTTAATTTTATTCAAACATCAAAATATATTACAGCCTCTGATTAATATAAATATTAATTGATTATTCTTTATAAATCAATAAGGTAGATAAGTAATTCTAACCATATTAGTTTTATATCATTAAAATAGAGAAAGTAGAATTCTTAGATAATTGGATTTAACCAAAGATGTTAGGGAAGCAAATAATTAACATGTTTAAAATTATATTAAATTGATGAAATTTAATATATTTTTGGGAAAACAATCAATCTAACTACTAAGCAATGTAGTTCAAGATAAAATGATAAAAATGATAATTAAATTAAACTGATGAAACATAATTTATTTATATTCTTTTTATTATGTTTAGCTATGGCATACTAAACATATGAAATTATTTAACAAAACTTTCCAACTTAATCATATTATTATGATTAATAAGGTTAGAGTAAAGGGTGGATAGTAAGTAATGGATATGGAAACTTATTCACCCATCATTGCAATACCTATTTATTTGGAGGATATGAAGCCTTCGGAAGTAAAACAATAGTATCTAAGTAATTTTTACTACCTCCTCATTTTCTACTCGAAATTACTTTTGAACTTATAAAGTATTAATTACATAAAAAAATAGAATTGGTGATTGGGATGGCAGAGATTCTATTAATGTATTAATAGATGAAATAAGATGGTCAAAAGATAAAGGTTAATTTTTTCATTATGGCAACTCATTATGTCATGATTATAACCAAAATAATAGTTATGATGAATATCAAACTATCTCATTAAATACGAATCATTCCTAAGAATCTTTAATAATTATAATAACTTCAAATCTGGATTTATATCATAATGTAAATAGTAACTATATTAAAGAAATATTGGGGATTGAGAGATTTTACATTAGCTATAGTAAGATGTCCTTCTGGTTGTTTATATTGTTCAGACAATGATTATAATAATTGTTATTATTGGATTGGTTTTTTATCATTATGGCAGGAATCAATAGAACTTGAAGGATGGATGAAAAATGATAATATCTAACCTGCAACATATAAATGCGTAAGGTTTGAGCTTGTTGGAGGATACCTTAATTTAGCTTCAAATGATAAATTATACAAAATTTTTCAAAATTTGAGTCCTCATTATAAAATTTAAATAAATTTCTAACTTTGGATAATTGATACACGGTAGTTTTAAGGTGAGTACTTTTAGTTTTAGTTATTCATAGATGATTAAATTTATAATTAAACTGTATTTAGTGATATAGATTTTTATTCTATTTGTGGAGGATCAAATGGATTAGAAAATATATATAATATAGTAGTTAGTTTACCTCATACATCATAATCATGTAAATTAACAATGAGAACTAGTCCTAATGCAGCTACAAATGCATATTGGGGAATAAGGGCATTCAATATTTATCTTGCAAAATGTTGTAAAGGTTGTGATGAATGTTTTGGTCCTTTAAAAACAGAATGCACTGTTTGTTCAAGTGAATGGGTGCTTTACAAGAACTTATGCACTAATTGTATTAATATCTCCTAATAATATAGCTCCCCCTATGCTTTTATCGCAAATTTCAACTAGTTAAATAAAAGATTTATAGTCAGATGATAGAATTCCTATTGAGATCAATCTATTAGAAGTTGATTAATAAATCAATACTTAAGGAAATTTTACAATTTCAGTTAAGAATCAATATAAATTCTTGACTGTTTAAGTTTATATAAAATGCCTTCCAAAAACAAGGATTAAAAGCTTATTTTAAAGCAATAAACTTTAAGATTCGTACTAATATTCATTTTTTTTAAATTGTTAGTAGGCTTTCAACACTGTAATTTATAATGTTAAATACGAATAAAGGATAATTAGAGAATAAGAAATGATAATTAATACATCTGATACACAATGTGTAATTTATTAAGTAATTAGAGTTATTGATGAATTACCTTTATTTGTCAAAATTTTGGAAATTATAATAGAAGATTTTTGAATATATATATTACATTTTTATTTAAAGCACTAAATGCATTACATTATTTTTTAGCTTCTTAATGATGCTAGATATTTTAGAAGTCAAATGGTCTTTTTTAATTAATTTCGATTGCATTTTTCTTAAGTTCCCTTATTTTGCATAAAGTTGATTATTTGCCATTTATATATTATTATACTAGAGATTGGCTATAAAACTGTCACTCTTATCAAGAATATCCAAAAATAAAATAACAGATATGTAAATATTTTGAATATAATTGATATATGTTTCATAAATAGATTGCAATAAATAATGAATTAAAAATAATTGTTAATATAAATATTAAAAAGTAAAGAATGGAATAATTATAAAGATAACCAGCTAAATAACTTTATTTTACAACTGAATTGTTTAAGAACAAATTCATAACAGAAAAAGAAAAAATTCAATTAAAAGAATTTATTATTGCATAAGATGATTTCTTGACCTCTTATTTTGATTAATATGAAAGAAATGATATTACAGAATAAGAATTAAGAGAAGTATTTTAATCAATATCAATTAGAAATTAATCAAATTAGTTAGAGCAGACTTCTTTAAAGACACCAAGTATAAGCAAAATTGAATTTTATATTTTCTAGATTATTGTTATTTTATTAATATTTAAAATAGTAATACTTAAATCAATACAAATCAATATAAAGTGATCAAATTTATTCTGCTTTCAAATTTTCTTAACATATCATCATCTTGTTTGTATTCCTATGGTATTATAAATGAATAATTTTAATTTAAGTCACTCTTTTTATTTCCTATTTTTTAAATCCAAATAAAGTTCTTAATTTATTAAGAACGAAAGTCCTTAAATAATTTTAACACGTTAAATAATGATAAAAACTAAAGTGTACTAGAAACATATAAATAAACAATAGTTCCAATCGGGGTTGAATAGATTGCTTCACTAACTAAAGCAATTATACACATAATTCCAAATATAACTTCATATGTAATTCCTAAAGATACTAAAAGCATAATCTTATATAGAATATTTTTATCAGCTTCTAAACTGCTAGACTTCAAAGTTAATTATTACTCTTCTAAATATTTCTATTATTCAAAAGCATCTATTTACTATCCTATTTAAGTGTATTAAGTTTAATCTTAACTTTGATCACTCAAATTACTTAAATCAATTTGCTTTTTATTATTATATTTTTAATGTACAAAATAACTCTCTTGATCACTTTAAACTTTTTCCTTTGCATCTCTTACAACTTAATTTTTTTTCTAAATAACATTTTCTATTATTTTTTTATCTTATTGATCACTGGTCCAATCAATTTATTTTATAGATTCCTCTAAACAAAAACTTTGATTGATGTTCTATATTATGTTAGCCTCTCTTTCAGAATTTTCTGTTTGCTCTGCAATAACTTCTTATATGTTTTAATTAATTTTAATATTATGATGACTCTCCTATCTGTAATACACAAAGCTTGAACTGTTTTTGCAAAATGTCACATTTTTTTTTCTAAGTCTTTCCTTTTAACTAGGCACTAAAACCTAGGGCAAGTCTTCGCTTGGTCCTCTTGAAGATTTTTGAGATGGGGAATTCTCAATTTTTCTATTCTAGTTACCAGACTGAAATTATCCATCAGATTGTTTTTGCTCTAATTATTTTTATAACTCTTCTTTCATAGTCACTAAATTAAGGATTTTTTTCTTTTTTTCATTATAAAATTGGTTAAGCTAATGTCGAATGCATCTTTACAGCTTGATCCCATATAAAGCAAATTCAACAATAAAGATAATAAAGTTAATAAGGAGAAAGGAATAACAAACAACAGCGAAATGAGGGTATTATATCTCCAATCTTAATCCTATCAGATATATCTAGGTAAAAATATACCAGTAAATATGCTAACTGCTGTTTGAACAAGCAATACTAAAAATAATCTCAGCTTCACCACCTTCTTGTAATGTTAGCATATCCATTTACTGCTTTAGCTTTTAAAATAATTGTCATTCTTTTCCTAAAGATTAATTATTTTTATACTTAATTCGATAAATAAAAACATATTTCAGCATACATTGAATACCATGTGATTAATAAATATCCATAAATGTAGAATAAAATTGTATAAGCAATATCATGTAAAATGTGTTTAATAATTATTGTTTTTCCTTGCTTTTATATCAATATAAATTACATAAAGCTAAAGGGGATCCAATATTAGCCATATCAACTTTACTAAGCTAAACAAACAAGATAAGGTTAAAATTATGTTTTTAGGAGATGCTATTAATAGTTTAATGGATATCTAAGATCTATTTCAATTTTACTTTTACTTCTCTTGTATAGTGAGGTTTTTATCAAATATCTTATGATAAAGCTAATAACTTGCATTAATTAATGTGTATAAGAACACCAAACTATATAAGCCAATGAAAATATAGTATTAGGGAGTGAAAATTTCAGATATCTATTCTTCACAATGATCACCAAAAAATCCATAATCACAAATACAATCTCCTAAATTCAGTAGACCTCTATCACAACATGTATCCAAAGAACATGAAGAATCGTTCATTTCTTATTATTATTAAAATAATTAACGAATTGCTTCCTTATAATTCTCGAAATATAAAATATTATATAATCAAATTAGACTAAACTCTCTAATGAATTCACATAAATATCAAATTTATGATTTGTAATTTAATGAATTCATTTAATAAGTATGTGAAGATGATCTAATTAATTTTTCAATGAGATTTTATATTTGAAAATATCAAAGTTACGAGTATAAAGAATCAAACTTTACAATATAATCCTTTATCATTTAAATATTTAATAAAATAACCTTTAATTATGGCATCTATATATCTTACTATTAATAGATACTGTCTTATAGTTCATTTTAAGATAGTTTCCACTGATATTGAAAATCTCTTATTTAAAAAGTTAATCAAATAAATAAGTTAACTAATATTTTATCTGATAGGTATGCATTGATCCTCAAAGAATGATTATTCTCTTTTAAAGATTCAAAATTAAAATGATCCTTATGGATAAATTGCCTTCTGATATTTTCCTTCTTATATTTATGATTTATATTAGGCTTTTTTGAATATAATTAATGTTTATAATTCTATTTAAAGTTTTAAGATGCAAATTTCTATTATATATATTTATAAGAGTTCAAATTTTTATGCGTTAAATTGATTCATTAAATCTTAAACATTATCAATAAAACTGCGCCTAAACAAAGCCCTTCAAAATATTTTTTATTTTCTATTGCAATTTTTAACTTAAACTTTAATCTTCGCTTGTTTTTAGCTATACATTATTCAAATTATCTAGTCAAAGGGGATTTGTCTGAAACTATCTATTTCTTTCTAATATTTGTGAATTCTTATCAGCAATTTATTTTAATGACGCTTATTTATTTATTTTTCTTTTTATTGTCTTCAAATTCATTCGCTATTCATTTGATCTTTATACTCTGTATTATAGTAATATTCTTTTCTTTTTGCAATATTATCAACATTCAATTGCAAATTCAAAATATTTACATAAATTCGTAATTTAGTAAAGCTTTGAGTAATTTTATTTAAAAAGCTTATTTAAATCTTTCATTATGAAATACTTCTGGATATTACTATTTATTTAATAGTTATCTGATTAGAATATTGTTTCTGTTATTTTAGATTTATAATATATCTAAGGTTTTCGATTAAATTAATTAATCCAATTTAATAATTTATTTATCAAAATAACAGTTCTTCATCTCTCTTCTAGTTCATAAGAAATAAGGTAAGCATAGGGGAATATTATATTGCTTTGAATAATAAGAAGGTTTTTAAATCCATATTAATTGATTCATGATTTCATTCGTTTTAAATTGCTGATTAAAGAATGTATATGGTCAAGAATCACATTTGAGATTCAGGAGAGACAAGCACCTGATTTTTATGATGATAGCCTCTTAATGTAAAGAGTAGAAAAATATCTATTTTAATTTTGAGGAAATTATACACAAAATTCGATATAATATACATCAGGATTTGCCAGACATATGAAGATTCTATGACCATGAATGGGTTAAGGTCAAGCATTGTATTGATAGATGTAGAAATGTAATAATAGTATTTTTATTATATATTTAAATAATTTTGGATTTAGTGCGAATTATGATATTTAAGGGACTTCTAATTTTCTAGAAATAATTAAAAAATTTAAATTTTAAATATCCAAAATGAGCACAAGGGAGGAACTCATCTACATGACAAAGTTGACAGAATAAACCGAGAGATTTGAAGATATGGTCAATTACATCAAATAAGTTGTTGAGAATGGATAAGAATTGTCAGTCGAAGAAAGAAACCTTCTCTCTGTTGCTTATAAAAACAGCATTGGTGGAAGAAGAACAGCTTGGAGAGTTTTATCAAGTATTGAAAACAAAGAAGAAGGAAAGGTATATAAATTAATTATTTTCATAGGCTCAATCTTAACCAGCTTCCTAAAAGAATCTTGTTTTGATCAGAAGCTACAAGAAGAAGATTGAAGAGGAGCTTAATCAATATTGCAATGATATCCTTAATTTGATCGATAGCCATTTAATCAAAACAGCCTCAACCCCAGAAGCCAAGGTGTTCTTCCACAAGATGAAAGGAGATTATCACAGATACATTTCTGAATACGCCACCGGTGATCAACACAAGAAGGCCGCTGATGGTGCACTTGCTGCTTATTAAGCTGCTTCTTAAGTTGCTAATTCCGAATTAAAGACAACAAACCCAATCAGATTAGGACTTGCTTTGAACTTCTCCGTTTTCTATTACGAAGTTTTGAATGATGCCGCCAAGGCTTGCTAATTAGCTAAATCAGTAATAGTTTGAATTAACCCTCTCTAGGCTTTCGATGATGCTATCGCCGACATTGAATAAATCTAAGAAGACCAATACAAGGATGCCACAACCATCATGTAACTCATCAGAGATAATTTAACATTATGGACCTCAGAACTTGAAGATGAAGGTGGAAACGTTGAAAACCTCTGAGTAGGATATCAGTAATGATATATTATATATATATATAAAATTATATGTAAGAAGAGACAGCCCATCCTATTCTTTTTTTAATTTGCAAATTTTGAAATATTTAAACATTGCTCCATATATTTTAGTTATATTTGATTAGACTAATTTTGGGTATTAAATAACAAAAAAAGTTGTCAACAATTGCATTGCTATGTAGGTTAGGTTTCATCACTCTTTTTAGAGGTTAAAAATTTAGGTTTAATCATATTTTCATCAATTGCTCCTTCTTAGAGTAAATCTAAAACTTTGGTTGTAATTTATGTAAAAGCCTCATTAACCTAATAGCCAGTATTTGCACTAGTTTCAATGTATTGAACATCATTCTCTTAACAAAATTATTTTGCAGTTTACTCTGAAATTGATCTCATTTTAAATATTGCTATTACCTCTCTTTGTCTAAATCTGCTTTGTTTCCAATTATAATAATCTGAATAGAAGGTTTTGAGAAGTCTCTTGCATGTTTGATCCAATCTTACAAGGCATCAAAAGAGTCTGAGCTAAATTACTGTTAATGTATTACTTAGTAATGTCAAACACAATTAAGGCTCCGAGTGCTCCGCGATAATAACCCTTAGTCAAAGATCTATATCTCTCTTAACCTGCTGTATCCCACAATTGCATCTTTATTTTTTTTTTATTCACGCATACTATTTTAGCTGAAAATTGAACACCCAGTGTCTATCTTACATTGCATATTTCTTATTTGATCGTATAAATTACATGTTCCATGAATATAATGATATAGTAGACTTGTTTTGCCACAATTCCCATTGCCAATGATAATAAACTTGAATACATAATCACATTGTTCCTCTGTCATACTATATTGAAGAATAATATGAATTTATTTAAAATTAAAATAATAAAATGGAAATATGGACAATGCTTGTCTTTATTTATTTCTAATTACACTTTACTTCTTGGAGTTGACTACATCTTAAAAGACAATTTACAAAATTTCTTCTATACTTTTATATTTTGAGCATATATAGTAAAAACTGCTCAATTATAATTTTATTCTTAAGTAAATCCATTTGTTGAGAAACTTAAATAAATATATAGTATGTAAGAAGGGGTATCATTTAATTGATTGTAAAATAAAAAAAAAAGTAAAGAAGAAATCAAAATAAATAATGTCTTATTTATTATTTTTATTATCGACTTCAAATGAACCTATAACAAAGGACCCTTAGAATATATTTCTTAATAGATTATATAAGTAAAATATTCCCTTATTGCAATACAAACTTTGTTATTATATGAATTTATAAATTAGATTAAGTAAGTTATAAAATAATTTAGTTATTGGATTGCATTTTTAAGAACTGTCCCATTCGTTTATTTAAAGTGTACTTAAATTCAAAACCAAAGTAATGGTTGGATTAGAGGAAAATTAAACAATAAGCATTTATTCAACATTAATAAAATTGCATCCTTTTGCAATATCAAATGTAATTCGAATAAAACAAAGTGAGTTAGCTGCATTTAGAGAATGAAATGATGAGGTTGCAATTTAAATTGTATAAAGGGGACTTAGACATTCTTAAACAGTAAAACATTGAGGATTTAAAAAGAGTAGAAAATCAATTAGTTAAAACTCTTCAATAAATTACTTCTTACAAAGGCTCCCTAATTCAAATGATTTATGTGGTTTGTTTTCATAGTTATTTTACTATCTGATGATGTATGAGGGAAAGTTACTGCAATATTAAATAGTTTTTCTAATCCAGCAGATCCGCAAATAGAATAATTACCTGTTTTACTTAAAACAATTTACTTTTAAAGTTAATCATCTACATATAACTAAAAGTTTTCATTATTCCAACTATCAATTTACCAAAGTTAAAAACTTATTTACATTTTATAATGAGGACTCAAATTTTGTATAATTTTTTCTAATTTATAATTGTTGCTAAATTAATTATCCTCTAACAAGATCAACACTTACACATTTATATGTTGCAGGATATATGTTATCATTTTTTTCATCCATCTATCAATTATTATTGATAAAAATCAAAACAATAATTATATTATAATCTTTAAAATCAAAATTAATGATTTTGATGTGTGATTTATATTAAAGATAATTGATTGAATTAAGTCTAACTAACCAATTCCATATCCACAAGGTTAGATACCTTCTGATCATGGATAACTTTTTGTCCGTAAAGTATCACATACTATGACATAAACGAATTCATCATCCCAAATCTCAATTCTACACTTTATATGAGAAATACTTCAAACTTTACAGAAAAAATAAATCTATCTATATTAGGAAACGATTAAAAAATTTGATATTCCAATTAATAATACTTATGATTTATATAACCATTTACATTAAAATTTAAACCATCTAAATTTAACACTTTTTTTTTAAAGAGACAAGACAGATGAACATTGATCACCAGAACTAATCTAGAATCGATCGCTATCTAGCCCAAAATTATAAATCTGGCATTAAATCCTATTTGTTAAACTACCTTATCATAATTGCTTAATTAATATGGCTTTAAATTAAAATAGTTTCCTTGTAAAGGAATAGATTAGTTTATTGTAAAAACATTCTTACAGATTTATATACAACTATGATAACATAATAAACAATATCAATAAAGAAAGTAATAGCAAAGGAACAAATGAATTAATCAATTATAAAACTATTACATCTAATTAATTAAATAAAATATAAGGGATTTAGAAAAATAATTAATAAGATGTAGTCTTTATTCATATCTTTACAAAAAATTCTATATTTTTAATATCCTTGTCTACATACCAATAATTCTAGTGTGAAAGTTTTCTTAGAAGTCTTTTCACTAGACTTCTTCAATCTTTTCTAATTTTTTAAGTTGTCTAAGGGTGAGTAAAAAAGAATAAAAAAAGATAGACTATCGGTTGGATATTCAAATAAAAAAATTACTGAAAAAAAAGAGCTGTTAAATTAATTTTTAATCATTCAATACTAAAATGAAATTGCTGCTTTTCCCTCAATCGAACGATATTAGCCATGACTTCGTGAAGAATTCTAATCCACATAATAAATGAGACTTGAGAATGATCCAAAAGAAAAGAAATAGATAATTATGATCATAACAGATTTTGACCTAGTTTGCATGACTTAGTTTGTTTATTATTATTCATTTATCACTTAGCACGTTAATTCTTAAGTGTTTAAAATAGATGTTTTATTACTGATATATAACAGTTTTAACCTCTTTTCAATTTTTAGATAAGCATGAAACATTGTCCTACTTCCAATTCAACCAAACTTTTGAATTTGAATTTGAAATCATAAACTATAGATTTAGATATCTTACTTTGATATCAATCAGAATTTTTGTAGCATTTATTATAATGATTATTTTATTTTTAGCTAATTTAATTACAGGAGTAAAGAAAAGTTTTGAAATTGAAATTTAGTAAAATTCCAGTAAAATTAGATGTATTATTTATTTTTAATTTAAATTACTAAAGATTAGTTAAGATATTAATTATGTAATCAAAATATTAAATTGAATATTCAAATATCTTGTTATAAAATTTCTAATAGTTTAATTTGAAGTAACTCGGTTCCAACATTTACTACTTAATAAATTGAACATTCGGTATCAGATGTATTTATTATCAACTTTTATTCTGAATCTGTAATTTATTGAAATCTGGCATTGTAAATTATAGAATTTATAGCTCCATAACAATAATGCTAAAACTAATATTAGTTTTAAGGTTAACATTCGATGCACTTTATAAAATAACTTTTCATTTTTTTATTAGGATAGCATTTTGCATAGACTCTAATATTCAATATTGATATATTATTATTAATTGTATATGTAAATGTTCCTTAAGTGACTATTTATTAATTAGTTTCTAATAGATTGATCTCCATAGGAATCCTTTCATGTGACTTTGGATCTTTAATTTAAGTAATTCGGATGGTTATACCCAACATAGGAGAAGCTATAATATGATAAATGAGTACGATAAATGCATAAATTAGTGTAAAAGACCCATCCACTTGAACAAACGGTACAACCTGTTTTTAAAAGACTGATACATTCATCACACCCTTTAAAACATGCATTTGAAATAAATAGATTAAATGCCCTTATTCCCCAATATGCATTTGTAGTAGCTGCGTTATGATTGGTTTTCATAGTTATTTTACATTCTGATGATGTATGAGGGAAAGTAACGGCAATATTAAATACTTTTTCTAATCCAGCAGATCCGCAAATAGAATAAGTACCTGTTGTACTTAAAACAATTTATTTTTAAAGTTAATCATCTACATATAACTAAAAGTTTTCATTATTCCAACTATCAATTTACCAAAGTTAAAAACTTATTTACATTTTATCATGCAATCTCAAATTTTCTATAATATTTTCCAATTTATCATTTGGTGTCAAGTTAATAAGATTAAAACTCACACATTAATATGTTGTTGGCTAGATAATATCATTTTTCATCCATCCATCAAGTAACATTGATTCATGCGATAATGATGAAATCTTAATCCATAAATAGCAATGATAATAATCATTGTCTGAACAAAATAAACATCCTGAAGGACATTTAACTACTTACAACTTAAAGTCTCTAAATCCCCAACTTTCCTTTAATATTTAATTATATTATACTGTATCAACAGCTTCATTAAGACTTGAAGTCATTATTATCATTAAAAATTCTGAATTATGATTCATTTATAAAGTAATAGGGATAATTGTCTCTAACCAGTCATTTCTCCCTGAATTTCCACATAATTAGGTCCCTACTGAAAAATAACATTGCCTTGAAGATACATAATCATCTATGAGAATATAGAGATATTCAGCATCCCAACTATCAATTCTACTTTAAAAATTAGAAATACTTCCAAAATTCTAAACTTACTTTGATTTAATAATGAGGAGGTAAGGAAAAGTGTTTAGATATTATTGTATTGGTTCCAAATGCATTAAATCCTCCAAACATTGTAACACCATTGCAAGTGGATAATTACAATCCATTATAATTACCACTTATAATCCACCCTAAATTATTTAATATAAATATAACCAGATGTATCCATTGTGTTAGTGTCTTGAAAACTTTGGTATTAAGTTTCCCATTGCTCTTATGTCCTAGTTAAATTTAATAAGAATGAAATTAATATTGATAATTTTATCATTTTTAATTTAATGATTAGATTGTAACTTGTAGGGTCACAAATAATTTTGGTTAATTTAAATTGTCCAATTTAGATTCACAATTTAAAGATAATAAAGGGAGAATTGCTATAATTTTTTCATCAAAATGATACATCAAATTAATATTTAAAAAATAGGTTTATAATAAAATTAATGTAATATATTTTCATGGCTGAAATACTTTAAACACGAGATCTTTAAAGGCATCTAGGCTATAGCTTGATTATTTTTATGCTGTATCATAAGAACTAAATATATTAATACTAAACTCCCTAATCTTTAAATTTAACTCTATCTTATAAGACATTACATTATTTAGACACACTAAATTTAAAAGTGTTAAAGAAATCGATGAGTTAGAAGATAAGAAAGCTTAGACAACAAGAAAAGATGGCATCTAGTGTTGAAATATAATATATTAATATATATTTAAATTAAATATAATGGGTCAATCGTAAGCATAACCTATGAAAGCATTATTCAATGTTGGAAGCGACAATGTATCTTATTAAAGCATATTAAATATAGGAATTTTAAGTGAAATTAACCCTATTCTTAGGTTAGGATTCACCTTCAATTTTACCTATAGAAGCTAGGGAAATTATTAAGCATGAAAAATTTGCATAATTGCTAGAATTGCTAATTGAGAGAATGCAACATGAGAATAACAAAGTTGTTTAAAACACCTTAAAGAATTTAACAATTTTCATTCCAATATTATTGGCAGAAAATCATAAATTAATAACTTCTAACAACTCTAAAGTTGAGGTCGAAGTAATAAATAGAATTACAGTTGTGAAAGCTGATGAAGATATGGAACCTTTAGATGTTGTCAATTTGGCAGATCCAAGAATTTTTCGAATTATTGATAATCTAATGACCTTATTATTTCGTCCTGGCTTTACAATCCAAGGGAGAGATAAATTCAGTTTGGATAATGATCATAGATTAAAATCTTTGCTTAAGTAATGGCTAGATAAGGATATCAAATTGAAACTAGAAAATATTTGGAGAGGTCTAGCTACATTAACAAAGTATCCTAATGATCAAAAACAATATTATGAAAATAGAGTCTTGGTTTTAAGTTGTCTATTGGCATGTTTGGAGGAATAATTATATCAACAGAAACCTAATTCGAGTGAATCATTATCATATTTAGCATTTGAAGATCATGCGGAAATGTTTGCCTCTCTTTGGGCAGTGATATTATTCCACAAACATGGATACTTTTGGTTTTAAGATAACTTATTATATTAATAAAAAACTTGTAGATTTATGGCAATTCTGAGTGCATAAGTCTTAAATATCATTTTTTCATTTGATTCTGAGTAAAATAAATTTAGAAAGATAGTTATAGAAACTGACTTACTTGATTATTCATTTGATTTATTGATTGAAAATATGCAGCAATCCCTTATTTCTGATACAAATTTTATTACGACTAAAGCTCATGATAATAAGGGGGTCCAAGAGTTCATGGGCCTACTTTATTTTTTATTGACCAAAAATTAATTTGCATTAGAATACTTGAGGCATCTTTCCAAACAAAGAATTATTAATCTATTACAATTACTCTTGTATTACATTGCATAGTTCATGGATAATGAAGTTAATTATGAAGTTTACTGTATCTCATTAGAATTGCTAGATTATTTATTCAACTTTGAAAACATAGGAAGGGTGTCATAGGAGATAGTTGAAGTCTAATATAGAGTTAAAGTATTACCTATAACTTTTGGGACTTATTAAGATTACATTTTGAGTTATTACAGCCATCTTTTGCTTCTAGATTTCAGAAGTAGAACCAGATTTTATGTTGAGCGTTTCAAAAAGAAAAATCTTCAATATGAGAATATGGGATATCTGATAAATTATAAGCCAGAATTATTATGTAGAACAATATACAAAATGTCATACTTTACGAAGCAAATATCCTTAGATGCATCACTTCTATTTGATGAGGCAATAAAAAAGTATTACCTCTATGATTTTTTGTTTTTAAGCACTACATAAATAAGCAATCAAGAATTATTGACACTAGCATTATTTAATTTTGTAAAGAATGGTAGTTGGACAGTTTTGTATTATTTATTATAGAATTGTGAATAAATTGTTAAATTTTAAGTGACAGACAAGAAGTTATTTAAGTTCTTCTAATGTTGTGATGAAGTTGAACAAGGATTACAGAACAATCAAATAAATAAGGATGAATAATAAGAAAGTATAATATTACTCTATTATTAGGATTTCAGAAATACTTAGAAGTATGGAAGGATGTTAAGGGGAGATTCTAGGGCGTTCATATTTAATAGTTAAAATAAATAATAGGGATAACATTTTAATTATTGAGTTCAGCTAGTAAAATAATTTATGGAATCAGTAAAGAGGAATTTTAAGACATATATAAAAAAACTAGTTGGTCATTCATTTTAGACTTTTAGGTTGAACTTGTAAAACGAGAATTTCGTTTGGACATCTATGCTTTTAGTCAGTATAAATAGCAGCTTGAATATATGCCATTAATTGATTTAGAAAAATGCATTTTTATTTGATAATATTAATTTCATAATTTTAAAATCTTGATACCCCAATTTACATATTTTAGTTGACAATAAAATATTGACATCGGAATAGTATAAAATATATAAACCTATCTAATCTAAATATTAATCATTCGACTTTTAATAGCATCCTCATTACTTTATAAACGCATGCCTCAATCATGCTTGATACAGTGAATATTCCTCCAATAACCGCACATATTTGAACATAGAAATGCAAAATGTCCTCTTTTGTTTACCAATAAGTGACAGTTGTTGGAGCAAAGTCATATCTAAATATTTTTAATAAATACCTTAATTGAACATTACCATAATTATTTGATCTCACTTCATTGTGATTGGCTGTATACTAGTAGACTGAATATACTTATTTATTTAACAATGTATAATGAGTTGGAATGATGCTAATGAAGTGTTCATGTTACATCTAAAATGTTAAATTATCAATACTGATTAACTAGCCAATTCAGGCTTTTTAATTCTTTAAGTACCAGCAAAACTATCTAATTAACCTTGCTAAAACAAACTCTTGACTTTCTTAAGAGCATCTTCATCTCCAAAAGAAAAGGATACAAATTTGTGAGAATAATCTAATGGAAGATTTAGATTGCCAACTGCCCCTATGTAAGAATAAGATCGATGAGCTCCAAATGATATCTTGCCTCTAACTCTATTAACCTTCAGATTTCCAATAACTTCGCATCCTTACTTTTCATTTATTGCTGTTCTGGCATCTTCTATTTCAACCCAATTATTAGAGTTTCTGGTCTATTGTACAATGCAAATTGTTACATATTCACTAATCCTCCTTTCATTAGAATCCAGTCTATAGTATTTTAATTCCATGAACTATTGGGACAAACTCTATCCCATTGCATCTTATTGATCTATTTCTAAAAAATCGCAAGGAGCCTTTATAAACTTAATGTCTAAATTCACTTAAACTCTATCTTTTGATAATTTTTGATCCACGATGATTTCTGATTGAACATCAATTGTAATATACTCCTAAACAAATAGTTTCAATTATCCAATACAATCCCTTCATTGATGATCATTAATGCTAGTAATATCAAAGTTATGATTGAAACAACAGCTCCTGAACTTGTAGGCTCAGCCAATCCTTTTGGAACTTTACCGTATAAATCAATTGATTTTAATAATTTCATTAATTTATTAATAAATAACCAATCGAAGGAGATTAAGGATATAGAAGATAAGACCAACAAATTATAGATTATTTATATAATTCTACTTAGAAAACTAGAAATTAAAATGAACTCAAGGATCAAATAATTATTTTTGCTTGAAATTCATAATTATGACTTATTATTCTCACATTCCTATACCTGAGAAAATAACTGTATGAATTTTTCGGTTAAGTAAAAGGGTTTAATAAATTATTCTTGAAGCGTAATGAATAAGAATAGAATTACTAATTAAGACTGCCATAGAGCAATATGATTATTCTAATATCAATAGTTGACTATTTTTTCAATAGACTCAATGCTGTATGTGTTCTTTCAGTTGTGATAATATATTGAAGGATATATAGGATTTGAGATATTAATTTGGATATTTATATTTATTTAATATAATATGATTAGTTCTATTGTGTTTATTAATCATAAGGGAGAAATCCTTGTTTATAGAGTCTATAAGGATGACATAACAAGAAGTGAGACTACTCAATTTTGTGCTAAAGTTGTGGCCACTAAAGAAAATAAAGAATGCCCAATTATCAATATTGATGGTAACATATAATATTTAAAAATACAGGAACGTCATTTATCCATATTACTATAAAAGACATAGTAGTGTTAGCAACAACAAAAGTAAATGTGAATGTAGCAATGACCTTGCAATTTCTTTATCAATTAGTACAATGAAAATATTAAATCTAGGTTAAAGTATGCAGAGCCTATTTTGGTGGTGAATTTGATGAAAATTGTATAAAGAAACATTTTGTGCTTATCTATGAACTTCTGGATGAAGTGATGGATTATGGTGTTCCGTAAATAGCAGACGCAGATCTTTTGAAAAAAGTATCTAACTATTCTTAGAGTTAAATAGTACATTTAAGAAGGAGGATTAAAGCCAGAGTTGATGAACGATGTTGAAAAATTGAAATAATTAACGTCCTAAGCAACAGGAGCCACTTCTTGGAGACCACAAAACATTGTATATAGAAAGAACGAAGTGTATCTGGATGTCATAGAGAGTGTGAATGTGTTGATGTCAGTAAAGGGGACAATCCTGAAGGCAGATGTGGCTGGATCGATTCAGATGAAATGCTTATTGACTGGAATGCCAGAATGCAAATTTGGAATGAACGATAAATTGTTAATGTAGAGAGAGCCACGTAAACCTGGTCAGACAACAACTGATAAAGGCATAACTATTGATGATCTCAAATTCCATCAATGTGTTAAATTACCAAAATTTGATAAGGAAAGAGCTATTACTTTTATTCCTCCTGATGGTCAATTTGAGTTGATGACCTATAGGATCACTGAGAATATTAATTTGCCTTTCAAAATCATGCCAGTGTACAATGAATTAGGGAAGAACAAATTAGAAATTAGAGTCAAAGTATTATTGTTTATGAATATTCAAGATTAAATCAATTTTTGAAAAGAATCTATTTGGTACAAATCTAGCTATAAAAATTCCAGTGCCCAAGAATACAGCAAATGTTAGTACCAATTCTGCAATCGGAAAAGCCAAACATGAGCCAGAATAATAAGGAGTTATTTGGAGGATAAAGAAATACCCTGGAGATTTCGAAGCTTTATTACGTTGCGAAATTGATTTAGGATCAACGACAAATTAATAACCTTGGATCAAACCACCCATTTCAATTGAGTTTTAGGTGCCTATGTTTACAGCAAGTGGATTAAGAGTAAGATTCTTAAGAGTTTATGAAAAATCAGGATACAAACCAACGAAATGGATTAGATATATCACAAAGGCTGGGGAGTATTTACATAGATTGTGATAATACAATAATCGAAAATATATTTATCAATTATCATGATGTGTCTTGTATCTTATGTTGCGAGCCTTGCTTTAGTATTTCAAAGTTTGGTAAGATTGATAGATTTTATGAGCTTGTTTGATATTGGGAGTATGGGGCCTCTATTTGATCTATAACTGTTTCTTAGGCTCTGCCAATCTATCTTATTGTTTGGATGAACAAGCACTGCTAATTCTCAGTGGACCTGTCTATTGGTAATTTCTGAGTTGTCTTTGAAATTAGATATCGACGTTATCCCACCAATTGCACGGATTGCATTAGCCACCATCATTGACTATGACAAAGTAATCTCTTCCAGTTCCATCTCCCCAATACTTCGTAGTTTTTATGGGGATCTGGGGAGGTAGATTACCAGAACGTCTCAAAGTGGTGTTTGATTTAGTTAGATAATGCATCTTCTCAAATTCATGATTTGGTTGAGGTGCTATTTGAGATTGCAGAGTCTGATTCATTTATCCACCGTTAAACTTGCTAATGTAGGAATCCCTGCAATTCAGTCATGTTACATACCTTCCTGTGCCATCATTATGGTAGTTGTTCACTTTGGGTTACAATCGACAATATGCTTAGCGAGCTGCCATTATAATAATTAATTAATCATTTCTACTATTCTCTTAATAAATGTGCTAAATAGATCAATGGATTAAATTCTAGAGCCTCTCTTTGCTGCTTCATTTACTATTTCAAATGTTGCAACTCTTGCTTGTCTGGTGCTTCCTCGTCCTCTAGATCCTCTTATATCTTATTCAGCGCAAGATTTATTTCCTTTTTCATCTCCTGAGGACTCAGATCATCGATGGAGATTCCTGTAGGAGCTTGTATTTGGTTGTTTATTGGGAAGATTGAGTCTTCGTTTTTAATCAGCTATTAACTCATCCCTCCAAAATCGTCATTCTCAGCAGAACCCTAAGACGAAGATTCGTATGCTGAACCCAATTCGTTTTTCAATCTTTACTTCTCCACCTTCTTTTATTCGATCCGATCAAATATTTTTATTTTCTTCAATCTCTCCTAATGCTTTCTCACCTCCTCTGTCTTCACAACATGATCTATCAGTTGTACCAGAGCAGTATGCAATTTTGGATATACTCGATTTTCTAAGTATTCTATTTCCTGCATAGAACCAATTGAATTTGCTAACTACATTAATTAATTTTACTATTTTGTTATTCATTAATCTAATTACGTATTACATAAATAAATAATTTATTTTTTCATTTTATATTATACAATCTTGATATTTTAAAATAAATTGACAATGTATGTTAGTTCATCGAGAATATCGTTTTTAATTTTAATTTAAAAATAATGAAATCCTCTTTGATAGCCTGTCTATTACTCAGTGTCTTGAGTGTTGAGATCACTATGAACGATGCAATAACAACTCAAGCACTAGAAAAATTGAAGGAATCTTCATGGGCCTCATTTATAGTTGAGTTCGCCTAAGTTGAATTATCAACTGGTGGAGCCCTGTCTGAATTAGTAGAAACCATCAACCAATTGATCGATCAATTGCAAGAAGAACTCTAAGATATCCATGATACATACTCAAGGAGAACAGATGAACACAATCGTGATGTGACCAGACTTGAATAAGAAATCCAAGATGCCGCTAAAGGTAACCATAATCTTATATCTAATATAGATATCTTTACTGGATAAGACTTCATTGACAATGTTCTCATCCCTTAAAAGGAGAGATTCCAATAATCTTTGGCTTAATTGAAAATTAACATTGAAGAAAACAGAAGAATATTGGATGGAGAACATTTGAATAGAAAGAGATAACATGAATAATTCTTGTCTAATATTGCTGAATTAAATGAAGCTATTGGTGCAGTCGATGAATCACTTGGGTTATTGTCTTAAATCTCTAATCCATAACTTATTTAATTCAAGAGAGTTTAGACCAATTTAGGCAGAATTCAAACATCCTTTTAGAATCGCTCCTCTTTCGCTCCAATCATAAAAGCTCTACTTGAACTAGCCACTGAATAAAATTTCACAGATTAAGGTTCAGTGTAATAAGTAATTATTATTATAATTTTAACCTATTTTTAGCTGGTCAAAATTTTCAACGAGTTAAGAGTGCAATTTGTAGATTCTCTTAATTAAGAAACTGCAGACGAGAGCCAAGCAGAGACTAAGTACGCTGATAGAGTTGCTTAATTAGAAAAAGAATTTGCAGAGTTCTAAAGATCAGTTTTATTAAAAAATTCTGAATTGGCTGCTAATGAATGTATGTCAATATTAGTATGACTCTTAGAAAAATTCGGAGAAACCATCGTCTATGTAGGATAACGAAAAGATGACAAAGAGACTCTTGAAGCTCAATTGTAAGCAGAAAATGATAATTATGCTGCTGAAACAGATTTGTACACAAGAACTGTTACTGAATATAACAAGGAAATTGAAATCAGTAAGCAAGCCTATGGTTTACTTACTTAACCAAGTTTCGAATCTTATGTTCGATCAACAGTTGGAATTTGATTAAAAATATAGATAAATATATATATATTTTAATTCAAAGAAGATATTTCATCAAATCTTTTGCAGCCATAGCAATAGATTTGTCTTCCTTCTGATACTTTTCCAGAACCTATACTAAGATTTCTTTCTTTTCTATCTTAAATGGTTTCTATTCATTCAACACAACCACCCAATGCAATAACTTGATGATTCTCTTATTTAATTAAGGACATAGTAATGGTATTAATTAATTGAACAACTACTGCCTTATTTACGACAGTTTTCCTGGATAAAAATACGTCAAATGCAACATATAAGTTAACAATGTCAATTGACATCCTGGAGTAGAAATATTAATGATTTGTTGAGCATATTAAAGAGTGAAATAAAATTGGTCTTAAAAAAATAAGAACTCTTGAGGGAAAGGCTGAGGAATCAAAGTGTTATCTGGACTCACCACTACTTTATTGTTCCCTCTTTGTAATTCATTTATTATTTTGCTTGTGATTGCTACCATAATAGAAGATAGATCCTCAAAAGCCCATTCCTATTTCTATTTTGTAAATTGCACAAATATTTGCAATGATTTGTCTAAATATAATAATTTCATTATACCTATAATTTGAAATTGCTTGAGATCTTCAATTGTGCTACCCTCAACGATCTTCTGAATGATATTCAAAGTGTGGCCTGTAATATTATTACTATCTGGCTTGTACATATCTAATATAGCCTAGAGGACTTCATGTCTTTTGAAATGAGGGAGAAAGAGGGAATTGTAGGTTAGGAGAATTGATGCTAATTTGAGTGCATAAAATGGTAAAGGAGGTTATTCTTGGAATAATTCCTTTAGCAAGGGGAGGATGAGAGTAATAATGATATTATTCAATTCGTTAGAGTAAGGCTTCAAGAAATTAGGATAATCATAGATCCCCTCCTCCTGCAATAGAGCACTTAGAAGATCTATGATCAATTTCAAAAACATAAATTTAGTTTCAGTGCTCTATTACTTGACCATGTAATCAATGCAATTTTTGAGCACCTGTTAAATGATTACTTGTTGTTGTTTAATTAAAATCTTTGAGTTAGTACACATCTTAGACATAATATTCAATAAGGTAGTTTGAATTTAAGTTTTATTCTTTGATAGTGACAATAATTCTGTTAGGATTGGTAAATACTGAGAGGAAAATACGGATTGTTATAAGACTGGTGTTTGTGAGTATTAGAATAACACATTTAAATAGTTGCCATTAGTTTTCTTTGGAGAGTATTCCATCAATTATGAATCAGTCAAAGACTAATTAATCTAAGTGATCATAATAGGAGTGCAATCACATAGTTATTGTACTAAATGTTACAAGCATTATTTTAAGTACTCATTATTGTCTCTGAGTCCTTTATCTAGAATTTAATAGAATCTTAATTGTTCTTCTGATAGATTGATAAGAGTGACTATATTGAATTTAATCATCAACATCAGTGCAATAGCTGCCTTCCCTCTGCTGACAGCATTACCATGATCCAATAGATACACTAATCCTTTTATTAATTAAGCTATTATTTAATAAATTCATAAATACATTCTTCCATTAACAATTTGTTGACTGCATTTGAAGCCAATTAAGATACATTATTGCTTGATGAATCCTGAGTGCTTACACTTTGGAGTAGATGAATGTTGAATATAGTGATCATTGCTTACTACACTCTCTGCAGGTTATCTAAAAATATCTAGGCTTATTAAAATGACATAAATACTTAGACCAAACTCTTTAATCCAAGACTTTGCATGAACACATCAACTTATTGATTATCCAACATCAGTAGATTAGCTAAGGTGACTGCACAACTAATTCTTAGACTATCATTCTTGGTAGACAAAAAGCATTGTAGAATCATCAAGACTATTTCTGATTTGGCAAATCTCTATCCAATTGATATTGATTAAGATGAGATGTTTTCAATGGTTTTGATACAATAGAATTTGACTAATTAGATTATTTACATTATTTACCAATTTCATCTTCATTCTACGACTTAATAACCTTAATCAATTAATTGTAGCTAAGATTACTCATCTTCCAATAGGGATTCTAAGGATCCTCTTCCATTTAGGTTGCACCATAAAATAAATATTCACCCAAAGCTGCTGCTGCCTTTCTCCTAACAGTACTTTATTCCTTTGAGTTTAATATTTCCACCATAGCCTCCGGTATTCCATGTTATGAAACCTCAGGTTCGATAACAGTAGCATGTCGAATCAACAATCCCAAAACACAGCAAATCCGATATTTTAATTAAGTTAATTTACTTACTGTCAATAATTTCAACAATAATTGAATATAGGCTGAGTTTATTAAGCGATTTGCTGCATTAGATGTCTGGATAATTTATTCAAAATAATTTAGAATATTCAATTATTCCTATTATTTGGCTGTTTGTAAAGAATTATATATTTATTCGAAGTGGTATTCGATTTAATCTGTTTCGATATTTCTATTAACATCATCTGCATTAATATATTAAAAAGGTAATGATTCTTTTGCGAATGTGGCATCAATTGACTTTTCAATTTCTCTATTGCCAATTATAGGCTTGACTGAATTATCAGAACTGTGAGTGAATAATTAATCAATAGGCATCAATTAATCATTTTCATTTGGCTTCTTTTATTGAGGAGTAATTCCCCCTGGAATAGGCGATTAATTAAGAAGACTCTAAGTAGATGGATGCACTGAATCCTTTTTAATAGTGAATGGTTTCTATTGTAAATGTGGTGAATTAATAGAATTCAAATCTGATTAAACATTAGTTTAGAATTCGTCTGGTTGTCTATCAATTTCTTCATCTTCTTATTACTACTCTGACCCTATCAATATTTCTTGGTCTTTGTTTGTCAACTTGAAATCCTTCTCATTGCTACTAGCCTATTTATGATATTATTGCTATTGAGAACTGCTAGGCACATCTTCCCTTAACATATTCTTATGGACATTCAAGGACAACCTTACAATATCCACCTATTTGTTATTCTATTGAACAGGAGTCACTCTGACAAGATTGTTCTTTTTGCACCAAGTTTCAAAATGTGGTTGAGATGGCACATTCAAATATTAAATATTAAGGAATTTACAAATTTTTTCCCATCCCCACCTTTTAAGAGGGTCTTTGTCGAGTAATCTAGGAACTAAGTCATAAGAATTACCCCTTAATAAAATCCCAACATTAGACTTCTAATGGTTTCACTTCCGCATTCAAAATGAGTTCAACCAATTCTGTAAAGCTGCTGCATTAGAATGGAGCTTATCCAATACACAATTCATATGCAATACATCCCAAAGCCCATAAGTCACTTTAGAAACTGTACACTCCACCCTCATGAAATAATTCTGGTGCCATGTAATAGGGCGATCCTCTTTTAGACATTTCAACATCTGGACCTATGGTGGCTGATATCATATCCACCAAGCGCTTTGCATTTCCCAAATCACTGAGTTTGGCTACTCCATATTCATTGAATAACACATTCGATGGTCTCAAATCGCAATAGACTATATTAAATTCAAATGACTCACTTATGCCCTTGGAATGCAAATAGTTCAATCCTGCAGCCATGTCCCTTACGAAACGTAACACTATGTTTTCTTGTAAGCCTTATTAATCAGCTTCAATTAGTGCCATCAGATCACCTCCTGGACAATACTCCAAAATGACCCAGAGATGATTACGCGTCTCATACCAATGGTAAAACTTCAAGATGTTGGGGTGTTTGAGACCAGAGAACATTTTGACCTGATTCATTTAAATTAATTGATACTTCATTCAAAAGTTTTGTGCGTCTACTTTTCTCCAATGACTTCACTGCCATATATTCAATAGTCTTCTTCTTTCTTCCCTTGTACACAACTGAATACTTGCCTTTTCCTATCTCATCATAAATATGATAGTTATTCATAATTTTTAAATTTTGTTTTATTTTATTTTATGGGCAAGAAGAAATTCATCAACAAATAGAATGCAGCTACTCTCAAAATGGTTCATTAACCAGGTGAAAATAACCAAGGAGCCACAGACATGATTTGTTTCCAAAAAGTTAATCAACCTGGTACTCAAAATGAATTGTACTCCCATCTAATTATCGTAGATCTGAACTCATTGAAAAAGAACTCAACAAAGGCAAGTACGATCCCAATCTTAAGCCTCGAATGCCTGAAATCGATCCTACAGAAGATGCCTTACATTTGGTCGCTGGAAGAGAGGACCTCTGGATTCATCAATTGGCCAAATAAAAAGCCCTATAAGCATTAAAACAGAAATAAGAGTAATTCCAGGATGTGGTCATGAAACATTATGATGAAAACGGATTACCTTTGGATGGGTATGACTACTCATAGCATCTTGCTCCAGAGAGACGTAATAATTTCATTTATATGATCTCTTAGCCTAAGGAGAAGTGGAATGTGTCTTTGTGGTTCCTGAAGAAGAGAGATCCAAGGTTGTCTACGATATAGATTTCAAAAGAGAAGAGTTAACATAAGAATAACAGGAGGTGTATGATCTATTGATGAAAGAAGATGAAGATGATGATGAAAATAATTAAGAAAATTAAGAAGAATTAGATGATGATTTTGTTTCCAATTTAATACAATAAAATAAATTACAACCAATTTAAGAATAGAAAGTAGAATAGGTATAAAAAGTGGAAAAGCTAGAATAAGTATAAAAAGTAGAATAGATATAAAAAGCAGCAGAATCTCCTAAAAAATAAGTTAGATTTTAAGATCAAGAAGAATCTGATAATGATGAGGATTATGAGGATGAAGAGGAAATGGAAATCACTTATGATAAAAATAAAATGAATTAGAAATCTTAATAAAAATAATAGTAATAATAGAAATAATAAAAACAATCCAAATAATAATAAAGTGATTCTGATTCAGAATTAGAAATTGATTCTGATATGGAAAGAGAATTCGAAAGGGAGATGAATGCTTACGAAGCACCTGATGATGAAGATGATGATGACCAACAAAATAAAGAGTTTGTTAATGATCAAATGCTTAATAAAGTTATAGATGATCATCTGAATACAATGACTAAAAAGTAATAAAAAAAGTCCAAAAATTAACAAAAACCTAAAGATCAACCTGAAGAAAATGAATGTATGATATATTCCATAAATAATTTTAGAATAAAAAGAAAAAAGACTTGAGTATTTGAAAAACACAGATTATAATGAATATTTGAGATAAAAATTCCCAAATGCAGATTTCTCATAATTCCATCTTAAGAAGGAGGTACCACCTCTCACTCCAGAAGAAGATATCGCATTATAGAACTATCTCAATAGGGATTCCACCGATGAAGAATGTCCTGACATGGAACCTGCTGAAAAGTATTAAGAAACTATTGTTACTAAATCTCTACATAATACCACCATGTCCAAAATGAATCCAGATTAATTAAACATAATCAAATATAAAACTAAAGGGTAAATCCAATCGACCAAGGAGGATAGGATGAAACAAAAGGAAGAAGAAAAAATTAAAATTAAAGAATTAAAGCAAGAGAAGGAGAAAGTCAAAGAGGCTGTTTGTGGTATGTATACTAGTTTTATTTTAGAAACTCTTAAATAAGTAGTTATCAAAAAAGAGGAAACTCCTGAAGAAAAGAAATAGAGAAAGGAATTAGTGAAATAGTTGAAATAAGCTTAAAAAGAGAAAAAGAAAGCATTCAAAGACCAACTATAAACTATGTCAAAAAAACTATAAAAATAAAAATTGGCTAATATCCAAAGTAACTAAGCAGAAGGTGTTTCGATTGTTAAAATTGCATGATTGTTATATTTTTCATATAATCTAACCACATTTTTATTAATACTTTATTTATTAGTTATATTTTAAAATATGAATACAGTTATTGAATAAAATAAATTACAGAACTTGGCGAAATACATTAATCAAGAGGAAAAGAAGTTTCAAAAACATTTAGAAAAAACAGAGAAAACAAATCAATAAAGAATTAATCTTGAAGAAGAAATACATAAAACTCAATTAGAGATCATAAGTATAATACACAATACTATTATGAGAGCAAAACCACTTAAAAGAGAAGGCAGAGAAGCTACAAAAGGATTACCCTTAATTAATCGAGGAGAAATAATATGAGGTTATTAATCTCTAGAAAGATTTAGCATTGGCTACTGCAGCCAAGAAAGTAAATTTGTTATGAACCTTAGGCAGCTTAATAAGAATACGACATTTAAATTAAACATCTATAATAACAAATCGCAGAATTGAAAAGAGAAAAGCAAGACTTAAAAAGAGAAAACCTAGGAAAATAAGAAAAATAAACAGCCTTACGTGGTGACTTATAAAAGTTTGGAAAAGCCTTATAGAGCAGAGAAAAGCCTCCTGTTGAATATAAAGTCTATAGTTCTTCTGGTGGATTTGGACCTCTTTATTAACCATAAGAATAACAGCAATAACATATGTTTTATTGATATATTTGATTAATTACTAAATTAAATTTAATTATATTGTAAAGAGTTTTAAATAAAAATATTTAAAGAACTCTCTATAAATAATGAAAATCTAAGGCATTTAAGGAGCAGTTCTCTAAATTAAAATCATATCAAAGTTTAAGTTAAGAAATGAATTTAAAATATTGATTACAATATTACAATCACTAAATCCCTACTTCTATCTTTTGAAATTATAGATTCAATAATTAATTAATGGTTGATGATCAAGGTTATTATTTAAGGAAGGAGACCTATTTAATATGTTTCAGTTGCATTGAGATATTATAGAACCTTTTAAGCATTTTTATAAATCCTATGAATAGACAGAACACTTATTACATAAGATGATTGGAGATAGCTATAATTAGTAGGATATTCAGGGAGTATAACTTACCTACCATTAATTCTAAATTATAGAAATCGCTAGTTGATAGGGAAAAGATGAGATAGTAAAATCAGAAATGCTATTTCTACTGAAAATAATGATTGTGACTCAATAAAAAATCAAAGATATCAATACTGATTTATTATATATAAGATCTAAACGATTCTCAGAGAAATTATAAACTAAGATTATCAATAAGACAATTAAATCATATAATTTTTAAAGAGATCCCTAAGAAGAGGAATGGAGGATAAAGATTGCACAAATCCAATAGTGGTTGTTTATCAAATTTCAGAAAGTAGTGAAATTTAGTTGATTTTATGTTGAATTTTTATTTGTTCCATGAAACCAAAAAGTGCAATTTGCAAATATTGAAGCACATCAAGTTGACTCATGCAAAAGAACTCGATTCCTGGTTTCTCCAGATATGATACTTATTAAATTAATAATAAGGTTTTATCAGATTAAAAAATTTACAAAAATGATTATAGAATTTCATAAACTTGTTATTTCTATCATCTTATATTATTTAAATTAATGAATTAACTTATAGGTAATCAACCGGAATCAGACTAAGGTGCTATTGAAGCTTCTTTCCCAGGGGAATACAAAAATTTTGCTCCAATTGGAAGAGGTTCTTATGCAAAAGTGTATAGAGCGGAAACAGAAAAAGGAGAATTGGTGGCTATAAAGGTATATAATTTAAAAATCTGTATAGGTGATCGATTTGAAAAATATGTAAAAGGAGATAATACCTTATATGCAAAATGAGATGAAATTATTGTCAGAGAGTGACAATAGAAATGTGATTAAATTGTTTAAGAGTAATCAAAATAGTTAGAAATTAATTTTAATTCTGGAGGTAAATTTAATAACTCTAATTTTAGTACTGTTACTTAGATGTTGAATTTATGGTGAAAAGATTTTATAAAGGAAAATTGCCAGATGAATTAGTCTTGATTATATTGAGATAGCTAGCAAATGGATTATCCTACTTACATAGGAATAAGATTATTCATAGAGACTTGAAATTAGAGAATTTCGCTGTTTAATTGAGCTAAGAAGATTAGAATGCCTTATAGACAAGAAATGATATTAGTGTATTTGAGAGAGCAACCTATAAATTGATTGATTTAGGATTGGCGAAGAAGCTGGGAGATCTTTAGAGTTAAACAAGTACTTGGGCAGGAACAGAACTAAATATGGGTATCATATAAAATAATAAATCAAGCTCCTGAAATATTAAATGAATAAAAGTACTCATTCTAAGCCGATATGTACAGTCTTGGAGTCTGTCTATATTACATGTTAGTGGGTAAATACCCCTATTTCGATCCAACAAATAGAACTCCTCTATAAGATTTAATTAAAAAGGAGAATGCTGATTTAAATTAGATTGCTAATCTTTAATTGAGAGAATTGATAAGAAAGATGCTTAAATTCGATCCAAAACAAAGACTTTCATTTTAAGAATTATATCAACATGAATTTTTCAAGTATAGAGAAGGGGATTTATCTAATCCAATTGATTTAGAATTAAATTAAAATTAAGTCATTTATTCTGGAAAAATAGAAGAGTCCATTTTAGATTACGAAGAAAAACAATTTAAGAGTATAATTCAATAAGAGAATGAAGGCAACTTTCAGAATGAAAAATAATTGTATCAAGATGACCCAAATAAATATTCTGGATTTGAGATAAAAACATAACCATAAATAACACTTTAAGATGAAGGATAAGCAAAGTAATTTTCTGAACCGGATGTAAAGAACATTTTTCCAACCAGCAAGTTTGATCCTTAAAAAAAACAAAATGATTAAATCATGCAACTATACCATATAAGAAATCAATATATAGCAATTTTGAAATTGGCTGAATATCTTGAACAAATAATACCTTTAGTTAAAAAATCTAAGCTTGATTTCATAACTATGGAATCAAAGTTTTCAATGTATATAGAGTATCTAAAAATGGTTGCTAAATAATTATTCATAAAGTTGTAATAAAGATTCCAATTCTTTTAATAATCCTTAGGGTCTTATGATAGATTTTAGTTATTGAAAAAGTAAGTAGAAAACGAAGATCATCCCAAACTTCTACAGGTTCAAGTTAGAGAAGGAGATGCTTAGGGTTGGATGTCATGGTTATCAAAAAACGTAATGAAGAAAATTTAATGTGAACCTTATGATTCAGCCAACTTTAATTAACAATACTAACAAACCAATATTGAATTGTATAAAGAATTGCTGAAGATGTTACAAGATACATTTTTTAAGTATTAGGATGATTCTGATCCTAAATTAAAAAGAATTAAATGTTTACTCTACTTATCCATGATAAATACTGCTAGGTCTAGAGTCCTATTCTAAGTGGAACTATAAAATGTAGATTATAAAGCAGAAGAGCTCCTATTAACAAAGGCTCGTGATGAACCAGATTTACTTTCAGAAAAAGTAACTGCAATCTTAACTTAATTTAACTTGTTATATAACTGATAGATTTTATAATTATTAAGTTTGCACGAATAATTTTATCAAATATTTTTTCATTCTCAATTTAATAAATTATAAAAATTATATTAGAGTATTTTTAATAAATACCCTTCATTTACTAATTTAAATGAAAGCTACTTATATTTTATTCAATTTTAACTGAAAACGTATTTGGATGATAAAAATAAAGAAGTATTGTTATAGATAATCTTAAAATAAGATGTTAATGCTAATAATATATGATAAGAAGAGATAATATAAGAAAATGAAAAAAAGACACTATAAATATTTATGGATTAAAAACTTACGAGATATTAATAATGAAATCTGAATTAATTATAAGTTTATGAAATTTAGTTATAGATATTTCATTATTATCTTCATCAGATATTTTCTTTGAAAATTCTTCCTATTGAAGTTTAGCTTCCTTTTATGTCTACGTTCTCTTTATACAAAGAGGATTTTCTTACTTCAAAATAGGTGGATTCCTTTAATAATTATAATTATTTAATACTTTAACATTTTTGAGATCTTAACCTCTTTTCTTATGTGCATCAAACTCTGCTTGAAGCATCATTAAGTCCTCTTGAACTCGATGATAATCTTTATTTAAAATGGAGAACTTTTACCTCCAAGTTTCTACCTCATTTTATAAGTAACTATTTTTTTCTTCCAAATTAGAAATCTCAATGTTATTACTTTATTCAATTTATCTCATTTAAGAATCTAGCTCTACTAATTACATTTATTTTATTTTTAATTCTTCTAATAATTTCTCAAGCTTGAATCGTAAAGAACTTTCAGATTCTATTTTGTTTTCTAATTCTTTTTATAAATTCTTAGCTTGTAAATTAGTTTACTCGTTCAGATACTTCAACTATTACTCTACACCTTACAGATGAGATATCTAATCCTATTAGAAATGATTTTTCTTATTTAATTCTTCCTCCAAAGACAGCTAATATTTAAGATCTCTTTTTAAACTATCAATTTATTTAATATCTTCATCTATTTATTATTGCAACTCTGTTAATTTTATTTCTTATTTCTAACTATTTAAAATACTATTTTCTTTGAATTTTTCAAATTCATCTTCTAATTGTTATTTGATTTTATCAGATTGAGATAATTTTTCTTATTATTGAGTGACTAAGATTTTCAATCTTTCCATTTCAAAGCATTCGAGTAATATTTATTATATTAATTACATTTTTTCTTCTTTCAAACTCTCTTCGCATAATTGATGATTATCATTTTATTATTATAATTAAGTAATTTATGATTGTTGATCTTTATTTTAAGTTAACAGATTATCTTACTCTTTTTTTAATTAATTAATTTATTAATTTAGTTATTATTACTCTACTTCAGCTTCTTTCATTCTTTCACTCATTTATGTCTTTTGATCTTCTATTTAAACCACTTATTATTTAACTTCAGTTTCCAACAACTAGTTCTTGCTTTCTAGATCAGATTTTTCTTAATTTAATATTTAAATAAGATTTTATGATTATTTATTGATTTCTATTTATGATTCTAATTATTTTTCTAACTATTATAGACTCTCCGATTTTAAATTTAAATTATCTTACAATTCAACATTTTGGGCTTCATTCTAGCTTAGTTTTAATTGTAAATTCTTATTAATTTCATCAAAATTATCAAGTTTTGATTTTGTTGTTTCTAATTCTTCAGACACTAGATCTAAATTAGTTGTCTTTTCTTGTAATTAGGAAATCAAACTTTGATTCTAATTCTTTAAATCATCTATTTCTTTTGTTTTATCTACATTTTCTTATTAAACTTATTCTAATTGATTAATTAAGGCTTCCCTTTCTTATTTTGTTAATTCATGTTCAGTGTCTTTGTTTGACAATAAATTTTCATGATGTTGAGTTTATTCAATTAATTGATTTTACAAATTTTAATTATTCTGATCATTAATAATTACTTATTAATTTAATTAAAGATTTTATTCTTTTTGTTCATTTATTTCTGTTTCAAGTTAATGAATTTTATTATTTAAATTTTCTCTTTCTTTTTGAATCGTATCTATTTATTCTTCCTATAATTATTCATTTTATTGAGATTAAGCTAATTTCTTTTCTAATAATTCTAAATTCTCTCTGAAAGTTTACATCAAAGAATCCTTTTGAGCTAACATTTGTTATGTCTATGAATCTTTTTGAGTTATTTCAAATTTAAGCTCATGGATTATATTATTTGAGAATAAGAGCTCTTATTCATAATTTTTGGATTTCTATTATAATTCTGAGATTTATTGATTTCTTTCCTCAATTACGTTTTAGCCCACTTACAATTGCTTTTCATAATCTGAGACTCTAAATTTCAATTATGAAATGCCTTCATTTTTATCTTCAATTACAAATTGAAGTCTCTCTATCTCAGAACTCAATAATGCAATTTTATTTTCAAATACTTCTTGCTATTTTAACTATGAAGATAAGAATCTGATTTAATCATCTTAATATTAGAACTGTGACTTAAAGGTATTGAGTTCTGAATTTAGATAAGTCACCTCTTGCTTATGATTTTTTTAAGTTTCCTCTAAGAGTTTTCTCATACTCTCTATTTCCATACCAGTGTTTACCCACACTTATTATTCGCTATCAAACTTCTCTATCTAAAGGTCTAAATCATTTTAAAGCTCATTTACTCTTTGATTTAATCTATTATTTTCTTGAGTCAATTACTCAATCAAAGTTTCCTACCATTAATAGATTACTTACATGTCCTTAACACTTTTTTTCTGTGCATAATTTCACAGTCCTAGTCTCTATTACAGGTCTATAAGTAGTAGTGGTGACAGTTGTTTTAGGTCTAGATTGATAGGTCGTAACCTTTGCTAATCGACCACAAGAATCATGACGTTTGTCTCTGGGTGGAGAATTGACTACTCTAGTTGTTGCAATGGTCTGAGTTTGAAAAAATTTGGGAGATTGAGGTCTCATTGTGAGAGAATTCGTTAAATTTAATAATAATTTTTAATACAGTTAAAATGGATTAAGATGAAATAATTAAATAAGTGGTTCATGTTTTTAATAAACTCTCTACAAACTAATAATAGCCTATTAGCAAAGAGATGTTGTTAAAATTCTTGGATTCTCAGTCAAATTAAGAATATGATAGGGGTCTTTTCGATTAAATGTATGAAAAAATAGTCCAAAAAGATTCTGGATAATTTACTGTTTAGAAATTCATAAGAACTTTGATGGAAGCATTGAAATCATTGAAAAATAAGATTTCCACTATTTAGACATAAATATCTCAAAAAAAAAAGAATTTAGAGGATCACAAATCAACATTGCATGAATTATAGTCTCAAGAACAATTTAATTCAAATAAAATATCCTTAGACAGCAGAATAAGAGTTACTATTCATGATGCTGATATTCAATTTCCTGGAAATAGTCCAATAGCAGTAATTTTAGGATGTGAAGATTTAAGATACTCAACGAAATCTGCAAGAAGAGAAAATCTTGTGTGGGAAGAGAAATTTGAATTTGATATCTAAACTGGCAAAGAGGAAATTTATATTGTTATTTTAGATAAAGAGTTGGCAGATAGAGAGGAGATAGGAGGATAAACAAAACTTAATTTATAAGATTTTTATGATTAAAAACCGCATGAAATAACACTTGAATTAAAGGATAAATATAATGTAGTTAGATATTCAACTATTAGAGCTAGAGTACAATGGATACATTCTTAAGTATTTTGATATATATGAAAGACAAAATATTGCAAAGAAGTCATTTAAGAGTTACAGCAAAATATCAAAAGTCTAGAAGATGATGTAAAAGAATACAAGAATTATATTCATATGTTGTTCCTTCCTTTCGAAGAAAACTACTAAAATTCATAAGGAGACCACTAGGAGTTTAGTGATTACTCTACAAACTAACCTACTCCTCAGAACTAATTAGAACAGAGTCCAGAAAGTCAATAATGGTTGAAATTTGGATTCATTTTAACACTTATCTACTCATTTATAGTGCTTTTTTCCTCTCTTTTTAAAACTTAATTTTTGGATGTAAAATAACATACCTATTATAGTCAATTGTAATATTCTAAAGCCTAGTTTATTATTTGGACAATTTTAAATTCTCATAATAATTACATATTAAAGTAATTTCTTTGATGTTGGCATTCTCTCTTATTATTGATACATTTTGGCTCATTATTTATACTATTCCTTGGACATCTAATAATGTATTATTTTTTTAAATTGAACATGGGTTTTAAGTTTATGAAGTCATTATTTAGTATATATTATTTGCAATAAAAGTAAATTTATTTTATTCATTAGATAACTTTAATATTTATTTATGCATATATTTATTATTCTGAGAATATCAGTTCAAATGATCCTCCATATTCTGAATAATAAAGATAAAATAAAAAATTAATTGAAAGTTCTTTTTAAAGAAATAATCAGAAAAATGAGAATTATTAGATTTAACAATAGTTATGAATTTAATCTATTCATTATTTAAAGAAAAATTAGATAAATGAATAATCGTATTAATAATTCTATAGTTGTATTTAATATAAAATTAAATTGTTCAACTTTCTAATTTACCTTCATCATAATCTCTAAAGGGAACTTGATAAACATTTATTGATGAATTTGATAAACGATCTCCATTTCTTTTATAATCTTGCTTTTTCTTTATCCTGTTTGCTAATCGCAAATATAGGTTATTCTATTGTTTTTAAAATTCCTCCTGAACAGTGGAATCATTAGCTTCATTGTTTTTTTCAAATTATCCTACAATATTCTCGCAGACTCTTTCATTTACTTTTTAAACTTCTTCTAATTCATACAAATGAACCATCTTCTTTTGTTTATAATTATCTATTTTAATTATGGGAATATCTGATTGATTAGCCATTATAAGATTTTTTAATATATCCTCTTAATCTTATTTACTTTTTCTAACTATCTATTATAGCAATTGATGTTGTTTATCCATAAAATAATATGTAATTGGATCCATTTGTGAATCATAATATGAAACTATTTCTCCATACATTTGAGTCATTTAAACCAACTAAATTCTTAATCACAATCACATACATACTTCATCCATGCATATATCCTCTTAGGTGGCTTTCTCTTCATATTTTAATAATACACAATAAAACTGTTTCGGAAGTGGTCTCTTGAATGCTCTATCATCCATAGTTTTCATAGTATAAAAATTAATTTATAGAATATTATCAATTTTTACCGATTATAATTTTAACACTTAAATAATAAGTCCATAACATTTCTAAAGATATAGATTATAAAACTTTATGGATTTAGAGAATTCAATAAAGTTGAATACTACATTTAAAAGAATTTATAAGAATAACTCAATATATATGGTTGTAAAATAGTCTTCTTTATTAAATCTATCTTCTTGATATATCAATTTAGAGAAAATTTTTAAAAAGATAAATGAGTTTATGCGAATCTTTATTGTGGTTACTCATAAAATTTGAAAAAATAGCGTTGTTTTTATTGCAATTTTTAAATTTTATTATGAAATATTTAGAAAAGCATGGAAATATTAGTATATGGATGTGTTATATAATGTTGGAAGGGTTTAGATAAGGAATCTAAATGAGATTATTGAATGGTTATTGAATGGATTGCATAATATAAAAAATTGATTAAGAAATAATCGAGATTTGTAAAATATTTAAAAAAATAGATATTTATATTTGATTGCATGAGCAGAAAAGAATAAGACATCAAAAGATTGATTGCTTCACAAGTAAAAATGTCATTTAGATTTCTCTTTAGTGCCACGTTGGAACAAAACAACTTCATTTTGACATGAAGAGATATGTATCTCATAGAAGTGATAATGGTTCATACATTCTCAATTTAGAGGAAACCTGGTAACACATTAAGTTGGCTGCCAGAGTTATTGCTGCAATTGAATAACCTCAAGATGTGATGGTATGATAAACATGAATAATTCAGGTTGTTTCATCAAGACCAATTGGTTAAAGAGCAGTCATTAAGTTTGCTCACTACACATAGGCCAGTTCAACAAGATCAGCAAGATGGACACCAGGTACATTGACCAATCAATCCAACAGTGCCAGTGGTAAATTCTAAGAACCACAATTGTTGATTGTCACCGACCCACATTTGGTAAGAATATTTGAATTAATATATTTTATAGGATAGATAAGCTATTGTTGAAGCCTCATACGTCAACATTCCAGTCATTGCCTTAACCAACTCTGACACTCCATTATAATATGTTGACATTCCCATCCCAGTCGGAAACAGGGAAACAAAATCCATTTCAATGATCTATTGGTTGTTGGCAAGAGAAGTCAAAATATTAAGAGGAGAATTGAATAAAGGTATATATTGATAATATTAAATTATTTTAGATGAAGAATGGGATGTTTTGGTTGATTTGTTCTATCACAAGGAAATTACCAATGATTAATTGGGCATCACAGACAATTAAGTCAAATAAGAAGCTGAAGATCATGAACAATAAGCTGAAGGCGAAAAGGCAGAGAAAGACTGGTGATAAAATATATTAATATTATGTAAAGTACATGTACAAGGAATGCGTTTAAATTTATTAAATTATATTATTATTTCTTTATGAGTAATACTTTTAAGTCTGCAGGCAATACTCTTGCCAAAGGAAATGACTTAGGTTAAACCAACCAAAGTTTCGGCGGCTCTCAAAATCCTGCCTCATTGAAAGGTAAATTGATGAGTTTGGAAGTATTAAATAAATCAATCTAAGGAAACAATCAAAGGCATTCAAGATGAGATGAATTTTCACAAGAAAGAAGTCTAAATACTCAAATCAGAAAAAGATACCTTAGAGTCTGTTTTGAGTATGAAAACTCAAGATGTCAAAAAGACTCTTACCAATGAACTTATGAGAATCGAAGAGGAAATGAAAAGGTAAAGAGAATCTATGTAAAATTAGACACTTTGCACATCAAAAGGCTGAGAATTCAAGATTATAATAGTAGATAACAGCATTAAAAGGAGAAAAGACTGCTCTCCAATAATAATTATTAGGATTATAGAGAAGGATAGCAGAGTTAGAATTGTAGGTTGGTTAAGAATAAGCATGAATAGTAATATAACCCTAAAATTTAATCATAATTAAATTTTGTTATCTTATATTCATTACGGATTCACATTCCTTATTAATAAGTAAACCCTTCAAAATAAACATTCTGTTAAGAGTCTGGAGTTTCAATTAAAGGCTATTGTAGGAATGCTGGAGCAAAGTTAGACAAATCCTCTAGATGTTGAATTCGAGGAACTATTGGAGGCTAGAGTTTTCTTTGTTCTACGAGTTACCAATCTATTCCACTGAAAAAATTGTGTTTTTTGATTTCTTGGATCCCATTTGAACCCAATCGAAATCCAGGCTACATTATATAATCATTCATACGTCTTTTGTTAGCAATCCCTTTAATAAAGATTAGGCTTAAAGAGAGAAGTTAGGTTTCATCTCTAAAGGTTTTTCACATCTATTTTTTAACATTTCTCTTTTATTTTTTGAATAAAATGGAGGAGCACCACTCAGCATTTCGTATATCAAGGCTCCATAACTATAGAAATCAACTACAAAGCTATGTCCTTTTTCTAATGGATAATTAAGAAAGAGAGATTACAATATAGAATTTCAGGGGCAACATATTCTGGAGTACCACAAAACGAATAAGTCATTTCATTTCTCTCATATCCTAATTTAGACAATCCAAAATCTGTAAGAACTACATGTCCATCTTTATCTAGGAGGATGTTTTCTGGTTTTAAATCTCTGTAAATGATTTTTTATTAATGCAAGATGTCAAGTGCAATTAACAGTTCAGCTGCATAGAATTGAGTCCATTCTTCACTAAATTTTTGTCTTTTTCTGAGATGAAGAAACAACTCTCCGCCAATCATGAAATCCATAACCAAATAGAGTCTTGATGGACTTTAAAAGGCGAAATGCAATTTTACAGAAAAGGGACTGTTAACAAGCGTCATTATTTTTCTCTCTTATAGTGCTTATTCCTATTGTTTCTTTTTTTGTAACAATTTTTTCCTTAAAATCTTCACTGCATACAATTGTTGATCCGCGATTCTTCTAACGAGCAAGACTTTTCCAAATGAGCCTCTACCTATTACTTTTAAAAGTTCAAAATCGGAAAGTGTAAGCGTAGTTTTAGGATTTCCGTTTTCGCCTTCAAATGGCATTTAGGTGGTTTCTCCAATCTTGTCGTCGACATCATCCTCATCTAGAATTTCGCTTGAAATGTCGGGTATTTTTGAGTTATATTCTGCTTGTTTGTTTTAACACATACCCATTTTAATAAATATATTTTATATTTTATGATAATCTTATTCCTGAATTCAACTCTTCATTAATAAATAAATTATGAAGATGATGTAATAAGCTTACATTATATATAATTAAATATTTAATGTTATTATTAAACTTTTATGATTAGAGTGAATTAGTATATTAAATAATTATATTTCATTCCTCGACTATAAAATTATTATTATTTTTATACAATCTAATGTTTTAGGATCCAGAAGAGAAAGATATGATTGGCGATCTTCTTAATGGTATTTCAAAATACTCAAGCTGTTTTAGATAGTTTTGAAGCTGAGAAAACAAAAAAATCATATTCCAACTAAAGACCCCCTGCATTAGAAATAAAATAATACTAAAAGGCTTCTCCTGTCTATCAACCCAAAGTTTATTCACCTTAAGTTTAACAGAAGGCTAAGTTGTTAATTTGCTTATTAAAGTTCATACGATTTGGATTTACGACTTACAAAGGTGCCTGTTTAGCAAAGTGCTCCTAATTCAGCTTTGAAAGCCAAATCCTATGATTCCATGACCTAATTTATCCCAGAAGAAGAAACAAGTCTAGATGGAGATATAGTAATCAAAAATTCATAATTATAGATATCAAAATGCAAAGATTAAAATGGTGCCAGAAGCATTTAAAAGCAATTCTAAGAAGGACCTGTTGCAATCAAAGATCTGATATTCACTAAATTGGAAAAGGGATTCGTATCTTTGTCCAAAGATGTCTTTGGTAATTATGTCATTCAAAACCTCCTTGAAAATGGTATTAATTTTACATAAAGGTAGGAACTCCTATACAGCAATAAAAAATGCTTGTAATTTTATAGCCTCATACTCAATAACTTGCATTTCATCAATATGGATGTAGAGTCTTATAAAGGTTGTTATAAAATGCACATAAAACTGCGGAGTTTCAAGCGTTATTTGATTCAATTAAAGGGAAAGTGAGAGAATTAGTTATAGATCAACATGGAAATCACGTGGTTCAAAAACTAATCCAACTAATGGAAAGTGATATAAGTCTTTGGGTTTTGGATGGAGTTGAAGGACAAATAAGTAAATTGGTTACCAATTCATTCGGATGCAGAATTATTTAAAAAGCAGTATCAATTTCAAACAATCACGTCGAAAGATAGATGAGAGTTCTACACGAAATCATGAAGATATCTCAAGAATTATGCACTTCCTAATATGGCAATTATATAATTCAGCAATTGTTGAAAGACGGTCCAGAAGTTATTCAAATTGAAATCTAGCAGATTATTATGGACAAAATAGAAGAGTATAGCCTAAATAAATTTGGGAGGTATTTTCAATCTTTAAATTAAGCAATGTTGTTGACTGTGCAATTAAATGTTCAGATAATAAATTCAAATTAAAAATTATGGAGTTACTATTGAGCCAAAAGAATCATCCAGTTTTATTTGTAAGGTTATCAAAAAACGCATATGGTAACTATGTAGTCTAAAACTTTTTAAAATTTGCAGATAGTGAAATATAAAAGGAATTATATCTAAAAATTACAAACAATTAATAACTATTGCAAGAAATATAATAATCACAATTTGGTACTTTATTCTAACTTATTGTAGGTTAATACGTGTATTAAATGTTGACCTAAAAATTAGAACTTGAAGCTTTTAAATTATGATTCCTGTGTATGATTTGTTAATATATATTGTAATTAAAAAAATACTTATATTTACTTATCATTCTTAAGGATTATTAATCTTTCTAATTTTATAGTTTGGTTTATGAAATTTAATAATAATTAGTTAACATATAATTTTCCATCAAAAACATATCATGTGATCAATATCATTATATTTGGAATTTAAGATAAAAAATAATATACTGTGTTTATTTCAAAATGGAATATAAAGATAATTTTAACTCTTTTCAAATAAATAATTTTGAGAGTATCCAAGAATATGCATAATACAATTTATTACCCACAAAGAATTATTAGATACTAATTAATAATGTTTGATAATTGGTAAACAGAATTCAAAAGACTCTTTTTTGACCAAATCAAAATTATATATCAAAATTACAAATCTTATAAATATAAATATTATTGAATTTCAATATCATAGTTTAGAATCTATATCTATGCTATAGTGGATGATCACTCTTAATATGCTTTGTAAATTAAAATTTTATATATAAATCTCAAGATCAGCCTTAATATAACTGGATATCAGAATCTAATAGTTATTTTTCCATGTATTCTTCTGCCTGTCATAACTTTCTTTTATGATTGTGAATTACCTTTTTCAGATTTAATAGCAATTAAGAATCTGAAAAACTACAATAATTTCCTATTTTCATTTTTTAATAAAATTGTATAATTAAATTATATTGCGTAGTAATGCGCACGAATAAAAATTAATTCTTAAGTAATTGAATTTGATTAAAGGATTCTAAAAATAATCCTTTAATGAAAAAGTCATTATTGTTATGTGGCACATGGGTAACAGGTTATTTAATTCATTCATGCTCTCCTTACATCAAAGCATTGCAAACAACTTAAGATTTAGATGAAGAGCACAGTTTCTAGGAATTCATTAAATAGTACAATTACAGTCAACCAAAAATAATTGATATGCTTCACAGCTCAAGACAAAAGCATTTTCTTCACAATATGATAGTATAAAATGAAAACGCTTTCAATTTATTCAAAGTCTATCTCTCCAATAATTAGAGTAATCTAAATGATGAAAATGGTCATCAATTACATATAGTTTTCAATGCTTCTGAAAATGTAAAGGGAAACAATAATGATGTTAATAGTGGTTTATTGGCAACGATAATCGATAATGCTTTCGGATAACTCAGTTTCTTAGCAGCTGGATTTGTTCCAACAGCGACCGCTAATCTCTAAGTAGATTATAAGAAACCTATCAAACTAAACGAAGACTACCTCATAACTTGTGAGGTGTAAAATATTCAAGGAAGAAAAGTATTCCTAAAAGCTGTAGTATAAGATAGTCAAAACAACATATGCAGTGAAGCAAATGCGATATTTCTCACAGTTAATTGGGGAGGGAATCAATGGAAAAAAATGGTATAGCTATTTTAGAAAACGAGATTGTTTAATGAAGGAATCTAGAAATTGTTTTATAATGAATAATGAATAAATAGTAATAAAATACAATATAATTTTCATCTAATCATCTAAGGAAGTAAAACAGTGTTGATTGGTTGAGCTTATTCTTTTCTTGGGAAAGCATTCCAAAATCTCAAAGTTTCATCTCCAGCTCCAGTCACTATAGTTTCTCCATCTGGTGACATAGCCAAAAATAGGACTCTCGAAGTATGACCCATTAAGGTGGTAACCTAGAATATGAATATTAAATACTTTTTATAGGGCTGGATATTTCCAACACACAATTTAATTCATGCTATAACCATGAGTTGAAACAAATTCATTTACATTTTTACTGAACATCAAATTGCACACTTATGAACCAGTATCGATCCAATCTAACTATTAAGTAGTTAGAGTATTGAAAAATCTAATGGTTCTATCTGCAGTTCCTCCACCTGAAGATAATAAGCCATGTCTATGGGGGGACCAAGCAATTGCTTTTACAGCAGCCTAATGTTAATTGAATTTAGCTAATGGAATTTAGGAACCCATTCTCCAAACAAACAATTTATTATCATTTCCACCTGAAGCCAATTGATATTCATCTGGTGACCATTTCAATCCACAAACCTCTTATTTATGACCTTCAAATTTTCCAGTTTGTTTCTTTTATCTAGGATCATGTAAAATTATAGATCTGTCCTTAGAACCTGAACATAGAGTCTAATTTATGAATCATTAATTTACATTTCCACTCCAAGCCAAAGATCCAACTCTAGCAGAATGTCCTTCCAATATTTATATTCGTTTCATCTTCTCTTAATCATATATATGCACTTCTCCTGAACCTGTTCCTATGGCCAATTGATTTCCTTAGGGATTCCATATCAATGAACAAACCATATCATTGTTACCGAAATCACAAAACTTAGTTACTCTATTGTTATAAGCAGACCACAAATAAACACATGAGGATAGAGCCACTGATAATACGTTTTAGGAACTCCAATCTATTAGATTTAGATAGAAATCATCTTATAATTAGGGAGCGTCCAATACTTTAAATGGCACTTTACTAATCTTTCTTTGGCTGAATTGATAGTCTTAACTATTTTAGTATTATTCTCTGTAGTCCATCAGGTTTTAGTAAGTTTCCAAGACAGCTGGGTTTATGTCTGACAGTATTTTTCGTTTTGAGGGAGTATTGTCAGCAAAATGCAATAAATTCTTGGATTCCCACTAGAGCTACTCACTTTATAAGGGTTGACCAAACACATGCATCTTATAGATATCTTTCAGAGTGACATTTCCCTGGTCTTTGTAGTCACTTCCTTTTTATGGTTCTTGATTCTCCTCTTCAATCTCTCGATATTGGAATTCTTCATTTAGATTCTGCTTTTAACCACTTCTCAAAGGAATATACCTGCAGGTTTTTCCTTATTAAACTTATTTCTTAGGGGTACTGTCTTATTCCTATTCGATTTAGTCTATTGATTTAATAATTATACTACCTCCCTATTAGACACCTTGAATGTCCACTTTATGTAGCAATCTAACAAGATCACTCATGTCACAAGTTTTGGATTTAGACAGATGTGAATTTTCCTTATTTTATTTTGATGGTGAAATTTGTAATTTATCTTCAAAACATGATACTTCAATATCATTATTACGCTATTAAAGCATTTTTACAGTATTCGTTGACATTTTTTTATAAAGGGTATTAGCAAACAGATATTAATTTAATTTACGTTAAATTTTATTTTTAATCACGCTTAAAAAGGCAAAATAAATATTATTGATAAGTTTCTTGTTTAATAAAGCAGTGATATCTGGTATTAATTAATTATCACTAAATAATTTCACTAAAAATTGACTTATTTTTTATAAAAAATATTAATCGTTGAATTTTAAGGGTTGACTCCCTTTCTAAATATGTTCTCTTTGCTCATACTTTTATTTTCTAAATGTGAATCGTACATTATATCGCAACCCTAATTAGAAACTGATGAATTAGGAATTTGAGAATTAGCAATTGAGATATTTCGTTTATTTGATGAAAACTGCACACATTATTATATATCCACTCTTCTCTACAAAAATATACCATTTAATAAAGGAGAGCGTAAAGATATTTCTAAATTAATTTGTCAAAGAAAATATTAATTCTTATTTAATATTGGTTTTAAGAATTTCTAAGGTCATTCTGATTCATGAATCCCAAGAAATTATCTTTCTAATAAATTATTTAACACACATTAAATAAATCAGGATAAGTTATTTTTATACATTAAATTTTTAATATATCTTTCCATCCCTTCATCCTATAATAGCATCCTTATAGGAATAAACGATATAAATTTTTTACTAATTTCAAACAACTTTGCCAATCGATCAAAAATTATAAACTTTGAGAACAATATCAACACCCCCAAAAGAGAAAGTAAACTAATGCCTGCTATCTATAATTTCAGATGGATTTTCTTACATTCATTAATTTTAAAAGTGATTTAGTTTCTATATGCATGTCATCCCTCATATTTTAATATAATCTACTTACAATACCAGAAATTATATATGGACCCTCTAAATCATAAAACTAGACAGAAGTCCTTACCTTAAATTGATTATAATTCAACTCGGACTATAAACTATTAGTTATTATTGTCAAAGTCGAGTATAACCCATTTCTCATATTGCCATTGAATAATAATTGGCAAAATGAACTAGTTTATTATTATAATTCTTCTGGCAACAAACTGCACAAGTCTCCCTTTGCTAATGAATCATAGTACTCTTAAAATTGATCTGACAGTATAACTCTTCAAATATATATAAATGTTTACTTGTCATAAATGAACTGCTTCTCCAAAAATAGTTTGGTTCTATTCAACCCCTAATCAATGATCTATAGCAATTATGTGATGGTATCGTTGTTCAAATAGGGAAATGAAGTTCTGAAATACAACACTTCCCTGGCTGCATACATTGAGGGGATGTCTATGCTTAAATCTGATAGCGCCTTGTAAAAGATAGCCACCTCTTTGTATCCTTACAAATATTCTCTATTCAAATAGAATGAGATTCCAGATTTCAAAAGAATCAAAATATACAATAATAAATATCCAAACTTCCAGCGTAGTCCACGATACTTTAATCTATTTTAAACTTTGACTCTTTGATAGCTTTACTTTGATTTTTCATTCCCAAATCTTTATTCCTTATACTTATACCTCACAATCTATTCATAATCCTCGTTAATCTTGGAGGTCAATTGCTAATATTAGATGATTTGCACTTCCCTCATGCCTTAAGGCAATTGCAAAATGATATTGTAATATCTACTAATCTAATTGCCTATCCCAATGAAGTAATAATAACTTAAAAGGTAAGGCAATGTAAGTGCCACTATACTGACAATGAGGAGGGCTATTATGGTTTGGATATCGTCCTCTACAACTATCATGGTTTTTTCTAAAATATCTTTGTGTAAATCAGTAACTATTTATTTTAAAGGTAGGTAATTTTTAAATGTGTAGTAAATCTGTGCAGTATCAGCGTTCACTCTCCCATTCAACTTGAAGTCTAACAATACATCATATTAAAACTTTAATAAAGTACCAAACGCATTTCTCAAAGTCATAATATAGCTTTCTTCCTTTGAACTATTGGTGTATTGATAGATTTCAAGTTGATTGTCATCCAATATCTGTTGTAGCAGTGGTTATTGAACCAATTAATTGAAATTTGTATATATCTGATTGTAACCGATCACAATTTAAGTGGAAGGGAATTGAGTGAGCTACCTTAATTGCTAATATGAGATTATTTTCATAAGAAAATATAGGTTGTATTCACTTAATGAAAATATCACCAACAAAGTGTTTTCGATTGGTTAAAAACAAAGTTAAGAAAAATCTAAAACTTCCAAATCATCCATAAGGCTATTGATATCTGAGTTGACTTTAACAGTTTATAATAGAAAGAATGCAAATGTCACAAACAAGCTCAATAAAAAAGCTAATATAAATTTATTTAAAATAGAGAGTTGTTAATCATAATAATCTGAAAGGAAGTCTTTGGATCTTTAGTTATAGGAGTTCTCTGCCATTTTCATGAAAAAATATTCATCTTAATTAATATTTAAGGATTGTTGTTTCCGCAATCTTGAAGCCATTGTTTGCTTCCTTATAAGTTTGCACTTCTATTATTATTTGTTATCAGGACTATAGATGTTTGTATTGTCATCCATCTGTTGAAACTCCTTCAAATCATTCAAGTACTGTTAATTGAAATCATTTTCCTCATAAGGGACATCAATTTGTTCCTCTTATGCGACGTTGCCATATAATAGAAAGTCAAAGTCTGATCTAGTTTTATACTCTTGCTATTACGAAAGGGGCTCAAGAATACTTTATTAATATGTCAGTTAGGTAAAGCTTTTCTATTTGTAATTAGATTTTCGAATATATTAAAAGGTTAGAATATAATAGGCGGGTTGATTGTTAATGATCTTTCTCTCCTGATTGATAGTGGTTACGTAGGGATACTCCTATTCTAAGTCAGATAAGATCAATTCTAAGTTCTCTTGATAGCTTTCGGCTTCTGAATATTAGGGTAAAAACTTCTTGATACTGTATCCAATATGTTTAAAATCAAATTGTGAGATGTTTAGAGTATTAGACAAGGACTCACTCAAACAAGTTATCTGCAATTAGGAATTCAAGATCATTGCCATTGGTTATTCTATTGAGACCTATATAAAAGTTATAAATTTTAATTCGTCTGTTATTATAGCATTAAATCCAAAATCTATAGATGACATATAAAGATCATTGTCTTTGGCTATGAAACTTGCATCAAATCGTTTCACATATTTAGAGGTTCCTGTCTCTATAAACTTTTCAATAATTGAATTGTGATGCTCTCGAATTCCAGGAGGAATGTAACCTTCAATTCCTAGCGAGGAATCCTTAGAGAAAATATTATTGTTGGAAATGCCTGATATTTTAATTCCTTAATCATATTTGGCGATTAGATAAGCTAATTTATTAAGATCATAACTATCATACTGGATAGGATTAGTTTAATGAGAAAGTAATCTTGCTTTATGGAAGTTATTCATGATCTCTGCATTAAAGAACAACAAAATAGCCTTGTTTTTTGGTGTTGGATGGTTTTCATATAGTGAATTGAGAATTTTCTCAATGCTCGATAGTTTATCTAAATAGTCATAATAAGCATCAAAGTTCTCTTCTTTTGCATTTTATAATAGTTGCAATTTTTATACAATTATGTTTTTTAATTCTTTGATATAAAAATATGACATCTCCTCAATTTATATGACTTTGTTAATTGAGTCTACAAAAGTGTTTTGGGTTGATTGATTGGCAAAGATCATGGTTTTTATCAAATTCAAACATTTTAATTTCATCCTATCTTTTTTTACTTCATAGTAGATGTTCAATTCCTTCATCTCCTAAAGTTAGTATAAAGCCTTTTGATATTGCTTTTGTTGAATCAGCACTGATATTGAAATAAGAACATTGTCGATCCTTTTGGAGTTTTGAGGGTTTTAACCTTCCTTTTGTTTATTTCTTAATTCTCTATATTGTGTAATGCGTAATAAAACAGGAAATATCACTAAAAGCGAAGATAAGTCATTAGCAAATCCCAAGATTATCGCAAAGGTGTAAACTATTGTGTATAATTGAACAGCGGCAATAATGAAGTTACTCGTAAAGGCTAATTATAATAAGGATTGCAATAATCCAATCAAATTTAGTGTCATCTTATTCTGACCGTAATACCATAACAACGATTAAGTGATCTATATAATCCATATAAGATAGGTAGGATACTGAACTTTGGTTTGATGGAAATTAATGTTCTCCACGTCTAGTGTTTCCAAAAGTAATAATTTGTGAAGGCCTGATATCATAATTAGGCTGGGTTACAAAATAAAACATAGGGGCGATGATGATATTTCCATTCCGAAATTCAACAAATTAGTGACCATCAATCCACCATACAATGATATAAGTCTTTTGCCAGGAATTTTGACAAAAATCCCTATTATGTAAAAAATATTTGCAATTAGAAAAAAATAGCCCATAATAGTAGAGTTTAAATATAATTATGGTCTAGCAAATAAAGATACTATATATATGTATTTATGTTGTTCTTATGGTTGTAAGTATGATAAATTTAGCAAAGCTCCAAGAATTTAAATAAATAATACCAATTTATCTGATAATTTAATAGATAGATCATCTAACTCAATTATTTTTTCAAACATTTACTTTCTTAGCCTAGAAAATTATTTGTTCATAAATCTATATATATTGATAATTATTTAATAATGATTTTAGATAAATTTTAATAGCATGAATATTTCTAATCTTAAATGAGTTATTAAATATTATAAATTAATCAAAATTTCATTTTCTATTATTATAATTCCTAGGAATTCTTCTAAATTGAAATTATATCCTTTACTTATCATTCAAATATTTTTATATAAAATTTAAATTTACCTTCTCTATTAATCAAATTATTTAATCAATATATTACTACTTCATCATTTTCTATTATATTTATCAATGAAGTGCTCATTTCATGTAGACTTTGTTAAAACTGTTGCCAATTATTAAGAAATATTTTTATAAAATAAATGAATTATTTATATAAATATTTAGTCAAGCATTTTATTTATTGTTATTATTTTTTAAAAAGAAATTATAAAATTAATGATGAATTGAAAGAATATATATATAGACACTTTACTCAATTACTAGGGAGTGTTAAATTTGAGTCAAAAGGTTTCTCTTAGAATTATAGTTTTAGCATTTCTTTCAAAACCATCATCAAATAGCAGAATCTACAATGGCACTAGATAGAGAATCCTTTGCATTATGAATTACCTATAAAGTAATCTTTTTCTAATGATTAAAGACGTGAACATCACAAATAAGAATATGACAACAATCACAATTATACTATGCATCTAATTATTAATGATATAAATACAGTTATTTGATCTACCAATTTCTGGGTTTGTGCATACAAATCCAATTGAATTTCTATGTTTAGTTTACGAACTATTTCTGAAACCAAGAAAGCCCCTTCCAATTCCAGGTAACTCAGTTGCAATCGCTCTGTAAATTAATTTATGTCCTTTTCAGTTTGTATGTAGTTTACAATGTATACTAAGATACCAAGCAACCCCCTTTGCATTCCTTGGCTCATCACTATGGGACAAATGTTGGCTGCCTTTTATCGCATATCATCCAATAATTAATCGCACAGATTATGATCCATAAGATAGTTATAATAATCTGCAAAATTATTTGATAAAAAGTATCTAATTTCATATCGATATATTATTACTATTCAAAGTCAATCTTATTTATAGTAAAGTCTTGTAATTCTGCCAAAGCTTGATTTATTTCTTTGAAAATCAATTGGATATCAGTCTCATTGTAATAAGAAAAAAAGGCTCTTCCATAAAGGATATTACTCTAAGCAAAGACACAAGGGACATCTGTTCCAATATCTGAAACTCCCTTATAAAATTTGGCAGTTGCAGGATATTTGTCCAAATAATTTTTAACCTGACCATAAGAAACACTAGCCTAAGTCAAGACGACAATGAAAATAATGCAAAAAAAGATTCGATTTGAATAGTTTGTGACACTTAAAAAAGAATTGTTCTCTAAAATAAATTTCTTATGATCCTTTTTATCTAGCTTGGTTTTAATTTCATCAAAATACTATTCTTTGCGATGCATATCGAATTAATAAGAGAATAAATTATTGTAATCACTATTAATGATTGATTACACAGATATCAATCTCTATATATCTTTATTGAAATATTCAGATCTGCAACAAAATAAGAGATTAATAAAATTGGTATGACTTAATTCTATTCTTGAATAAAAGAAATAACTGCACATAAGGAATATCAATAGAAAGGTTAATGACAAAATGTAGATTATTTATAATTTGGATAAAATAATTATGGATCTGTTGATTGTATCTTCCAAGATATCCTGATTGATGCGTCCAAATTCCGTTTTGAGAATATAATAATTTCGATACTAATAGTAAATATGAGGAGAATCAACCACAACATTCCCATCCAATTAATAAGCCATCTTTGTTATGTACTAGTAATTCAACATTATTGTGATACAATTTCTTAAGGAAACATTATAGTGTTCCCCTTAATTTGATGAAGTATATAGTTGTATATCCAAATATGTACTTTCCAAGAATTGTTAAAGTTGCAATTTGTTTAAGACTGAATTCACATTTTCTTCCAAACGATCGAAACCCAAAGGCAAATTCGATCTTGGAAATGCAATTAGTTATTTGAATGCCTCTTCTGTTATTGCTCCAGCTGCTTTTAAATTGTTATAATTGAAAATGGTCCATCTGGTTACTAAAAAGGATTCAAAGGGTTGAAATGCAAAGTTCTTGATTTACAGCAAGTCGATGTCAAAAATTAAGTTGGTCAAACTGGTATTCGTTGAACTAAATTACTATGATAGTAAATAAAATTACAGCTATGACAAAGGATAATTGAATTAACAAGCAAACTGACAAAAAGGATAGAAATACCTTATGGTTCTTGGTTAATCCTTTGATCTCCTCAAGTTTAGACATGATTTCATATTTCTTAAAATAACCAGATTGTCTCAACCCTTTTAAGGATGACACTTTAGAAGATTCTATCTGTTTGCTTTCTGCAACACTAAAATCCTATTATGGCTCTTCTTTATTCTAATCCTCATCTGAGACAGAGACAGAATAGTTGATTTTATTTTAGGTTTAATAAAAGAGAGGCCTTGAAGATTATATTGCATCTTTAAATTGCGTCTAATGAAGAGTTGAATCTATTATCATTAGTTCATTGTTTTATATTTTTTAATACGCATTTTAATTCGAAGTAATAAAATTCTATTATTCATTAATTGAACCATTAGGATCATCAATGAAAACATTCTCAGAAACTGAGAAAGCTCCTTAGACCATACTATTATTTGTTTCTGTATAGGTGAATTTTACAGAATTTTCCTATTTCTTAAAGAATTCAAATTTGATTGTATAAAATAAGATCTCCCCATTTAGCACTTTGGGAACTACATCTAAAGAAGTTAGATAAGTATTTATTGAGTTAGAAGTTACCTCTTCTTTATCAACATTAACTATAAAGTCTATATTCTCATAAAACCCTGATAGCTCATGTTTTTTAAAAGTAGGCATAAACTTAGTAATTACGTGATTCTTAAAATAGGTCATCGTATTAAGATTCAAGGCTGTCAAGATGCTTTCAGTTGTTGCAGTAACAACTTTATCAGCATTTAACACCATTACTAGTGGTTGCTCATAAATTGGTTACAGAAAAGTAATAAAATTTATCTCCTCACTTGTAAAACTGACATCAATTGCAAAATCGATTTAATGTAAGGTCCCTTTTGCATTATTATAATAGTAATTAACGTCCAGTCTCCTCATATATTTTGATTCTCCATTAATTAAGAACTTTTTGACTAATCTTTAATGTTATTCTTTAATCCCTGGGGGAATAATTAAATTGATATTCTATTATAATAACTTATTATGATTCATTTTGAATAGAATGGGAGCATTATTCGAAGCTCGTTTGATTAGAATTTCTGAATTGTAAGTGGAAATCAAATAAACCATTTTATTAGTGAATACAGAAAAATTTTACTTATCATCAATTTTTGTAAGTTATTACTGAAGTAAATTTGCCTTTGTAAATTCATTCAAAATCTCAGAGTAGAGAAAGCATAACACATTCTGAGTCTTTTAATTTGGAAATACAGAGTACTGCCTTTCCAATTCCTTTTGAACTATTGTGATTTACTCGATGAATTTTAATAAACTTTGAAGAGATATCTTTTCTTATTAAGATATTATTTATTATAACCTACACTTATTTTTCAGTAAGTTCACCATCTAAGTCTGGAGTGTTACATTGTAATCTTCTAATTCCATCAAGTGTTCTACAGCTTCAGATAAACCCTTCTAAGCCTTATTCTAATTTTTTAGTTTTGTGTCCAATTGAGATAGCCATTCCTTGATCATGAGTTCTTTTTTTATTTAGGACAACCAACTCAATTTTTTGATAGAATGCAAAACCATCAGACCTTCATAATACTTTTCTTGATGAGCCAATAATGAGGCATATAACACTATATCTTCTTTTTGAGTTGGGGATTTTACCTTTATTTACTTTAATATTTTGAGATCGTAAAAATTAGCTATTAAATCTTCCAAGGTTTTTGGCACTTACTTCCCTAATCTCTCTAAATTCATATATATTATCTTCTGCATAAACAAAAATATGATAAGATCGCTTACGTAGTTATGTAATCCTATCATCAGTTGAACTAAGCCCAAATAAATAGTCATGATTTAGATGTTCAACGTAAGTGTAGTTAAAATAGAATTGCCCTTGGGAAATTGCAACAACAATTGCATTAAAGTTATAAAAGCATTAAGTATTGCCACCAATTAAATAACAAATAAATCGAATTGATATCTGGACAAGTACATCAAAGTAATGTTTCCTATGACGGCTATGTAGCTCAATAGTGATTTGGTGGGATTAAAGATGCTACTTGAATCGAAGTTCAATGTACCTTGGGCGAATATCTATTCAAATATATTTATGAAAATCAACAGCAATTGAACCAAATAATCCAAAGAACCTCTTGATATTTCAAAAAAGAAATTAAGTAAACCCAAATTTATTAGCTAACCAAAAATATTAATTGCTCTTGAAAATGGGCTTTTCATTTATGACGATATTAGGTATACAAAGCATAGAGCTAAAATTACATATTGAATATTATCCAGTGATAATGCAATTTAGGGTCTTGCGATAATGCAAAAAAAATATGCGTATGAGTACATCTAATTTTAAAATATATAAGAAAAGTTCCTGAGCGACGCTATGATCTTTATGGTTTAGATCAAATAATTATTCATTCTCATTGAATGATAAACAAAGTCTAAGTAATTTTATAGGAATTTATTTCTAATTTATAGCAAATTATTCTTCTGGTTAGTGTCTTCCATTATTGATTGAAATATAAATTAATAATGAAAAAAACTTGAAAATCATAATCATTATGAAATTTAAACTAAATTCATATTAAATAATAAAATGGGTAATCGTCAGTTTCGATAAATTTTTGGAAATCACTTTTCTCAGATCATTAAATTAACTTAAACCACAAACTTATTTAATTTACATAAATTTCTATCCTTGTTTTTAAAATGCACTCTAAACGAGCCATCTAAATAAAATAACAATACTTTTAGATTGTTTGAATGTCCCTCGAACAATAGGATTGAGTAATCTTACTAAAGAGATAGACGATTGAATATATTTCTAAATTTAAGAAGATCGATTCAGATATTTACTTATTCTTAATAAAAAATATTATAATTATATTTAATAATATATTATAAGTCTATTTTTGTTAATTACCGATTTTTAAGTTTTCCTATTCATCACTTTTTCATTGAAAATAATAGTTCTATTCTTCCTATATCTCTTTTTGGATTAAATGTTTCACAATATTTATGTGAATAATGTATGAACTAACTTAAAAGTTATTTCAACAAAATTTCCACTTGTATATTTTTATAATTTTGTTGTTATTGAATATATGCAATAATTGAATTATTCCTCTGGAATGGAGGAATAAATAAATTAAAAAGTTACATAAAAATCAGGATGCATTTTGGTAATTTATATGGAAATGTAATTTATTAATTCATTTGATATATGATATCGATGAAATTTCCCTATTCATTCATATGCAATTACTTGAATAGGCATGATTATTTGAGCATTAATATATTTTTTCTTATATAGTGATAATTAAATTATTATGCATCAAAGGATGAAAAGCGACATCAGATTCGATTAACTTAAACTTGATTACTTATAAGGGAACAGTTCCAAAATACTAAAATCAGAGTAGGACTCGACCTAACCTTCATAAACTTAAATTTTTTAAGGAAACCTTCTTGAAAATAAAACAGACAGACAATTATCCCCTCTTATAAATAGCAATCGACAAAGGCATAAGTTAAAACAATGCCAGTCTCTCGCTCTTGAAAATGACCCTGATCTTGAAGAGTTTTCCATTTGGGGAGATTTAGAAGAATTGCCAGTCGGAAATGCTCAAAGCAACCATTTAATTTCTTTTTTGGAATTATACAAGTATCGATACGAAAAAACAACCAAGAAACCAGTTTCTTGTTACAATGTAATTCTGATGACCAAAAAGTAAAATTCATGTTTATAAAGATCAGATTGATAAACCGACATTCAATAGCTAGGTTAAAATACTACGGGATAAACAAAATATAATGGATAGATTTTAGGGACTGGAGTAGATCAGGCAATCTTAATTCTTTGTGATATTTTAATTTGTTTTAGATTTTGCTCTTAAATTTGATAATTAATATAAATTTAATGGGTAACATGTGCGAATATCATGCAAGAAATGTATCAAACATTGAAATTTAAAAAGATTAATAACGAATAAAATCTATAGCCTAAGCTGTTAGCATAACATAGATTCCAAGATATCGGAATTTACTTGGATGCAGGAGACATAAAAAACGAAGAAGTGGATGTAATTGTTGCTTAGACCGATTTAAATCTAAAGGTACTCCTGGCAATTTAATATAGCTCCCATATTACTTGATAAACAACGTATCGCCCTAAACAAAATAATAGTTGTTAAAATACATTCAATAGATTCGAGATAAATAAGCAGTGTCTCATGGGGATGTCGTGCATTCTCATGCTGCAGAAGTATCAAACTTGAGTATTATTATTAGTTGGAATTTGATTTCGTATTTTATTGCGTATTACCAAATGAAGATGACGAACCAATGAAATTGGCTAGAAATCACAATCCTAAAAATCTAAACTTGAAATTACCAAAAAATGCTCATTAAAAATATTAGAAATAATTTATTTATGATTGCATGATGACGTGTCTTAAAGTAGCAGAAGAAATGGAAATTACGTCAATATGTTTTCCTGTGATGAAATCAACCAAGTTTACAATATCCACAATTGCAACAATGCAGATGATTGCTGTGAAGAATTTTTTGGAAGAAAATGTCACTAAAATAAAATTTCTGAGTTAGGTTAGATTTTGTATACAAGATGATAAAGATTAAGAATTATTCAAATGGGCATTTGATAAGGTGTTTATGGACACAGATGATAACAGTGAAGCAAGTGACGAAGATTCCCTTAATAACAATAGTGGCAATAGTGGAAGTGGGAGTGCAGGTAATTCTTTAAGTAAAAATGTAATTATACAATTTATTAATTGAAGACATTATATGAATTGTAACCAACTGTAAAAAAACCATAACAAAAGAATTTTGAAGAGGATGAGTTCGTTAAGAGTTTTGGTGCTAATTATTATGATAAATTTGAGAGTCCATAGAGTGTGGGTAGAAAAATATCGATTTGATAACATATATTAATACTTTTATTTATAAATTATTGTTATATATGGAATTGAAAAGTGATGAGAGGAGTGATGTCATTCGATAAGAGGAATTCAAAGACATTGATATTTCGAATTGGAATGAATTTGGAGGTATAATCATATCCCTCTGCTTTTTAAGCTATTTTGCTATTGAGTGCAGGAGCAAATTATTTATTGATCAAAATCTTTTAGAGAATACAAAATTTATTTTTGTGGAAAAGTGAGGATCCAAAAAACAATCCCTCTAAAATGTTAACTGTAAATTGCTTATTATCTATGACAATATTATGTAAGAATTAGAATTATACAAAAGTTAAGCTCTTTTCGTGTTACTACTCAATAGCAGGTTTTTTTTTTAGTTAGTTTTGGAAATGGGATTGCGAGACTAAAATAGAATCATTAACATTATCACCATCATTTTACATCATTATCCAAATTTGTTAAGCTTAAACATTGAACCTTACATTTTGTTTTTGTAGTAATTTATGGCTTAAACTATGGAGAATGAAATTGAGAATAGAACAGAATAACTCTCTTTTAAGTCTAACCAAAATTCTATAACTATTTCTTTCCACATTAATAGTCATCATTCCTATACTTACTATCACTTCATTGATTTTGGAATCCTATGTTAATAACATAAGAGAATATTGTTTGGGTGCTTTAACAATGTTGAGTACTGTTTCTTTTGCTTTCATTTGTATTATTCTATACTCAAAACTCAAAGATCAATATAGTGTTGGTGATCATTACAGAGCTGTATGAATTTAATCAATATTCCAGAATCTTAAGTTTTTATCGGTAGCAGTAATAATTTGCACTCTTTTTCGACCATCATTTAACTTTTTATTCTCTCAGGAATTCTTTTGGAGGTTGAAACCAGGACTTGAATGCGAAGCAGAAGATGGCACAATTATAACAAAATTACCTGATACAGGTTTTACTTGGTATGATATATTAATATACGAATAAATAGGGCGATTTTTTAATTAATATATTCTTGTATTACGGATTTCATTCCTATTTACATTTTATCTTTGTTGTTTTCCCCGAATGTAACGAAAAGGAAGACTCTGGTGAATGTAAGCGATGGGTGGGATACTGGGTTAGAATGATTTATTTAACAAACTTTTTTTAATAAAATGTAAATTTATAATAACCTAAAACAACAATTCTAGGAAACCAAAAGAGGATTCTCTTAATCACCTGAACAAGGATTGTACCTAACTCAAAATAAACCTCCTTTGGTTGAATCAAGATCCATGTGGAACAAAAATGTCTATTTAGTGCCCAAATGGGAGAAGAGAGATATTAAACATGTTGAAAGTAATAATCATACCCCATTTCCCATTCGCAATTACATTAATTATGTGCAATAACATAGTGAAGGATTCTCCAATTCACTCAATCTTGATTTCCTCAAACATTTGATCAGACTTTTCACTGTTAATTAATGGTGGGTAGACTAAACCAAAAAATTCAAGAGAACCATCCCAATCAACATTTTGCAAATGCCCTCAAAGAATTAAGTAGAATAGTCAAATTTGTAATTGTTGATACAAAAGTCATTTGATGATCTCAACTTTTACAATAAAATCCTGTCCTCAACAAAGTCGCCTCCAATACCCTTGCCGTAGAATTAATTGCATGAATATAAGTCATCAGTCACATATTAGGTTCTGGATTTGAATGCCTCTGAGAAATACAAGGATTACTCCTTATTTCAATTGCAAGACCTCTTCATTAAAAGAATAATGCAACTACTATCCGAGCGAGGACTCCCAAGTCTTGGGTACTACGATTATCTCACTTTCTAGTAGATTGTGGAAGATTAAAAAAAGGGAATTTGTGACGCAGAGACATTCATGAAGGTTTTAGAAATAAAGCGACTATTTAATCAAATAGACCTTATTTCTCAACAAAATGAACACCTCACAAATCAATGGGAATCAGAATATTAAAAGAATTAAGTGGAAAATCCTAAGAAATTTAGAAGATGGAATTAGGAAAATACTTTGCTTTCTGATGAAATCCTAGATCTAGCCAGTTATGTTGGTTTCGATGTCAATTTAAAGAGAGCCAGAAAAAATTATGAATTACATAAAACAGAACACTAATTCAATGAACTAATCATAATTGGAGACCAAATATCAGCCACTGCTCAGAAGATCATTCTAGACACCTAATCTAAGTTATCAAAATTTGAGTATGAAGTTGTTTAAACAGCGGATTAGATTAAGAAGGATCCTTTAGATTAGAATATCAAGATAGCCCAAAACTAATAAGAATAAGAAATACATTAAGTTTAGGATAAAAAGATTGAATATTTCAATACGGAATCATCCAAGAATCTGCACAATGTTTAAATTGAAAGGTTCCATACACAAAGATAGAAACCACAAGAGGATTTAATATCAAATAATATCTAAAAATAAACCAAATCTTTTCATTTTCCTTAACAATTATCCACAGATAGAACCTAATTCTCAAATCAAAAATAACCAAACAAATAGAAAATTAGTTTCAATACTCCCCCATAAAAAAAATCCATTTTAATTTCAGAAAATAATCTTAAAACTCAGAATCCGTTAAAGAGTTAATAGCAATAATATCGCAAATTTCATTATAGTAGCAATGAAAGAAAACAATATATCACAAGATTGGATGAGCGTAATGAGCATAGTGTAAAGTAGAATAGAAATCTGTAATCTCAAAAATCCTAACAATCACTAAGATCTTATGAAGAATTTATTAGACCAATTGAGAATATTTCCTCAACTAATTTACCAGCTCCTTAATTACATAATTTTCACACTACAAGTGAAATTAATTAAAATCTAAGTAGTCATTAAAATAAATAATCATAAATTATTACCAGTTACAATAGCATCAGTCTTCATCAAAATAGAAAAAATGTTCACAAAACCAATGACCTTCGTGTCATGAAGGAGTATATAAAAAAGAACAAGAAGTATAAAACTGAACTATAAGAGAAACTACTTTATAGTGATAAAAACATAGGGGAAGATGATTTTGATGAAACAAAGCCAAACCCTAACTTCAATTAAGTTAATGAATCCTAAGATTTGAGTGATGATTTGGATCTCCTCCCTTCTATTACTTAAAGAGATGTAAGACCTTATGATCAATAGAATTAAGAGAATGAGATTTATAATTCAATACCTGAATCCACTTCAAATAATACAACTGCAAGAACATTAAGAAACACCAGTAATTATAATCCTGTTCTTCCTAAAAAATAGAAATAGGAGCATCAAGACCAGCCAAAACATGATAAACCTGAGCAATTGTAAACTATAAATGAAATTTCAAGGAAGATCTCTCCCGTCTTAATTAGATAATCCTCAATGAAAAATGACCCTAGGAATAATGAAAATTAATCACACTTGAAACCCTCCAAAGAGTTTCAAGGCGAAAAGGTATCAAATTAAATCCATTCTTAAATACCAGAAATAGTTATACATTAAGAACCTAAGCATGATGAAACGAACACTAACAATTATTCTTAAAACTCTATTGATTTACCCTCATAAAAAACGAGAAACACTAATGGAATTAATGAAAAATCTAAAAATTTTCTTAAATCTTCAATTCACTTTTCTGATAAATAATAGATTTAAAAGGACCATTAAAAGGCAGAAACAACAAACAAGTCATAAGAAAATCAATAAGAATATAAAAGAACCAAAAATAAATATGTTAAATAAGAAGTTCTAGATGATCCAATGGAGGATGAATCCGAAGAAGAATCCGAAGAAGAATCAGAAGATGATGAAGTTGAAGTTGAATAGGTTAACAATGTTACTGGTAAGTAAATGAAGAGGAAGAAGAAAGCAAAGGTGTAATCATTATCAACTTCTTAATTAGAAAGAATCGAAGATCATAAGAGATATTTAAAATTTTTGAAAGAAGAACTCAAAGAAATGTTGGATAAAAAAGTCAATTTAAAAGAAATTAAAGAACATATTAACATAATCCTTAGTGAAATAGGGAGCTTAAGTTTAGATCAAGAGTTAGATTATTACATTCAATTATGTATATCTTGAATTTATTTAGATAAATCTAGGGCTTAGGAATTGAATTAAGTAAATTAGGAATCTCATGAGATTCGATTTTAAAATTAACAACCAGTTGTTGAGTTGAGATTAAAAAGGGAAATTAAAGGGTTGAAATTTGCCAAAGATTGTGATAGAATAACAAAATTGAAACCATCTGATCTTGAAGATATGGATGAAACTTAGAAGTACTAATTTTTTTAATAATATTTAGTTTAATAAAAATAGAAGAAGAATTAAATGATTAGGATTTGAATACAAATTAATATGCTACTTAATATCGCTATGAATCCAGACCCTCTCCACTATAAACCAATATTATCTAAGTCTCGTTAGATGTGACAAGAAGCTAAACGCCTAATTAAAAAAGAATGTACAGAACAAATCCAAGATTTGAATCTGACCTTACTACTTATAATTAAAAAAAGAAAGCAGCAATTAGAAATGCTAAGAAGTAAAAATAGTCAAAGCATATACAACATATTGCATTTAAGAAAGAACCTCTTAATGATAACTTCCCCTATCTGCATAAATACAAACCTGAGTTATTGAAGAGTGTCCTTGAGGCTCGTATTAGTTTAGAATAACTGATTTGATTATTATTATTAAAGTATTTCTAATCAATTTTCATTATAAATTTAATTTGTGAATTTCAAGATGAATTTTCCTACAGAAATTTTATAGTCATATTTTAGAATATACCTTATAGGTTTAGCCAAATAAATTTAATTTAATTAGAATCTATACAAAATTAAATAATATCCTAGGCTAAATAAAGGATAATTTTAGAAGAGAAAATAATTAACAATGAATTAAGTAAAATATGAAATTATGTTTTAAAAACTTTTGTATCTCAGTCATCCATAATAGATAGTTCCTGATAAAATCATTCTTATAAACCATATGAAATTAGCTTTAAAATAGGAATGGGAAATTTATTAAATAAAATAATATAATATAGTTTACATTTCAAATATATAAAATAATCAACAATCCTAAACTAAAGGCTAATGAATATTAGAATGCTCGACAGATTCATGAAATGATTGTTCTGCATTTATGATTCTATTCAAATTCGACTCACATCCTGAATATGCAGCCTCAAGTTATTGTATATCCATAAGTTAAGCTAATACTAAATTGAATATATTACCTTATAGTGAGATAGCATTTTTAAAATCTTCAGAATTTTAACAGAACAATAATTTATAGCTTAATTCCTCTATGAAAACAATTAAAACTAATTAGTATGCACACTTATTGGCAGATATTTTTTTAATTATTAAATTCCATATATTACACAATGGCATCGATTGTACTAAACTGGTGTAAAAGGATGAAAGGATTTCGAAAAAAACATTTTCAACTGCAATGTCATAATTTTTGCAATGTTTTACAATTTCTTTATGCAAAACTTCCATGTATTGCATTACAACTTCTTGTGGGCAAAAGAGAGTGTCTTCCTTGACTAAGGGGAAATGAACACTTCTCATCAATTCAACAAATCCAGTAAAAAGCCAAAAGGCCTAGGATTCTGAATCGTATTTGTTACCAAAAACAGGTTTACTTAAATCATACAAGAAATGTGGATGAGCAATACATATGAACTTATTTGCTATTTAAAATAGTATGGTCAAAAAGGAGACATTCAATTAAATGGTTCTAACATTGCAATAGATTAAGAAGGATGTCAAAACTCCTTAACATTATTTGTGTTGATTTTCTTAGACCACAGGCAATTTAGTAATAAAGTCATCGACATCTTTGAGTAAAGGCAATCTTAAATTGGGAATTGATTTTATTTGAAAGTAGATCTAAACATTATCGGAAGCATCAGTAAATTCTAAGTAATTTCTTTTGAGTATTTCAGTAACAGGCCTAACAACTTTTTCAAAGCAATTTAATTAAGTAAACCAACTTGCTGGTTAACACTAAGGTTATAGACATATATTCTCGATATACAATCTCTAATATAAATTTTAGATATCATCCGAATATCTATCGATTTCTAATCCAAATTTTACTGTTTCTATAATTGGCAGCTAAACGTATTTAAATGAATTGTACAGGAGTTCTTTATTCGATCATCTTTATGCCAACCTTTCTTAAAACAGCATTCAGTTAAATATATTTTAATCTATCAAGAAATATAGGGTCAATGTTGGAATGTTGGAGTAAATCCATTTCTACAAATATCTTAGATTGCTCATATTCAAGAGCTATCCAAAATGAACGACCTTCATATAAATATTTAATGAGATCTTAGAATTGAATCCTCAAAACCTTTGATGATATATTGGTTCCTTTAATATGTAATTTAATTACTGATTGTATCAATAACTTAAAAATCTATATAATCCTAAAACCCCAAATTCTCAACTGACATGAAGGTCCTCCCTTGCAATCCAAGTAAACCATCTTTAAATCCCCAAGTAGTGTAGTCCCTTCTTCTTTATTGATTCATTTGTGCAAGTAAACGACAAGTGAAGTACGGACTCTATTAAATATTATATTGCAATCCGTCTAATATTTTAATACATTCTATATCCTTAGTTTCTTCTGATCTCTAAAATGAATTTAGAAATATACTTCAGATACGAATCTCAATTCCAATAACGGTCTTATCAGTTATATGTTGTTTTGAATGTACATTCTAATAATTCTAATTGAAAATTTCTTCGGATTTGTATGATAGATGAAATTAGATCTTTGTTGCCAACCAACAAGGAATTTTTGTATCACTGAATTCTTAGGTTGAACATGATTTTAAATCAAATTTCCCAACATTTGAATTCTCGCCTTCTCTCTTCTTAATCTTTCCTATTCTATTTACTCTAAATCTTATTGTGATTGCTGTTTTTGTTATTGCAAAGTCAGTTATTTTTGTTAATCCAAATAATCCTATTCATCCTTTAATTGTTTCTGGCTCTTCTTCAACCATGTTTTGATATGAAAACCGATCAGTTTCCTTTCTTATTGGATAAGGTAGTTAGCATCCACTTGAGCATTCCGTTTTTTTTGCCTGTAGGTTTCTATTGCATATTACTCTAATTATTAAGCGAACTTTAATGCCCATATGAATGTGAATTTATCTTCGTATTCTTGATAGCAATATCCAAAGCACTTAGCCAATTACTTTGATTTTAGCTATAGAAGCTTTTAGATTATCAAATGTCTTTGCCATTTAAGTGCTTGATTCTCATCTTTCATATAGATGAAGACTCTCGAATGATCTTTTTCAAATTCAATTGATAGTCTAGCAGTGTCTCCTTTCTTCTCCTGCCAATTATTTGAGTGATTCGCTTTGTTTTCCACATCTATTGATTTATAAATTGGAAATTGTTTGACAGGCTTATGGTCCTTCATTTGAAAGAGAACATGCTTGTCAAATCTGACTTATCGTTCCAAACTGCTTCCCATAACCTTGCTTGTTTTGTACATTTTCAATTCTTATTTACACTCTTCTGCATTCAAACAGAGATCCGTTGTCAGATTTTCTATAAGTGATTCTTATTAGATTTGTGAATCCTCTTATAGCTGCTTTCGAAAGGAAGCGTTTAGTAGACTCTGGTATTCGTGTTGTGAATTGATTAGCCACCCTGCATGAATTTTCTCCTGCTTATTAATTTAAGACAATTTTTACATTTAATTAATAATATTTATATTATACAAAAATTGGCAAAGACTCAAATCAAAATACCAGATATTATTTATTTTAATGAAAATTTTATTGTTTATTAATCAGAGTAACTATTTTGAAGAAATTTTAATATAAATCTTGTTTACACTTGAAGCAACAGGAATAAACCTATATTTAGATCCGCTTAATTCAATCATATATAATTGCATTTTCATTACGGCGTTCATTATGTTTGCATTCTATTACCCAAAGGCAACATTATTTCGATTTTGGTATCATCACCATTTTAAGATTGCTTTACCAATTTTGATTCAAAATCAACAGCTGGATGTCGCGAGCTTATTTAATGTGCTCCTTATCATATTGCTCACGATAATACTATTATGCTATACCGAAAGAATTGGAGAAATTCAAATCTATAAGGCTATTAAAATATTTAATTATACTTTTATCCTAATTGCATTTTCAATACATCACCTGAGCCAATTTGTATTCCTCATATGCATACTAGTCTATGATGGGATTATAATTCTGTAAGTTTTTGGATTATCAATTGTCACAAATTAAGAATTTATCAAATTTTAAACCCTAACCTTAATATCAATGACTCGTTTTATTGTACTTTTGATGCTGTTTTTTATTCAAGTCACAGACCTCTTGCTAGTAGTCCCTCTCCTCTTATTTTTATCCATCGTCGTTTTGAACAAGTACATCCACCATAAAATCTAATTCGTTTTGCAAGAATAACCCTTCAAATTGAGTTCAATGATCCTATTGCAATTCACATATCAATTAGGACTGTATATAGGATTGCTGTACATATCTCAAATACTTGTAACTCATTCCAAGGATTGCAATCGTCCTGAGTGCTTTTGCAACAAGGAAATTTCGATTAATAAAGAGGAAACGTGGAAGAGTCCAAAAACTATGTTAAGATAAAGTCTTAATGAAATTCTTTGTGAAATCGTGAGATTGTATAAGTTCTCGAAGATGGAAGATTCAGAGGAATATGTATTTATAAAATTAACTCAAAGCTTCTCTTGTTAAGCAGGATCGAAATCGAATACAGAAATGATAAACTCTTTGAAACCTTGATCAGAAGTTCCAAGCTGAGTAAAACTACATTCTTTGGCTATACGATATTTCCGTATTAATTTCGAATTTAAGGTCACCGGGATATGTTTTATCATAAATTATAGTCTAAAATAGAAGGTGTTAGACTTAATAGTTATATTTATTACACATACTGCAATTTAGTTGAATAGGTAGGATAAATGATTGTGAAGCTATTGAATCAAAGACAACAGATATTAACAATGTTCACCATCCAATACTAAAATCCACTCTATTATTTGTATCATAATCGATTGCTTCAGTATATCAGTTTATACGAAAAGTGCGAATCTTAATTACAACATATTCTAAAACTAAATCCATAATCTTGTGTTACATAGAATTTAGTATAGGCTCTATATTCAATAGTTACATTTCAAGAAGAAAAACTAAAGTAAATAGAAGTAAATCATAATTTGATGACTATTTAAATTGATTCTCTTTGGTCAACTCTCAATGATAGGCAATGTTGCTATGTGTAATGCAAATATGATAAAGGACTGATTATGATTAATCACTCAGTGCTCTTCACTTCAATAATGGAAGGTATACATGTTAAATATTCAAGAAAATGGTATTAAGTCTGACTTTGTGGGACAGTACATTGATAAATTGATATCAAGTCCATTCAAAGAGGTTCACCATATATTTTTATAGAGATTAATACATGAAGGCAAACCAAGGTTGTTGAACAATGGAATTTAACAATTTTTCATAAATACAAACAAGGGATACTTGAGATAAATAGATAGTCTTGTCAGACTCGGTTAAAGTATGGAATATTTAACATTTATGACGATTATGGGATATAAATAGGAAGAAACATACGGAAAGATTCTATTGAGTAGTCTCGGTACTATTTATTCTTATTCGGAACTGGCTGCGTAATAGTTGCATCTAGATAAAATATTAAAATCCCATAATAAAGTGCATATCAATTTGAAATTGTGCATACCAAAATGTTCGAGCATGAATGAAGTAAATGATGGATTCATACTGATTCCAAGGGTGAATTTAGTCAAATAGGATTAAGTATAAAAATCAATATCAACAAGTAAACTTGATTAAGTAGCGTTTTATAAGTACTTCCTAAAATGTCCAAAAAAATGTTATGTGTTCTTTTCAATCTACAAGTTCAGTACTACCATATATGATGACGGTAATTTGCAATTTGAAACACTCTTCATTTATTAATCCACTGAAATTAAGGACCTGGAATTAAAGATGATAGCCCTTGAATTAATGCTAAAGCAAGTTATGTTGAACAACCAAATCTCATAAGAAAATTATTTTACTAGTTACACTTCCTTTAAATCCATAATTCCTGATATCAAATAAAATGTACAAGCTCCTCATAGTCATAAGAGTAATTCATAAGAGATCGATGATGGAGATTTCATTATTAGCAATGAGAGCATTCACATCTAATAAGAACCATAGACTGTCTAACTCTACCAATTCATGGGGTTAGAACAAAATGAAGTACTGATAGAATAGAAGAACAACTAAGTTAATCATTCCTCCATGATTGCCAATTCCTTTTAAACCTAAGATTATTTGCTTTCAAGTAGGAGATTGAATGATCTCAGTGCTAGGGATTCTAAAAGAGAAAGTTAACTGTTAATTCATTAAAATCTGGCTAATATCCAAACCATATCACATCAAGAGAAAGTAGTTGAAGGGAATGAAGATGAGATAGAGATAGATTCCCCAGAGGAAATGAAAGTGTAAGTGCAAATGGAAATTTCAATCAAAGATCTATCTGAATCGTGTTTGAAAGAATAAACTGATTGGATTAGGTCTATGTTGAGATTAAAAAAAGGCTAAATAGAAAAGAACTATAAGTAGAAACTTACTACGTATAAAAAAGCATCGCTTAATAAATTAAATTTGGAATAACAATCATCATCAATAAGAAGCACAGATTCATAGAAAGGATTGATTAATCATGTGGTCAATGGGATGATTCAATCTAATCCTCATTAATTTTATGGCATCCTAGTAATTGCTATATTTTACATAGTTCTACTTCTTATTCTAATAGTTTTGAGTATAACTGAATTATAGAATCAACTACATCATATCTATTTAGATTCCAGTGCTGGGCAGTTTTCAATAACATTGCTATAGGATATCAATTTGGTTGAAATTGCAATTCATTTACTTGCAATCAATTCTACCTTTGGTGCACCATAATTTTACATCGAAAACTCAACCGATGATTATATCAATTATGTTCAAACTGTCAATAATCGTTAATACATAAACCCAGAATTCCTGTAAAATTTAGAATAAACCCCTATTAAGATCAATCATACATTTTCTAATTTTGGGGTTTATGAATACATCACATTTAATACAAGACGCTATCTGGTAGATTCTCTGCCTTTATTGTTCCATAGAATAACTGAAGTAGTTGCATTTGAATAATCCAATTTTAATATTATGCACATGGAAGAAAGTTATTTCACATTAAATTATCCCATCTACTTTAATTTGGCCTCAAACCTAATTAATTCCACTGATCATGAGATGACTGATACTAAAAATGCAGCCTTAGATATTGCCTTGATTTATGTTATCACAGGATTATTATCTTGTCTACTAATCGTAATCTTAATTGGCTTTGCAGAAATTTCGATTGCTAAATGGAGAGTTTCCATTGTCAGAACATATTTCCTATTCCAAAATTTGTAATAATCTCTCGTCTAATAAGAAAGGGAGACACATAATCTACTAATCATTGATGAATTACAACACATGAAATACAATGTAATTAAATTAGAGAAGCAGGCCTAGTAGGTCTTAAAAAATGAATAGAGAATTTTTGATACCAAATTGAAGTAATCTTTTTGGGCAAAACAATTAATCTCCATTATTCTATTGGGAGCTCTAGAATTGCTATACTTTGTTCCCTATTACCAAATATTTTCCAATTCAGTTGACTAATTAATAGCATTTCATTAGGATCTCTATAAGTTAGGACTTACCTAGCTATCATTTAGCAACAGACTAGTTTACTTCATTCAATAATATGCTAATCCATAGAATAATATTGATTCTACAACATTTAATGAATTCGATGCGTGGTTTTAAACTTATCAAGATCAATTCCTATTTGAACTTCCTTTTGATGAAACTCATGATTCATCATCATTAACATATATGGTGAATAATAACATCTGCGAAATGGATGAAATTGCTCCCATGAATAAACTTGGACATAAGTGTCCTTACAGTATACAAGAGGGTTATTCAAAATTTGTTGTTTCCACTGAGAATTAATTAAGGATAATGCAATCGGAATATTCTGATTTCTCTTTGGGAATTCAATAAATAATGCAAGATACTGATTTTTTAGATATCATAATAGCTTATGGTTTTGTGTTCCCATAATTCAATAAAAACAGAGACTATCTATTTAAAACTTAAAAGCAAAATAATGAGCAATCCAATACGTAAGCAATATTAATGGCTGTTTTTGTTTTGATAGCATTGCTAATCCTCTTTTCAGTGATCATTTTTATAATTTCTAAATAGTTTCTAGCAGTAATCAAAACTGTGAAATAGACTCTCTTGATTTTCTCAAAGGAATAAATTGCGAGAAATAAGCATCTAGTTTAAATTTTGAGTAAAGAAGTAACATTTGATTGAACTATTTGGATTGAAATGGATATTTTTACTTGATTCATATTAAAATTATAAATTGTTATCCTACATTATAAAAACCAGTTTTACCTTGACGTATCCCCTTAACATCAAATGAAGGACATGAAGCAATTATAAAAATTATGATTTCTTGGATATTTAAAGGTTTTAGCTCTGATTATAAATTATTCTTTAAAATATTATTTTTATTTATTCCATCCAATTATATGCAACATAGAACTGAAGACTATGATTTACTTTACAAATTAGTTTTAATAGGTATAATTCAATTATATTTCAAGGGGATTCTGGCGTCGGGAAAACCAACATTCTCAATTAATTTACAAGAGGCGAATTCTTGCAAGATTCCAAAACCACTATAGGAGTATTCTCTTAAATTTACCATCAATTTAGGTTGAGTTTGCATCCAAGAATATCATGATTGATGATAAAACTGTAAAAGCATAAATTTGGGATACAGCCGGCCAAGAGAGATACAGAGCTATAACATCAGCTTATTATAGAGGAGCAGTTGGAGCGATGATTATTTACGATATTACCAAGTCATTAACTTTCGAAAATGTTGATAAATGGATGAAAGTAATTATTGGAGCGATTAAATAAGGAATTGAAAGAAAATGCAGACCCTTCATTATAAATTATGATTGTTGGCAATAAAACCGATTAAAAGCATATCCGATAGGTTGCTACTGATTGTGCTATTGCCTACGCTTAACGCAATGGAGTAGCATTTATTGAGACAAGTGCAAAGGATGGAACGAATGTAGAAGATGCCTTCAAAAACATTTTACAATGTAATAATAAAGTTTAATACTTAAAGAAATTTATAAATCGGCTAAGGTTGTTAAACCAACTCCATAACCTACTAAGTTTGTTGTTGCAGATACCGATGTGGTTAAACCAGAAAAGTCTTCAGGTTGCTGTTGATTTTGAAACATTATTTTTTATTTGTTATTTACAATCAAAATATCATTTAATGTTATATTGGGAAATCACAAACTACATGATTTCTTATTAAACTAACACATTGGAATCATTCAATTTTTATAAATATTTTGCCACATAAGGTTTCAGCTCTGGGATGATTGCTATCGTCTTTTTAGTCTGCTAATTGGCATTCACAAGTATTTAAATAAACATTTCTAAATACAATTCATTATATTCTGTTTAAAGGGATTTTAATAGATTCTTTTATATGATTTGCACCTTTTGATTTTTTGGATCATGTAATTGATGATATTGCAAAATTTACAATTATAAAGGTATTTCCTAATCATCCTTCATCTTAATTGCATTGATGTATTAAAAAATTTAAGGGTTCTGTAATTAGAGGGAATTAATGGCAAATAATATACCAAATGAATTTTCAGCCTTTATATCCTTAAATTTCGTCTTTACACTTATTAAAAATTTTTCCAAAATTTCTTTGTCAATCTTATTCATTTAAGTTAAAATAGTCAAAATATTTGAAATATCAGACACTGTACATAATTTTGGATTGATTTTTTAAGTAAGCCTTTGCAGAAACTTCTCAGAATAATCAGTTTCTACGACTGACAGTATTTAATAAATCTTAGAGTAATATTTAGTATCTATAAGATTTAAATTTTGATATAAGTATCTATATTGATATAATATTTTTATTACTGAATTAAGTGGTTTCCCACTGAGTTGGTCAATTTTTTTATGTGGAACCAGAAATTCCAATAGACCTATTATCTCTATTATCGTAATTTCATTTAAATTCCTTTCAAATATGTTATTAATAACTTAGTCCCAACTGATTTAGATTAGAACATCCTAATTCTCTTAAAGTGTTTGCATATAGTTATATAATTCGTAAAAGTTAAGCTTAGATAGATTTTAATCTAAATCGTTCTAACATAGTTTGTAAACTAATAGCATTAGTTAAATAGTCTTTTCGTCGCATCTTTAAAGCTAAATTAACATAAATTAAAATACATATTTTTTCAATTTGGCATTAATAATCAATATGATTAATTTACTAGCAAGAGAAAACTGTTATGTTTAGACAGCAATAGCTTCAAAGTATTGAGCAAATTCTTTCATAATTTTAGTCTCGGATTCAATTAATTTTTTATCATCTTCTACCTTTTATGAATTCTATAATTGAATCAATTGGATAAAGAGTTTCCATATTTGTTCTTCTATAGTTTATGGTATTTAAACCGCAAGTTTTGATTAATGATTTAGTGTTATTTTGTCTAATTCTTTATTTTACTCTTTTGAAAAGTAATATTTCATATGAAAATACATAACTGCATTTTGTACATAATTCCCATGTTGCTAAATTAATTATACAATTCTTTCATAAACTTTTTAATCATATTCTTTGTTGAATTGACTTACTTATAAATAGTTATTAATTGATTAGAGAAATGAGTTAAACTCTTACTCTTCTAATTGTTTAAGATCCCTCGTTATCAAAGAAGCAAATGATGGGAAAATGGATGTATTAAATTAAATGAAATTGAATTATGCATTAAGAATACTTTAATATCCTACTGATTATTTAATGCCTTAATACGACACAGGGGTAGATTAACAAAGAGACAAGTACTTGGCTATTTTTTAGGAATCATTGAGGAGAATCGATTTCCCTTTGCAAAATCCCATAAATATTCTCATTAATTATTTAATTCCAATAATAATTTAGTAAGAATACTTTATTTTAATCTCGAAATATTGTAAAATCAGATTATAAATAAATTGAGAGTGATTTGAAAATGAAATAGAATATAAGGCTAGAAAATAATTAACATTGTATGTTATCCAATATTTATCTATGTTATGATAATCAAATCAATTTCTGCTGGCGATGAATTGAGCAGTGGTGGATAACTTCTCACTGATGTGCTCTTAGAGTCTGTCAACAATTTCTTATTAGGCAGTTCTAGAGGATTAGATGAGTAAGGATACCTTTCAGCAGTTTAGGTTTCATAGATTTCTGATTAGACTGCATACCAAGCTTATTATCCAGCAAGTCTTTCTTCGCTGTTTTCTAATTCAAGAGTGTGGAATTCGATCCATGATTAAGCATCTTCAATGGTGTCCTTTTATTCTTAGATTTAGACTTCCAATTAAGCTTTTCTTTCAACCAATCTAGTGTGTTCGTTACTCAAGTGAACGCTGAATTCAGCCCAGTGAGCAGCTTATCTATCCTCGACGTCCTTGAATATTAAATGGAATGAATACTGTCTTGGCAGCCTTCTCTGAGACTAATTATTATCTGATTTCGCTCAATAATTAAGCAATCTTGGTCAAAGCCTTTTGGTTGACTCCGTGGGTGGCTAATTCGGTAAGAGCAGTGATAACTGGCTAGGAGAGTAGATATAGAAGGATACTTGTAACAAGGCAGTGTGGGAAGTGTTATCTGAGAGCTTCTTGTGGAGGACATCGTATTTGGACTTGAGTTAGGCAAATGATGCTCCGAGACTGAGGTGTTAGATGAGTTTAGAAGCTTCATCGATAGCGTCAATAACATCATCAATGGCAGCAACCTTGGCAACGAAGGTTTCGTGTTATTGATTTCTGGTGGCTTCCTCTCTAGCATAGGTAGCTTCGTTGTTAGCAATATCTGAGATTGTGACTCTGATATCTTCTTCAGAGACGGCAAGAGCTTCGATAGTGTCATCTCTCAATTAAGTATTTGAAGCAATTTAGTTTTAGTGATACAAGATTTCCTTCTCCAAATCTTCAACGATCTACTATATTTTAATATTCATACTCTGTTGTTGGTTGTGGTGTCAAGTTCAAATGCGTGGTCGTGGTCATTTTAGTCTTAAACGAGTCCAGCACCAACACCATTCAATAACATATTAACTTCATTGGCAGGTGTAGAGGCTTAGAGGTGAGCCTTAATGGCACTCAAGACAACGTGTCCGAATGGGTCAGCATTGATTTAAGCTAATGTGGTATGGGTATCTATGAACTTTGCAGCAGTCACAGCAAGAACCAAAGCTAAGAGAGCTATTTTTTACATTTTTAATATTAATTTAAAAACGGATCGAGCTCCTCATTTATACTCATTTTCCAATATAATTTTATATTATTAATAATCCTTCCTCCTCCATTCCCCATCTCCTACTCTTCTTATGACTCTTTCCCATATCCCCATTTCAAATATACAATTAAATCTAACAATTAGACCAACTTTAAAATAATAACATTAATTTTATTTTGTTTTCAAGAATTATTCATTATCTAGCCACTAAGAATCAACCAAAAAGTGCATAATAAATATTTATTAATATTCAAACCTATTTGATCCTCTGATTTTATCCATTTCCTCCTTCCTCATATGGCGGATAAAATCTATCATAGTTGTAATCTGGTCTCCCCTCCATCACTATCTACTAATTGATTCTCCCATATGAAGGAGGGTATAGTCTATCCTAATAAGGTAGACTCCTGTAATAATTGGCTCTCTCATTGAACTCTCTTGACATTCCGATAGGTGGAAATCCTCGATATTCAGGCACATAATAATCAGGAGGAGGAACAGCTCGAGGGTCATAAAATGTTCTTTATTCAAATGGAGGGTCAAATCTCTATCTATCATAATCGTAATATGGATATCCTCTATCATCGAATGGTTAAACATTTCTCTCATTCAACATTGGAGGGAGTCCATGATAATCCACAGGAGGTCCTCTTCTAAAATCAGTTACTGGAATAACTCTATATGAACATTCACCTCTCAATTCTCTCCCATAATTTCTTTTACTTAATATTGGTTCTGGTATTCCTCTCCTGTAATCGCTTAATATTCCAGGAGGAGCCATCCTTCTATATCCTGATAGAGGCAACCCTAGTTCCTCAGAAGGGATACTTCTAAAATCTTAAGGAAAATAACCAAGACTTGGTTCTTAAAAATCTTAAGAAAATCCTCTGAAGCCATGCACATATCGTCTATTATCTCCCCTTGGATTTGAATGAGATATTCTACTTTCTTGAGGTTGCAGTATGCTTTATGCAAAATTCTATGGAGTTCCTACCGGCTTATAAATATTTTCATCGGTGAATATAGTATTATAAGGAGCACTTTGAAATTTGTCTTGAGGTACCACTCTTTAAGGATTGACATTAGATCCAGCATTTTGGTCTTAGTCTTGGTTTGGGTTTTCCTTTTATCCATTTTCTTATTTTTTCTCTTATGGTGATTATTCAGGTTATTCAGAAGTTCCTTGTATAATGACCTTTTATAGTCTATCTTATTGAACAGGCAGATCTTCAGCTTTTCCATAATAATCTTAAATTCTACGATTATCTTCTGGAGGTCGTTAGAGAAATTCTAAGTTTTATCCAGTCGGTTTTATGTATCCTTTTGGAAACTTTTCAATTTCTACAGGTCTGGAAGGAGCATAATACATTATATAAAATAAAATATTATAATCAGTTAATTGTTAATGATATTTAATACACTGAATAATAATAAATATTTATTGTGAAAATTGATAAGTACATTCAATCCTTCCCAAAAATCAGAATTATACATCCATTTCAAGTGATTACTTTAAAACTTTTAAATTAGACAAGCTACGACAAGATTTAGTGTTAGAAAGTAAAACAGTGAAGATAATCAATAAATAATTAATAGTAATTAGAAATATTTTATATCTATATTTTTGAGTCCAAGTCTATCTTAAATACTATAAATTTATTTAATTAACAATTCATTATTGCTGTAAATTCATAATTAATAAAGTATCTTGTTTCCGCTATTATTTATCTTATCAAGCCTGATTAATAGTTATTTCTAAATAGGTTTATAAATAATTATGAAATAATAACCTAATTATCAAAGCTTTACAAGTATTTTCGATCGTGAGCAATCGGTAACATTTTGGGAACCATTACAACAACCACTTCATGCCGATAGATTGCTCTATAAAGGTAAATTTTTTGAGTTCACTGGAAATGTATGGGTTGAAGATAATTACGATCTTTATCCCGAAGTGCTGTGTAAAGGCTAATATTACATGCAATTGCCCGGAGTGTAGATAAGAAGGCTGAAACCAACTGAGACCTATGGACCACACAAATATGGATTAGGCTTCTTAAAAGGGCCGTATAGGTTGTTATTATATACCGAATCGGTTGAATAACTAAATTAATGGTACTAACTCCATAGAGTTTAGGCATGACTACTTGAAAAGACTTTGTCTATTGCCCAATTTTAACAAACGCCATAAATTAATGGGTAAGATTAAGAATTCGCTTAACTTTTATGATTGCTATAAATGTATAAATGGATAGCAATATTAGGTCAAAATCTTAGAAAAATCTCAAATAACGCAAACAAAATAAGTTATAAGAGAAATTTAAATTTTGCGTCGTTTAAATCATCCTTAAATCTAAAAATTATTAGAAGTTTATGAGGACAGCAATACTGTCTATATTTTATTTGACAAATTCTTAGGCCATTCATTAAAAACCAAATTGCCAGAGTATTGGAAGTAACATAAATAATTTATTTTAGTTTATCTGAAAAAAAATAGGCAGAAGTCTGTTTCAAGTTATTAAATGCTTTGGCACATATCCATTCAAAAAATATCATCCACAAAGACATCAGGCCAGAGAACATAATATAACTCAACTCTTAATTAAACAATCTTGTAATTGCTAATTTTGCAAGTGCAGATTCCAAAGAAAAGGGAAAAAAAAGAAAGGTTTTCAATCCCGGCTATATGGCTCCAGAACTATTCTAAAATAGAAACTTTGACGATAAAATTGATATATTCTCTTTAGGTGTTATATTCTATGGGATCTTCTATTGCAAGTACCCATTTGAAGGTAAAGATTTCAGAGAAACCGCATCTTTAAATGAAAAATGTGAAATCAATTTTGAATATCCTAAGAAGTTATCCTCCTCAGCCATTGAATTATTATAGGGAATGTTAAAGAAGGATCCTACCTAAAGATT